GATGGCACGGTTCGAAAACTGACTTCAAAACTAGAAGATTAATATTCAAGTGTTTTATAAACTGCACTTAATAAATACCCTATTATTACCATAAATTACTCAATTAATCAATTAATTAATATAAAATCATATTCCTAAAAAGTAAATATAAAAGCAAAAAGTGTTTATTAGCTCTGCTAGTCCATCGAAATATAAATTTTAACATTTCCTATTAATAAATAACCGGTTGCTGAACGTCTGTTTCTGTTTTATGTAAAAAGATTTAGCATCCTTCGCTATCTGTTCTACTAAATTATTCAAGTTATTAAACTAACAATGATAACGACGGCATGATGGTAATAAATAGAAGAGAAACATGGTGATTAGAGTTGAGATGATGATGATAGAGATGATGATGAAAATGAGGAATGTGAAAGAGAATAGATGTTACCTTAGTGACAATAATAATGATGATGATGACGACAATGAGAATATGATGGTAATAAAGATGACGATGCTGCAGTCGTCATAGTCGTCTTCTTTGTCGACGTAGTAGTAGTAGTAGTAGTAGTAGTAGTAGTAGTAGTAGTAGTAGTAGTAGTAGTAGTAGTAGCAGTAGCGGTAGCAGTAGCAGTAGTAGTAGTAGAAAAAACGAGTAGTTAAATTTAAACAGCTCGAGTAATTGCACAAGCCATCTAAATAAAATGATTGTTTATTTATTTATCAAATAAATTATCTCTAGACATATTTAACGTTTGTCTTATAATTGTTCAATTGATATTTAAAAAAAAAATATGAATTGCCTGGTTAATTATTATTTATCAAGTCCATTTATATGCATGCATTGTGTGTTTCTTGTTTGATGGTCCTGTAATACATTTATAAAATAATTGTAGTAAATAAATACACAAATATATTAGAGTTAATTGAATTCCTTTCTGTAAACATATTAAACATTAGTTATGTCAGCACTTATTTATTTATTCAGTGCTTTTAATAATAATTACAATATTGATTATGTTGATAACAATAAATAAACAATAATAACAACGACAGCAGTAACAACAACGACGACGAAGACGACGACAACAACAACAACAACAACAACAACAATAATAACAATAACAATAAAAAATAATAAAAACAATAATAATGAAGATTTAAGTCTGTTCTATATATTATATTAATATAGTGATTAACACAGATGCTATTTTAAGTATTTACTAGTAAATGTATCGCACCTTCCTATGACTAGTAGTTACTAAGTTTAAACTTTAAACTAACCCGACTGACGTTTTGACCTGAGAAATTAACTGTCAATGTTCCAATGAAAAATATACATACAACATGAGTCGAGCAAACAATAAATTAACAAGTTGTAAAAGTATTAAAACTCAATTAACGAATACAGAAATATAATGGGTAATTAAATTAACTAACAATGTACATACAAACGAACGAACGAAAGAACAAACAAACAAACAAGCCACACACAAACGTACCTGTGAACCAGTTAAATGTAACAAGCAAAACAACAACGTTAACAGCCAACAAAGTCAGCAACACAACCTTCCAACTAAATAACATACAACCAACGAATGGATGATGAACACACAAGGCAATGCTATCACTCTACTACGCTTCTAAGTTCTTTCTATCTATTCTTTTCATCATCATCACCATCATCATGATCATTATCAACTTGTGGTTGTAACCGCCATCTATCTATATCCTCCTCATCCTCCTCTTCCTCATCATCATCCTTTCAGTCATCATTATCACCATCATCCTCAACATCATCCTCTTCATCATTATTATAATTTTTACATTCAGTTCTTCGCGCCATACAGTCGTCGAGTTATTCTACTTAATACGAAACATATTAACGCATAGGGAATGTTGTACACACACAGAGAAACACGTGCACACACACGCACGCACATACACACACCACACACACACACACAAACACACACAAATACACACATACACACACAGACTTTTATATATAAGCATCCTTATCTGTTTAGATTTTGTGTTTAAATTTAAACATCTTAATAAAAAATATCAGATATAGATGTTTAAATGAATAAATAGATATAAATATAAATGATATGTTAATAAATAAATGACTTAATAAGGAAAATATCTATAGTATATAAGGTATATAATGTATGTATGTACTACAGATATCGTACATGCGTTCATCTTACAACTAGGTCTGGATATGAATGTTAATATTGAAATGTGTATCATTTTTTTTTTATATCTTTCGGTGCAACTTCAGCTCAGACATATAGCCCACGTAACACAGATTGAAATGTGACTTTCCAAGGCTTTTCCTCTTAATTGTTTTTTCATCTTGTTTCTCTCTCGCTCTCTGACTTTATTTTTATTCATTTTTTCCTCCCCCCTCTCTCTCTCTCTCACTCACTTTTTCTTCATCTTTTTCAAACTTTCTGTATCGTTTTTCTTAATTTCTCTCTCTCTCTCTTTCTCTCTCTCTCTCTCTCTTTCTCTCTCTCTCTCTCTTTCTCTCTCTTTATTTGACTCAATTTCTATCTTTAATACTTTTTTTTCTCCTATCAGTTTTGCATCATTTGGATTTTCTCATATCATGGTGTGAGTGCACTACAAGGTTGTTGATGATGATGTTTTTGTTGATGATGTTGTTGATAATGATGACGATGATGATGATGTTGTTGATGATGATGATGATGACGATGATGATGCTGTTGTTGTTGATGATGGCGATGATGATGTTGTTGTTGTTGTTGTAGATGATGATGATAGTAGCAACAAATTTGATGATGATGTTGTCGATGATGATGATAGTTACAATAAATTAAAATGATGTTAATGATAATGAGTAGTGATAATAATAGTAACAACGGCTACTATGATGATGATGCTACAATGATGACGACGACGATGATGATGATGTGTTGATGGTTATGATAATTAAGATAATCCCTCCAATCAGTCAAGACGATGATTAAGGCTATTGTAACATGTGAAATAAATTAAAATTAAGTTTAAATTACTCAAGATGAAAAATTTATATAAATTTGGTGTCATTAATTGTAATAATATTCTTTTCTAACATTTACACAGACAAACATTCATACCAGAATAACATGACAATATGACAGCATCAGATGAAGAATCAAATAATTCCCACCGTACAACACACGTATAAACGCATACACACGGCAAATCTACAATAAAACTATCTATACAACCAGAAACACATATGCACACCCAAATCCAGACATACATAGCATACACTTTACAACAGTACAGTTTATTTTAAATGCGAACAAATTGCTATGTGCTTCGATGAACTCGTTGAAATGATGCCAAAAGGGAAGATGGTTAAGGAAGTTTTTTCAAGTGGATAGATACGTATATCTATGTATGCATGTTTGTATGTGTATGTGTATTTGTGGTTGTTTATGTTAAGTTGTGTGCATACGCATGCACACACACGCACATACACACGCACACACGCACGTCCTAACAGTTTACGTTACGTAGTTCCGAGAGTTGATCATTATTTTAGTTTTGTGTTGGTGAGAGTCTCGTCTTCATCATAAGATTGGCCTTGAATATATATTTTAGAATACTTTTAAAAAATCTTCATAGTTGAAACAAATATGTCACAGAATTCTGACAATTTTCATTTCAAAATCATGTTTTAGTTTAGACATTTCATTCAACAATATCTCCATTCCTTTTCTTTATTCAATTTTACTCTCTATTTTATCAACTTCTCTTCAGCCAGATTCAAGTTTATAAGATAAAAAGTTTTATTTATTTATTCCTCCGTTAAAATATTCTAAACATTTTGCCTAACTTCTATTGATTTATATATAACTAACTGGCTGGTGAGATTGCATGCTACGCTCGTCTCGTCTCATCTTAAATACATTTTAACGGGCTGTGTGTTGTTAGTTGTACATGATTTTATCCCGGTGCACGCAAAGAGATCTATAATGATTTTTTTTTGGAATATCTGTGTTTGCCATATTATGTGTGTTTAAATGTTAGTAGTTTGAAGTGTTGTTGCACTATAAGTAAGTTTCATTATTGATTTTTTGTGTCGTTAATATAAATATTTTATTATAATTATATTTAAATCACTATTAATCAAACAAACCGATGATGACAATAATAAGCAGTTAGTGCTATAAAAATAACCAGATTCTTTAATAAGACCGACACAGCTTAAATTTAAATGAATGTTTATAAAGTTGGGGGCTAAACTACCCAACTAGAGATTTATCAACAAGTAACAATAAATGTTTTTGGCAGAAATTTTTTTGTTTGCAAATTGTTAAGACTTGTTTTTATTGATTTTCTTTAAAAATAAGACGATTTCGTTTGATTTAATTACCGTTTGAAGAGATTTGTTTAATTTTATTTGGTTTCGTTTAAGAAGCTGCCAGTGCACAATTTTGAGTTAATGTTCCACATAGAAGTCTCTAACCGACAAAATGAAAAATAAATTTGTGTGCTTAATGTTGTCAGTTCCTTTGGATGTTATACTTTTGCGGTTTAAAATTTTTGCTGGTTTTTCTTGAATGAATGTTTAAACATCAATGTTTGTCCTTCAATTATTTTTTCCAAATTTTATTGCATCAACCTACCAAATCTACCAAAAAACAACGAAAATTTTTCAATAAAAGTTAAAAATGAATGTTTTACAATATGATTCTCAATACAAAAAGCTAAACAGATAGCAAATCAATCAACATTTTTTTAGCAAGGTTTGAATTGTGTCTGGTAAAGTTAATTAACGAAACGAAATCAAAATAATTCAAGGGCATATTAAGCGTCTGACCAACAAAACCTTTCAAAGTCTTATTGGCTTGTATTTAAAAGTATTTAAATTATCAGTTACAATTTATTTTAATCACCGGATTGCTGTAAGTTGCAATTTGTAACGAGTAGCACGGAAAACAGGCAAAAAATCAAAAACACCATCTATCCTATCGACTGGAAAAAAATTCCACATTTCCTCACTGCATGTAAACCTTCAAACCGGCTGCATTTTGGTAGGCGAGGGGCATGTTGGAGACCATGTAGTTTGGAGAAACTGGCGTAGCAGGGTAGCTGTTGGGAACTAGTTGGACCACTTTGTAGTCCGTTTGCGTGGTTGGAGTTACCGCGTAATTGGAGGGAGCTGCTCTTGCCATCAATTTCGGTGGTGTGGGAAAGGGTGTATATGCAAATGGCGACAATGTGTGTGATGTTATCGGAAGGACGGAAACATCCTGGCTGTCTGAAGGGTTGCTGGTTTCTTGAGTCAAATTCAGTTCATCCTGTTGACAAAAATGTATAAATTTGCAGTTGTTATTTAATAAAATTATAACATAATTTTTTTTAAACGCGTCAACGTTAATTTTTTTCCAAAGGGAACATTTCCCAAAGTTGAATTTAAAAGCCGAATTGACCTCGTCAGTGGCCAGGGTACAGAAGAAGACGATGACCATGATGGAGAGGCAGACGAGGAATAGGACGACGGCGATAGCAAGGATGCTGACCACAATGGCGTATCTTTGAGGAGTTTTCGTCAGGTCCTGTGGAGTCAGGTCATTTAATGTGGTGGACGTTACATTTTGAAAAAAGCAAGAAGACAAATATTTTTAAATTATGCTGAACGTTTTTCATTATTATAAAAAAAAATAGATATACAGTTAAGTAACTAAAATTTTGTGAAAAGTTATTTCAGAATATTAAAAGATTAATAAACCTTATATATACGTAATTTTAAATTCAATAAATTTGGAAAAAATTCCCTCACGTAGGAGGCCATAACGAGAAGCTGTCTGATCTCAACGGAAGAGATTGCTATGAGGATAGGTAGGAAGATAGTGCATGCAAGTAGCGAGGTTAGGGCAAGTCTGAACTTCTGTTGATGAGTTAGTGAGGTTGTTTTTGTGGTAGTGGGTTATATTGCTGTCGTTGCTACAAAATTTCATTTTTTATTCAGAAAATGTATTGTTGTTAATAATTTAAAACGTTTTGTAAAGAAGTTGCAAAGTTAGTTAAGTGGAGTTGATGTTAATGGTTAACGTTTTTTTAGTTTTTCAATGAAATTTTTGTTGCTAAAAGCAAAAATTAATTTTATCAAGAAGGATTTAATTTAAAATTTTCAAAAAACAAACAACTCACGGAGCCACTGACCAACCCCCCAGCGCCGACTGCAAACAAGCCAGTTAAAAATGCCTGTTGAATGTTTTTTTAAAGTACAAACCATTAAACGTTATGAAGCCTAACTCAAAAAATAAGTATACCAAATGATACCGAACTGAAATCAAATACAATTTCGCTAAATTTCGCCTGTGTGGAATTGACATCCAACATTGGCCAGGCAACATTTTACATAAAAAGAGCTTAAATGTAAGTAAAACACTACTAAGTATTATGAAATAATGTTGTCTTAACATTCAGACATAAAATTTGCACATTCCTAACACTTTCACAAACCGTAAGAGGAGTCCAGATGCCAGCAGCAACGTAGGCGAAGTTGATGGGGTAGTAAGATAGGGAGGTCATAGGTTCCATTCTCATGGCAGCCAACATGGTGTTGGTCACTCCCAGAACGATGATGACGATGGAAAGGATGATGGCCAAGAATCCTGACCTCTTGAGCCAGCGCGGGTGGCTGGTCTCCCCTGGCAGATAAGTAAAAAAATAATGTAATTTTTCATAAGTAGAAAAGTGAAAAGATATAAATTAATGATAAATAAATTAATGGTGAATATTTTCTTTTTATATTCAAAAGTTTATGTATAAAAAATGGTAAATAATTCATTACTGGTTAATTACCTTTGAAACTTTCCTTTTCATAAAGGCTAACAGCTTTCATTTCGAAAAAAGTTTTAAAACGCTAAACGAAAAAAATATTATTTATAATATTTTAATATGAATAAATGGAATAATTCAAATAAATAGCTGATTAATAAGATTGTATTGTTTTTGGATTTCACAAAGTTTTTCACAAAGTAAGAAAATAGACTTTATCTGTTTGTCATCCGCTACTCCACAAACGACTAGCCCAAACAAACATTGTTAGGCTGACTGCATTGAAATTGAAGAAAGTTTCACACGCGCTGCATGTCATCCTCGATTTCGTCGTTAATTGCTCGCAAATGCCGTACAATCGTTTTGAAGTGTACACTATTGCATGCAGTGAAATTTACACAGACACAAGCCTACACACACGTATATAAGCACACACACATACAGAAACAAAAATACACACATACACATATACGCATACACTTTACCCATACAGCACATACTACGTGCTCAACGCACGTTTCAAATATTCCAATATATAAGCTAGTACAGAGATGTATGTTCAATTTCAGGTGAGAAATCAAATTTCAATTCACGATTTTATGGAAAAATGACGCATGGACTTTATTTTTGGCAGAATATTAACCTTCGTATCGTATAAATATCTTTATGGCATTTTTGTGTGTATTTCTAATCAAAAACATGCTGAGGAAATTCGTTCGATTAATAGTTGTTTAGTGATTTTTGACCAAATTTATTGCAGCTCTCGACTGAGTAAAGTATATTTGATTTCTGGTTAATGGAGATTTTCAAAATAATTGTGATTTTTGGCAAAATAAGAATTGTGATTAATTGTGTTTTATTAAAATATCAATAAAGGACACTTGTGGTTAATTTTAGCTGTAAATGTGCATAGCTAAAATCTTGTGATTCGTAGGTATAGTACGTTATTTCCTTGAACAGAAGCTATACCAGTTTCTATTATACAATTTGATTTGTCAAACTAATTGATGAGAAGTCAAATTATAACCTTGAATATTCTAATTCAGATTTTTTAAAAGTCAATTACTTTTCTTGTTAAACTCTCAAATGAATTAAGGCACGTAAAATCAAATGTATAAATGCTGTTGTTGCTATCATATTACTTGATTGAGTATTTGTTAGTTAAATTTTGAAAAAAGAACGAATAATTTTATTATTTGAAAACTTTATTTTGAAAAATAACTAAGAAAGAGAAAAATTTATTTAGTTACAAAATCAATTTAAACATTTTAAAAAGTAACGAATGAGTAAAGTTTTTGATAATTCAAATGCAGTTCAAAAGAGTTTTCCAAAATAATTTAGCTTTTTTCAAATAAACATTTTCAATTAAATCAAGATTAACACTAAACATTTTTTAATTTCTTAGAAATACTTGCAAATAGCACGTTTATTTGAACTGTTTAATCATTCAGCCAAGTACTTTTACAAATAATTTTGATGATTTAGACTTTAAAAATTTTTTTTATAAAGAAATATATTATATGCTCATTCATGTTTGCATAACCCAGCGTTATCTAATATAAACTCTTAATATTTTTTAAAACTGGTACGAATTGTAAAAATTAACAACTTGAAAATATATTCAGAAAATTGTTAAAAATACCTGTGCAATTGAGTATGTTAAGCAAAATTGAATAAACATATTAATTAGTTTGATATAAGAACTAAAAATTTGTAGTCATTTGTGTCGTATCTATGAATGTCAAAAACTTACCATGAGCACAAATGAAAGTAATGATTAATTAATTAATGGCGTGCAGGAATGTTCAAAAGTATCCAATTTCATCATCTATCAATCAAAATAAATATTTCACAACAATCCAAATTTCTAATCGCTACTTCATTCTTATCTCTCCGGCCAATCACATTTTTCTAAGCAGTTTTGAATTGCACATAGGGTGTGGGATTATTCAAGTTCAACCCCGTATTGCCAACGACCTGTACTGAAGGGTTAACAAGGCCCGGAGTGCTGTAGACGTACCTCGGAGTGAAGGCCGGGGTGTTCACAACATTGATCGGCATGTTGAAGGGGACCTGGTACTGGTACATGTTGTTGCTGGCTTTGTGGTGAGAAGTTTCCACCATGAATGGTGAGGGATTCCTCACTTTTTCTACATCGCGTTCCTAAAATTTGTTTTATATAAAAATATAATTCTTAATTTTAATATTTATATTTCGCTTCGTCATGTAGATTTAAAAATATTTATAAGTTAGATAAAATGGGTGGAATCTCCGTTGTGTAGATTGTAAAACGTTTGTGAATGAGTAAGAATGAGGAAACCTCGTGCTCGTTGGTCCACCAGCAACACAGAAAGTTGATGAAAAAGATCAAGCAATGGATGTGCTCCAGGAAGGCAAACACAGCCAAAAAGATTGGAATGACCAATTTGGAGTAAGCGTAGGAAGAACCCTCCCAATAAGAATTCACGCCGCCGTACTGATAAAAAATCGTAAAAATACTATCTTACTTTGCGAAATGTTTTTTCAAATTTTTCTCAAAAATATTCATGAAATGTTTGTTTTAACAAATTACTTTCTGCGTGAAACAAATTTCAAACTTTATAATGAACAACAATTAAACAAATTCATGCGTCTTAAAGTAACTAAGATATTGTAATTATGCTGTTTTAATGCAACCCATTAAGAGTGACGATAAAATATTGCGACGTAACAATGACAAAACAATATCGTAAAGTTTATTATTCATTTGTACTTGAATTGAGCAATTTTTTAAAATAATAGCGAACAGTTTTTATATTTCGAATAGATTGAAGCAGTTTGACTGACCTTGGAAGCCTCGATGCTGTTCAGGATGATCTTGGCCGGGGTGAAGAAAAACGTGCAGACGAAAAGGAAGAGTACATACCAGAAAGGCTGACAAATAAATTAATAGCAAGTTTGAAAATTAGTTTAGCATTCACACATATCATGAACAACGTTGGAAAGAAATGATATTGTTAGTGAGTATTCGTAAAGAAGGTTATTGAAAGTTAGCATACGTTTGTCTCAAGCCTATCCAGCATGTAAAGAGTCCAAATTCCAGCTATGGTAAGCTACAAAAATGTAATTTAAATAAGTATAAACTACAATAAGGAGTGAAATTTAAAAATAAATTTTGACTGACCGGCACAGAAGCCCATATCCCAGAAGCGACCCAGGTCCACACATCGTCAGATGGACTGGCGAGGCAGTAGAAGTTCCGGAGGATTCCTGATGGAGGACAGATCTTGTAGGTCAGAGCCACGTCAACGATGTCCAGGATGATGGAGGTGATGGAGACGACGATGAGTAGGTAGGCCAAACATTTCAACAATCTGTGTCCGCAGAAGCCCCTTATATAAACTGAAATCATATTTAACGCAAGTTCAATTAACAAACAATATAAAGTAAACTAAACGAAAAAATGAAAATATAAACAAAATTTTTCTTATTTTCGACTAACACGTCAAACATTCAATCGACCGTGCAATCACTCAATCGTATATTTCAACGATAATTCAACTAAAAGAATCGAAAGAAAAAACCTCTTGGAGCCATGGAATGATTATAGTGCTACACTGTTCGTTCGAAACTTTTTAGTTTATCTGTTTGCTTAACTAACAGCTTAGTTTTTTTAATAACGAATAAAATATAATAATCACGCAAAAAGTAATAATAATTAATTTGACGAAAAGCTAGCTAGCGAAGCAGTTAGCCTACCTATATATGGGAGTTGTCGTTTTACTAGCTTCTCTTACCAATCTCAAATCTATCTTTTATTTTTTTTCTATTTCGCTCAGTCTATCTATTATGATCAGACTGCTTTATTCATTGATTATGCGGCTACAACAACTTCAATCAGTTGTTCTGCTGTCAAGCAACTAAGGCACAAAGTGTTGTACATATAAATACAAACAAGCACAGACACAGAACACACACACACACATATATATATATATATATAATATATATATATATATATATATATATATATATATACTTATATATATATTTATTTATTTATAATACATATGTTCATATACATTTAAAAAATATCACTGCATTTCTAAGCAAATGTATTAACGACAGTCTCAACTCTATTTTTCTATGTATATGTATATATATATATGCTTAGAGAAATAAAAATTAGAAAAACATTAGAAGAATTTTAGAAAAAGAAAAATTGAAAGATTAAAAATGGAAGAATAGAACTGAGAAGAAAGATAGAGAGAGGGAGAGAGAGATAGGGCGAGAGAGAGAGAGAGAGAGAGAGAGAGAGAGAGAGAGAGGGAGAGAATAAGAAACAAAATAATTTTTCAAAAATAGTCGGTGTTTAGCATTTATTCTGCTTGGTGTCGTGTTTGTTCAAGCGTGTTATCATGAACATTTAGATAATGCCATATTGAGCCAAGTTTGTTATAATTGATGCCAAAGTTGATAGCTAGGATAAGAATATTTAACAACGACTTTATGAGATTTTCACCTTTAAGAATGAACTCTCGTCTCGTTTTAATTGCTGTAAATTTCCACACGATACTCAGTCAGTTATTTATTAACGGAATAAAGCTAGCCAGATTCATATGATGAAAGTACTTAAGAGATTTTCATACAGGTAGTATGCGTACCTTGATTAAGAAAAAAGATTAATAAAACATGTTAATGGTTTCAACGGATGGTTTCAATGAAAGATAAAATGAAGGATCGTCGACCCATGAAAAAAAATTTTGAAGACTGTTAACCGTTCAAATATTTATGATATATATATATATATATATATATATATATATATATATATTTATTCATTTTGGATCATACTGACTAAAAATTCCCCTGTTTAATGATATAATTAAAGTCATTAGAAGTTCGTCATTGAGGACAACAACAACAACAAGCAGCAGCGCCGACAACACTTTATTATAATCATTAGTTTCTCACACAACGAAGAGCGCTGCCGAGAAGCAATTATCTAACTGGCATTCCATAAATTTCAAACTACGACTTAACTAATGTGCTTATAAGATTGTATAATGTAGTTGGCATACCATAAATTTCAAATTACATCTAAACTAACTTAATATTATACATCAAATCATTTTAAATATCAATATCAAATTGTGGCAATTTATTTCGTAACTATTAATGAATAAAAATCAAACAACTGATCAAATGTTTCGGCAATGGTTTGTATTTTTTACATGACCACGTTTTATTCAATGATTTATTTATCTCGAGTTGTGTGCTATTATTATAGGTCTCGTGAGGTCCATTCATTCATTCTGTATTAACCGCAATCTCAAATGTTTCATTTAACTCTCATTTTAATATTCGTTTCCTTAATTTATAAAAAATATTACTGTCAGACTGTAAACGTTATGGGTTTTTGTCATAGAAGAAATGGAAATAAAATGGATCTACCACGTTTTTTAGTTTAATTCAGGGCTCGTTCCTCTTTAAACAAATTGGCGGTTTTTTTAGTTTAACTTTTGGTGGTTCGTATAAACGACTCACACACAAACGATTAAAATTTAACAAAGATCATGCAAATCTTCCAATTTTATTGTTGAAAATTTCAAACAATTTCCCAAACTGGTAAAATTTCATTGAAAACCAAGAAACGTCCAATATTTAGTTGAAACAATTTCTGAAAAATCAACTTTTGCAATATAGAAATAATACATTAATTATTTATAAATAATATCAATTGGCTTAGCACATGGCATGGTCTGAAAGATCCAACTAAACATATTTTATCGAAAGTAATTCTGTATAAAAACTTAGAAAATAATTGTTAATAGATTATTCTCAAATATAAAATTAAAAATGTTTTTGTATTTAGCGCAATGAATTATTAACCAGTGTAAATTGAAATGAATTACAGACATATGCATCATGCATATGCACAAGTCGTACGTGATAACATTGCATGTGTTTGTTTAATTGCCACAACTTATGTTCAATAACATGATAGCAAAAAGAGTTAGAGCAAAATATAGTTAAGAAACATTGTTAGATAAAAACTCAGATAGTAAAATAAATATTTTAAATATTTATACGATATAATTTAGTTAAATTTAAAAAAATTAACATTAATTAGTCAAAATTTATAATTAAATTTCCATTTTATCTCTTGTTTCATATAATTATTGTAATTGTTTCAAAAACTTAAATTGTTTTGTGAAGAAATTTTATAATTACTAACATAATTATAAGCGCATATTCTCACAAACAATCATCACAACAGTACCCAAAAACCCATCATCAACCAATCAATCAATCAATCAACTCGACAACCTTCTATTCAATGGAGTGATCTTAAAAAATTCTGTACGGGCTATTGGATGGCATCTGGTTAAACTGCCACTTGTACTGTCCATTGGTAATTGGCATGGCGGGGACAGGAGCGGAACTGCTGATGACGTACTTGGGAGTCTGTGTAGTTGGCACTCCGTAGTAAGGAACGTTCATAGGGACATGGTATGGACTCGGGTGGAAGTTTGTGGCAATTGGGAAAACTTTGGGAGGTTCGACGTGGCGCTCTTCTATGTACTCCACGGTATCCTACAATTGAGTCACATTAATAAATCTTCCAATATGTGATAATTTTTTTCCGATCTCAAAATTTTTATTTGAATTTAACTTTATTATTAAACTTAAATTGTATTACCAGGCACTGTATTATGTAAAACTGCATTTAATACTCGCACATGTGTTTAAAATTTGGCTGCTTCAAACAAGTTTCATTGACGATCACTTAAACAAATAAAAATAAATACTCGGAGTAAAAAAATCATTAAATCATTTATATTATTGAAATAAAGACCCTCCTACAAATTAATATGACTTAAATAATTTTTGAAATCGTTTCCGTCCAATCAACACCAACCGCTCTGTTCCACGAGAAGCAGACGAAGTCAATGAAGATGGCGAGGCAATGCAAAAACTCCAAGGCAGCTATCACAGCCAAAATGATTGGAATAACAATTTTTTGGTACGAAATGTCGGACCAGTTAGTGTTGTCCTTATACTGAAATTTGCATAATGTAAAATGTTAACTAATTGTTTTTTAATATTTCAAATATGTTTTCATTTGTTTTTATTTTGAAACTCATTCATTTTAAGTAATATTACAAAAAAAAAATAAAAAATATGTTATGAATACATCTCGTTTTTGTTAAAGAGCTTTTATGTGCGGGCATAACTGCTGAGATATCGTTCTACATGTTTGCGTGCACATCACGTCAGTGTCACGTAGGCACGCGTGGGATAATCTTTCAGTTTGAACCGGCCTATCGCGAAATAAAAACGTGAGAAATTTCACTTATGCCGACAGAGAACGGTCACAACCTTCTTTCTATATGCCTACTTTCTTGTTTATAAACTATTTTATGTCTCCAAAAAATTTTTAGTCTTAAGCTTGCTTGAAATTAAATTTAGTTGAAACGCTGTGTTCAAACTAATGTTAATGTATGCATATAGATAATCTGATAGCTGGTACTGCCAAAAGTGAATGATGATCAAATAATGACTAATTAAGTTAAAAAATTTGAAGTGTTAAGAGATATGCTACAAACGGATCACAAGGCAATGCAGCTTCAAAATGAAACAAGCCCTCAATAGCCTGAGGTGAAACGCAAATTATTCAACTGTTTTAAAAATGCTGCAACATAATTTTTAAAAACACTGTCAACGTATCTAAATTATAAAATTATACGTCCAAGGAAGACCGTACAACGCGTTTGATTGTAGCGTGTTGGAAATATATCGCACCGATAGTAATTTGTTTGATTGGTGCATTGTTGTCAGCAGCTCTTACTTATTATATAAGCGATTATAAATAAAACTGTTGGCCTATTGATACTAATAACAAAGTTTCAAGTTGTTTGTTTAAATATCACTGAGAAAATTTTTATTTGTACGAAATTAAAAACATGGAACTAAACTAACATCTTGTTTTTTGGATTATAAGATTAGAAATTATTACGAACCTTGACGGCCTCAACGATGTTCAGGGCAGCTTTGACCGGGCAGAATAGGAAGGCGCAGATGCCCAGGAATATCACGCACGCGTATGGCTGTATTCAATCAAAATACAATTAAAAATACGTTACAATCAAAATAATTATTTCATTCTATTAAAAAATAACATCAAGAGTCGCACCAATCGAATTAATTAAATGCAATTTGATTAGAAATAACAGTCGGCGCACAGCGAACCAGCACGATGTGTCCCCAAATAACAAGCCATCACCTAACACACAAAAACTGTATTCATTATATTAGGTGAACAAATTGAATCAATTTTTAAACTAGCAATGTAATTATAAACGTTCAATGAGGCGATTAATTTAAGATTTTAAACAAAAATGCAGATACAAAAATGAAAGATAACAAATGATATGCATATATTTTTCCTAAAATTATAAGCACAGATGAATACATACATTTAATCCAGGTCTTTCCAACAAATAAGCTGACCATGATCCGGCAACGGCCAACTAAAAATTAAAAATTTTATTAAACGCGCCACGTAAAATTTATATCCACAGAGTAAAACAAAATTAAAATAAATGAAACGATGTGAAAAATTTTTGTCATCCACTTACGGGGATAGATGCCCAAATCCCGGAAGCGATCCAGGTCCAAACGTCGTCAGCAATGTTATTTAAGCATATGAGAGGTCTGGGGACAGTGGAGTAACAGTATCGAGAAGTTACCGCAATGTCGACAACGTCTAGAACGATTGACGCCATGGCGACAGTGATCAGCAGGTAAGCAAGAACTCTCAGGAAGCATAAGCCGCCAAAACGAGGAATTTTAACTGGATTGGTAATCAATTAAAATTAATTATTTGATTCAATTATTAAATTTCAGTTGATTAAAAAAAATTGAAATTATTTTAGCAATTCTCAAACTACCTCTCCTGATTTCGTGAAATTCTTTATGTTCTCGATTCATTTTCGGGCCAAAAATTTAATTTTTGATTTTTTATCGAAGTTCAAATTTTTGTAATCAGAACTAAAAAATTATATATAAAAAATTAATTTCAATAAATTAGTTTAATATTATTTCATCGAAAAATAAAATTTAAGTTTAGAGAGCGATGCGAAACTAGCAGGACCCGACAGCCCGCTAAATGTTTTATTCTGCCTAACTTATCTACATTGTAGCAAGTTGAATAAAAGTTGTAAGGAGTAGGCAGATAATAGCGAGCCAGCAAGTAAGTAGCTGAGTCCTTGTCACTGAGAAAATAACGGCGACTGGTACGCTTCACTACACTCAGATCTTGCAACATTTGTATGCCACTGAAACGCTGTACACAAGTGTGTGTATACCAACTATACATGCTAGTTGTTACACAAATATCAATCAAGCTTAGTTAGGAAAGTGAAGCCTTAATTACTTGAATTATGACGGATCGTGACTTTAATTAGCGACACCGCTGCCATTGTTGACAATAAATTTCTATTTGAAGAACAATGAAAACTTTTTTGCCCTTATTTCTGGATATTCGGAGCATGAAAAGACAAAAAACTACAGCCACAAAAATGTAGTAATGAGAATTTGAATGAATTTAACTAACAAATAAAATTAAAAAAATCTCGAAATTTACAAAAGACTAAATTGCTAACGTTAAACAAAGAATCGGTAATAATCATGCTTTGCCACTGTAGTACTAATCTTTACTGTGATTACATAACACACATACAAACCTTTATTAAAAATTTTCAAGCATACATCTCGTAGAACAACGTATGTTATTTGTTATTCGTTATATAAATATACCCCTCCAACCAACCCGATTGGGTGGTTCGAACACGCATCACTAAACAGTCATATATCTACATACACATTCTCACACATTTGCACACACGCACATATCATGTTTGCGGCATAAGATACGAACAGTAAAGCGACAATACACACACAGGCACGCACATACACAAAGAAACTTACACACAGATACACAGAATGCAAAACAACGCAAAGCGCTTTCTTTGTTGAAATTTTTGCCTATTCTTTTAACTGCTCAACTGTTCGATTGTTCGCTGCTCGATTGTTCGAAAATAATATCAATAGTAAAACTAATAATGACAATAATAATAACGACGAAACAACAAAAACAAATTGAGAATAATAAATATAATTAGTGAAAATAATAAAATCGTTTTATTAATAATATATCATTAACACATTTAATACTAAAATAAGCATAGTAGCAATGCTAAAAAAATTTAATAAATAAAACAATTTCAACATCAACGACTACTTTGATAATAATAATATTATTACAAATTTTATTACTTCATTATATTATAATAATATTATTATTATTATCATTAATAATAATAATTATATTATTAGTACAGTTATTAATTCTACTCATGATGACAAGCCTCTGTAAAAACAACGCCAAGCTTGAATGAATACAAGTATTAAAAATACAATATTAAATTTGATTGTACGTTGATTCAACCGCTGTCGTCGTTGTATGTTACGTTATAACTCTCTAATCAACTCTAATCACAATCACCATCTTGTCATTATAACTGCGTTTTAAAAGTAACCTATTCTGACACCGACACACAGTTGACCATGATTCAATTTAAGAACACGCACACACGCACACACACACGCACACACACACATACCTACATAGATAAAAATTGCGAACCAAATCATCATCTTCCTCACAGCCATCGTCATCATCATCTTCATTTTACACTTCCGCTAGCACTGTTGTTATAGTTTTTCTTAAATTTTTTTACCATACTCACGATCACCATCTCTAGATCGTGATCATTTTTATCATAAACATAGGTAGCTACATAATATACATACATACATATACACATATACATACATACATACATACACACACACATATATATATATGTATATTGTGGTATTATATATATATTATATATATATATTATATATATATATTATATATATTATATATATATATATATATATATTTTATATATATATACATGCACATATGCATACATACAAATAAACACACATATACATACATACACATATACATACATAATATTTATGAAATACATAATATTCTATACTATGTATTTATTAAAGAACAGAACGCAAATAAATTTGGCGAGATAACAATAGAATATAATATAATGAAGATAGTGCATAACGAATAGAAATATATAATAAACAAACAGCAACAACAATAGTATTAATTACAATAAAAATGACAACAACAACAACAACAACATTGATATCAATAACAATAGTAATAATAATAATCATGATGGTGACGACGACAATGACGATAGTAAGGATGATCACGATCTTCGATTTGAGACACAATAGCAGAACTATGAGCTGGTCTGAGAATTCAGTAGCTGCGAAAGATAATACATTCTTTTGTTTGCATTTGTTCGTTTGTTTGCATTTGTTCGTTTGTTTGCATTCGTTTATGTTTGTTTGTTTGCTTGCTTGCCATTTTGTTTTGTGTCTGCTTTGTTTGTTGGAATGAGTTTCTAATATGAATATTTAATCTTTGAACATTAATTTAATAACGAATTTATACGAATTAATAAATTCATTTGAGGTTAAGGGGTTATCGAATAAACCAACGATAAGATGAATTAATGAAGAAAAAAAAACTGAAACCAACCAACTTGTACACCATTGTTCAAACCAAAAATAAACCATTCAACCAACTAAACAATTATTATGTCAACCAACTAGCCAATCAACCAGCCAATCAACCAGCCAATCAACCAGCCAACCAACCGACCAACCAATTAACGACTCATTCAATCTCTCAATCAGACATACATCATTTTTACACAGCACTTACTGTGTTAGTGTTGATCAAATTTTTTTGAGATACGCTCGATTTCAGCATTGGTACTTTCCGTTGCAAGTCTTCAACCACGTAACTGTACACACCCAACTTTCTTCTATAGAAATTTAATTTTAAAATGAAGAAACAAATCAACATCGTCATATAATTCCATCAATTAAGTTCTTTAGTAATGTTATCTCATACATCTGCTATAGTTCAATTCTAGTTGACGGTCCAAAATTTATGTCACTAACAAATTCCGAGTTTGATAATTTGAAAAAAAAACCTACCAAACTTGTAGAATATATAATTTTATATCATAATCTATATTTCTTTTATTAATTCATTCAACAAACAAACTGCATTGAAACATTAAAAACTCTTAATTGTAAATAGCATACATACTATTATATTTTACATATTAAACTAAATTAAAACAAAAAAAAAAGCAAACAAGCAAGCTACAAAGAGAAAAAAAAACGAACATTCTGTTGAATTTTTCAACTTCATCTTCATTGTTGAGGTAGTTGTTCCTCCTGATATCACGTGGAGCCTTGTCTGAACCCCTCCAGGGCGGTCGGCTGTTCTTCAAGTCTCTCTTGGTGGTCAGTGCGGACGTGCTCGTCGTGGATCGGTTGGTGTTCAGGGCAGATGAAGGGCGCTTGATTCGCGGAGATCGTGCCGACATCTTCAGTGTTGCCTGATTTCAAGTTGTTTCAAACTGTTTTACTGAATGTGAAATCTTTTTGTAAAAATTATTAACTCAAAACAAATTAACATAAAATATAATTTTAAGTGAGGAGTTAATTATTTTAATTATAGTAGCTGCAGGACAAAACATCAACACCAGTTGTATGGTGGTTTTCAATGCACTGATGTTTTCAATATAATGCTTCTTCCATAGACCAGCATTTTCTTGTAAATTCTTGCTTGGAGGAATCAGCCAACCAAAACTCAAACACTTCTTCATCCACAACTGATCAAGTTCTGTTATCCACTTCCAATGCCAGCACACCTAATCAATGATGCGTTGAAGTGAACCAATTTTATTCAAAAGAAGTTTCAAAATCTAATCATGATTAACTTATTTAAAATTCCTAAATAATTAGAATCTTGATTTATTCATCATGACGTTTTGAAATAATGAAAAAAGATAACTAAATTTTGGCTGTTCATGATATCCTCCAATATCATCAATAAATTTTCACAAAAAAATTAGAATTGTAAATAACTTTCATAATATCATCACCACAAAATGAACAAACAACTTGAATGAGACCTGGGCACATCTAGAAAGACTCCTTGGATCAAGGAAGGAGAAGATGTAAACAGATAAGATACGTGGCAAACATCGAGTGAAATCTTCGTGGAAAAAATTTTTTTTATTTGCCAAAAGTTCTCTCAGAGCATCCAAATGTTTGGACTTCATTTGACTAACAAAGTCATCAATGATTTGCAGTTTTTGATCATCTGACCACTTTTCAAACTTGTTTAAAAATATATTTCTTACATATACAATTTTGATTTGATGAAAAGAAACGTAACCAAATGGAACATTTAAAAAAACTGACCCATTTGTTTGTCAGAAGTCTTCTTTCATTAAAAATCTACAATGATTGTTAATTTATTTTTAATGCAGTGAAAAGCAATCATGATAATAAATAAATAAAATGATAAAAAATTACTCCTTCTATGTTCTGCTGAAACATCTCAATACTTATTGAAAGTTCAAGCTTTAGCAATAAATTTTGAAAAGTATCCAGTATCTAACTAGTCAATACTAAACTACAAATAAAAATTTAAAAAAAATAAATTATTGTGATACTGACCTTTTGATTTAGTTCAGGATTGCTGAGAGGAGTCCAAGTACTTTTACTTTTTGCAAGCTTAGCCATAGAAAATTTTTTAAAATATTTAAAGATATGTAAATAAATAAAATTTTGAAATGCTTAATATTATAAAATATAAGAAATTCGCTGTCATTAAATTCAAAGCGTTTGGCTAGAAACGGTCGCCAATGTAAGCATAAACACATGTTCTTAAAGATATCCTAATAGACAAATTGTGTACGATTTGATGCTAGGCTGAAAGTCGACCGCAAATAATATATCATACATAGAATAAAACGCAGAAGCTGTCACGTATCAACACAGAAGCCGTTTCATAAATGAAAGACTGATACTATTTAATTTCTAAAAAAAAAAATCAATTGCATCTGAGAAAACCGAATTTTAGGTAAGTTTTTATCGTTTTCTATCATCGCTTAAAAAATGCTTAAACATCTAACTAAATATATGGCATAATCATCGATGCTTCTCCCTCTCACTTTGTCATGTCATCCATCTATTTGTGGCAGATCCTTTCTATTTCTTTTTCCTAGCATTTTATCCTGATCACTGGAGCTTTAGTCTGTCCAGCTTTATCCAACAATCTAGTGTGCTTGCCGCCTTGCAACGAACCATCGCATGACTACTTTCTTGGCTTTATTACAAAATGGCTACATCGCCTGGAAACCATATCGAAGATGCTTCGTATATCGATAAAGACAAAGATGCACTGGCAACGAAAATACATACCAACATACATGCATTCAAACATCCGTTACAGTGAGTCAGTATTAATTTTGAACCAAAAAGTTTACTGATAACTAACGTTCAATACTTGTTACGCAACTGATTACAAGTTAAGTCTCATCAATCAGAAATACAAGGGACATGATTTCCTTTGCTTTAGATCACCCTTTACTCGTACCATATTTGCTTACGGTAATATACTTATGTACATAATTTCAGACAAACTAAACCTAACAGAAGTACACAAATCACACATACATACAATATTACACATACGTCGTATACACACGGACGCCTTCAAAAAAACAGAGAAATTATCGAGAAATAAAAAAATACTTTTGGACCGATTTGAAGGCAGACGCCCTTCAAAACGAGTTGTCCTTCCGGGCAATCTACTTAAACAAAAGAAAACCACACTAATTTTTTTTTGAAGAAATTGAACTTGGTGACAACTCATACTATCCATAAAAACGAGAAAACGTCAGTGTCCCGTAAATAGATTAAGTTAAAATTAAGAAAAAATGTGATGACATAATTTCTTTAAATTCAACGCTTCCAAAACATCACAAATACTTGTGGCTTATTAAACACATGACAAATAAACACATTAAATAAAATTTAATCATCTTTGCCAACTTTACACATAGTGAAAACAGACGACGTACCTAACAAATAACATTAACAGTGAATAAAAACTGTAATTATTACTAATAAAACGATAATTAATCAAAACAGGGAAAATTTATGATCAAAGTACGAAAGTAAACATAAACAGTCTTGAAAATTTGATAAGCACTAAAAGTTATCGAGTTTCTATGCTTTATTCTAGGTCTGGCATTTCTGCAAAAATTCAAACGTTTTCAGTGTTATAGCATGGCATGTCATTAAACTACCGCACTGAACAAATAAAAAAAAGATATAAAGTGCTCGTTAACCTTCATCATCGCTATCTCTCTCGTCATCCTGAAAAGAATAAAGAATAGTACATAAATTTTAAAAATTGGTAGTCACATCAGATCAAAACAATGCACATAAAAGATTTAAATAACAAGAAAACAACAAAAATAGAATCAAAAAAGGCAAATTGAATTCAAAACTTACAGCCATATCCTCTTCTGGCCCTTTATAGCTTCCCATATTATTCATCATCTAAATTAAATATAGTGATAAGCATTTATTTAATACAAGTTATAAAAAGAAATCACTACAAGTCTGAACGTTCATTAACTTTTAATTTTATCAATAAAAATTGACTCGTTTGTCCAAATCTAAAAAACTAGTACAATATTACACTCATGTAGAAAATTAAAAACAATAATGTAAAAAAATAAAATAAATTTTTTAAACCTTATCAATTTACACCAAAGATCATTAACTAAAATCTTCAAAGGCAAAATCTAATTAATCTACATAAAATATCTTATCAACGAACATCCTCAAAAGCAAAATCTTTAGACTCATCAACATCAGAATCATCCTCATCCCTCCACTTATCAAAATCTGTTTTCAACCAGTGAACCTAGTTTAAAAAAAATTCAAAATTAAATAAGTTTAACAAAACATAATATGTGTTGAAGAGTATGTAAAAACATGATCGACTTAAAAAATTTTTCTACAATTGTAATTAAAAAATAAAAACCTTTGTTTTATCTTTTAGTAGTCTGGGCCAGAATGGCCCACTTTCTTTCTTATAGACCACAAATTGTATATGACGAGGCAGAACCACATGTTTGGATTTCTTTAAAAGATTTTTAAATTGTTTTTGAGACTAAGAAGTTATCAATCAATCTTCCTTTAGAAGTTACCAAATTAGAGCAAAAGTTGTTTATGGAAATTATTTCAAAGGCTTAATGCTTTTTGGTTTAAATAATGACTAAATAAAACTAAATAATATTAATAACATTTCAATTTTTATAGTTATAATAAATTTTGCAACGTTAATTAAATTAAGTTTAAAAATTAAAGGACGCATATTTATTGGCCCCTTACTTCTGGATCAACGTCTCCATAAAACTCTATTGTTATATCATAATGCAATGCTTCTTTGTTTCCAACACCCCTAAAATTAAATTAAAATGATTTGAAAGGATTTTTTTAGCTAGCATCATATTTCAATTTTAAATAATTTTTTTAAAATGATATAAAAATTTTGAGCAAAGCATCCCAAAGAAATAAATATAAATAAGCGTGACATAATCGTACTCAAAATGTAGAGAGTTCTGTTCTAGCTTGATCGTTGGGTCTTTGCAATCTTCCACATTAATGGTCAGATACAATTTGTCCTTGCGTTGTGCCCACTGAACTGACGGTAAATGTCTGAAAAGCAAGTTCAACGTCAGTGCATCAAAAATATTTAAACTTGAAAAAGCGTATGTAAGGATTTCACATTTAATAAAAAAAAATAAAATTAAAATTTTCAAGATCGCAACACAATGTGAGCGAAAATTCTGGAAACATGCCGGAGGGATCGACCGATTCAGGCCAGAAATGAGTCACAAATTTATTTTGAAATAAGCAATCAGTGGTAAAAACATTAAAACCTCACCTGTCGTTAGCCATTTTATTTATTTTAATTTAATTCACTTAAAACAAAAAGAGCACAAAAAACTGATACAAGTTCTCTAAGCGAGCCAGTACAAACTTCCGGCAAAAAAAGGGATGGCTAGTTGGTTGGTCTATCGACTATCCATTGTCACATGCTTAGGATGTTCATTATTAAAATATAACTGAATAAGAACATTTAAGATATTGGTGATAGATTAACATGTTTTGTCGACTATTGATTAATATATTTAAATAAATACGTGTTTTATTTGTTTTGACTTTCAGTTTTTTGTTCGCACAGAGTTAAATAGCATTTCGATCCCCGAAAGTTAATTGCAATCGTTAAATATTGAATTAAAAAGAAATTGAAATGTAAATTCACATATATAAAGATAATAAGATAAAAAATACTCAAATTTATGACTGAAGATACATATTTTGTGTTTGTATTTTAAATATACAGATATTTGCTTTTGACAAATTCATTAAATATATTGATTGAAATATATTTGCTGATGATATGGATCAACTAGCGCTCAGACCAAACGATCTAAAAAGACTAGTAGACAAGATTACCCATCATAACCGCAAAGACTAAAATACAAAACAGCTGATAATTTCGGTAAGAAATAAGGGCAATTTATAATTTTTAACAGATTCAGTAAAAAAACTAAATTGAGTTCATGTACTTGTTTAATGTTATAGGTTGCAACTACTGGTTAATGCAAATTGATCGATATTGCGTTGAAGAAAAAGACGTATATGCAAACTTTTTGCTGTGAGGGCTGCATTGAGAATTATTTGATCTTTGAAGGGCCGCATTGAGAACTATTTAACCTTTGAAAGGCCACCTTGAAAATTATTTGACCTTTCAAGGGCCGTATATGTATTTAAATAGCTAATTTTTTCGACCCGTTGACTGAGAGGGAGAATTTTTAAACGTGTCTTTTGTGGCTGACGACCTTTTTTGGTAGTCATGTTCGTACGTTAGTTTTTTTCGATATTTGTTTATACGCTAGTTCATTTATTTATTCGTCCATTCATTCTTTATTTCATTCATCCATCCATCCATCCATCCATTCATCCATCCATTCATTCGTTCGTTCGTTCGTTCGTTCATTCGTTCGTTCGTTCGTTCGTTCATTCATTCATATATCCATCCATTCATTCACTGCCACAAATTTTCACAAAGAGTGAAAAAAGAGGTAACATAAGTAGCCAACTTGAACGGCAGAAATGTGTAGATGAATGGTTCGTTCAAACGTCCAAAGTATTTAAGATATCTTGTAAAATTTGCTTATTGACCAATAACACTACAGTTTTATAATATGCTAAAAATATTGAAAAATCGGCATTATTCAATTTTTTCAATTAAATTTTTTACAACGTAATATTAGTTGTTATCATGAAAAAACAAAGATATTTGAATGAATAATAATTTTTTTTACAATGGTTTGTTATAAATGATGAGCAATAAAATAGCATGTTTATTTACGAACTTATGTGAGATGAAATGTTTTACAATAAATTATAAAATATAGTTACAAATGCTTGTCTTTAAATAATTGCCGTCTGTACACGTACGACAAGTTATATTTAAATGTAGAAATAGATCAAATGTCACAAATTGACGAACGAAAATATCTAAACCATGATTGAAAACATTGGTAGAATGTTATTAAACATTGAACATTAAACATTCAAGAAGCCGATGACTGATAGAACGTGTGAACAGTTATGTACTTGTATGTACGTAGGGTGAATACGCGCGCGTGGTCGGCATTCACGCATTAACTTTATTCAAAACCACACGCGGCGATGACGGCTTGGTTGTTGTCGCTGTTGTCTGCGTGCGTTGCTGCTGCTAATCCTGGTCCACTGTCTCCCAGATCTTGATTAGGAAGGCTGTAGTCGTCCGTGCAATCCTCATCGAACGTCATCTTGTGTCGGCGATTAATTATTTTAGTATATTTAAATTGAAACTTGATCGATCAGTTTCATTACAGCAACTTTGAAATTAAAGATTTTACACTCATTTTCAATAAACTACATGGAATGTATTGAATTTAAGCTTACGTCGTCGCTACAAACTGGTTCGTTTCCATGACCAGCACTGTCCTTTTTCTGGTTGAACGTTTTATAAATTAATTATTAAGGCTCAAATTCTTTTAAATTGGTTAAGCTCATTAACGCTCCAAAGTAAACGCTTCATAAAAATATTGAAACAGGTAGGAATAAATTCCAACGAACGAATTAACGAATAAACAAGCGTATCAAACAAATACTCATAGAGGAAAATTTCCAAACAGATAACAAATGAATAAACATTATTCAAAGTTTGTATATAAAGAAACATTTTCTAACCACACAGGCCACCGTAAAAATAAAAGCGAGATGGAAAAGGATGTAGATGCTTCCGAAAATGCCAGCAGCGATGTTGTCCAGGTTGCCGACGAGAGATTGATTGCACTTTGTGGATGTGTAAATGAAGAAAACGATAGCGTGCCAAACGCAGATGACTGTCAGGATTCCCATCAGTCCTAATATATATCGATCCTGCCATGTGGAAGGCAGGGATTGTCGCAATCCGATAGTTTAACACTTAGTATAAACACCATTTAAAATTCACAACTAAAAAATTTGTATTTAACGACTTGCCAAAAAATGTCACCTCGTGTTTAAAACTGGCAATTTGAAACTTATTTTCATTGAAAAGACCACCAAAAATATTAGAAAATAATAAGCAACGAACGAGATAGGTGAGGTAAGAGATGCTGGGCAGATTCTGGTTGGCCACAAATTTGAATGAAACTGTCGTCAACAACAAGATGAAGGTCAACTGAAGGCGATTTTGTGGTAAGGTGAAGGAGACGGAGAAGGTAGCGAACGACAAGCTGCATATCAACGTCTGCGTGGAGAGTTGTTTCGTTGATTCTTGTTGTGGTGGTGATGATGCCAGGTAACATTTCAGTTCATATTCAATGTTATTGTGTGTTTCAAATGATAAACTTTGTTTCAATGTAATTATGAAATAAGCGGTAACATTGGAGATGGGATTTGTAGGAGTATGAGCACAACTATGTAGGAGTAAAATATTGATTGGTAATAAATGAATTTATAATAATAACAACAATAAGCAAAGACAAGCAACTAACCATAATAACAAAAATATTCCAGAAAAAGAATTGTGGCCTCCTGGAGACTTTACAGGAAGCACCGAATGCAGGATGTTTCTTGGTTGTGTTGAATGATTCCTCCTTCACCTCCTTCCACGTCGTGCAGCCATCGTGCAGTTTCCACTCCTGCACGTCAGCAAACGACATGACGTTCAACAGGCATTTCTCCTTTGGATCCTCTATCAACTCCAACTCTGATTGGTCACGATCTGAGATCACTGAGACCGACAAATCCTTATTCGAAAGTGCAGAATTTTGAGTCAGTTTGAACAAATTAGACGACGAAAGTTAACTAGTTTGAAAACTTCTCTTTCCTTCTTAGAACAGACTTAACAATAACAATAACTATATTTTATTTGGCCACAAAATTTGATGAAAATTTTAACTTACTTAATTTGTAACCATATCTTTTCTCACAAAACACAACATTTACAGATAAATGAAACCTGTGTATCAAAAGGGAACTGGTAAAGTTCCATGAATTCTAAGAAGGCACCGGTGACCCTTCTTTTCTCGCAGATGATGGCCTGGCCGAAATTATCAAACGTTAACGTGTGCCAGATTTGCTCTTTTGGCTCTCCAATGACGTTTTCAAGGGAGAGGCGAGGATTCCAATACAACTCCCAATTAATCGGGTCCTTTTGCTGTTGTTCGGAGATTGTTTAACAATGTTATGTGTGTAATTTGCTTCTTTTCGTTGAATTAACACTTGGAACTTAAAAATTTTTGCCAATTTGTTAATATTCAATGTTTTTAATTTAACGTTTAAAGAATTTGTCTCTAGTTTTGTAGTCAAATTTTTACTATGTTTAAAATAATTTCAATTTTTTATTTTTATGGTAAATTTTTCATTGCAATGCCCTTTGCTTTTTTGAGAAGAGATATTAGACTAATTACATTTTTCAGTAATCTGAACACACAAAATTTTTCAAAAACCACTTCAACAATTTTTTAATTATAATTTATTATTTCAACTGAATATGAAAATTCAAGTCTAAGAATTTAGTTCAAACTGTTATAACTATTTACAACTTAAAAAGTGCTTGTGAGCCATCGACTTAGTTTATAGAAAGAAGTTGGAACGAACCGATTTAAACTTGCCATCGAGGGCAGGTTCCCTCCACTTGCACTGAATGAAGACGTCAGCCGAGAACTTGTCACGCATTGTGTCGATGTCACCTAACTTCAAGATCACTATCTTCGTGAATACGATCACCTAGTTTATGTTGCGTTCATGTTCACTTATCATGTTTAACATATTAATACTGAAATAAAAATAAATTTCGGTTTCAATTTATTCAAAATTGTATGTAACTTTACGTCAAATATTGGAAAAAAAGTTTATTATAAAATATTAAACCATGTATTAGCAGTCGTAAAAATGCAAAACCTTGTCAATTCGGTTGGGCATTTTGGCAGAGGATGCGAGCGAGTGTTCCCTACGGAGACTGCTTAACGTCCTGGGAACCTTCTTCCCCTTCTCATCTTCTTCTAGGGACAGATCCTTCGTCAGGTGTTTCTTGATGCTCACCTCCAGTGCTCTCAGTGCATTACTGAATTGGACCGAATCGTCCAACGTGTACAATCTCTGTTTGTCGTTTTCTGACGTCATGTTCGCAACGGTATCGTACGTTGTTCTCAACACGATCTTACTGGTTAATTTAATTGTTTTTATTTGATTTTTATTTGGAATTTTTCATGTGCGAAGCAGTAATAGTTTCATGTTTGTAGTTACGAATGAGAATGTCAAAAGTATCCCACAGACGACAGATTTAAAAATTTCACAAAATTTTTACAACAATGTTTTCCTGAGCAACACGTCGGCAACAGGCACAGGAACAGCGAAAGCCAAGAGACAGAACGGCGTTTAAATTCTATTTGTGGAAGTAGGCATCGAATGTTTTTTTTTTTATATTGACGGCTGGAGCAAACAGCTCTTCATAATAGCTACGCCTGACGCACTGAATAGGCCTATCTTTTCTATCCTCATGTCATGTCAACCAACATGAATGTAGTACCATGTTCGATGCATGTATGTTATAGCTTCTATAAATACATACACATATTATTTATTTATATACACATATGTATGTGTATGTTACATATATATATATATATATATATATATATATATATATATATATATATATATATATACAATTATTTATTTGAAAATATATTCAAAGTGTGATAAACTGATAGACAGGAGATGAATGAAATGTGAAAGAATTTGATGGCGGGAAAATATGATTTTTGAATTTTTAAATGATTTTAAAGGAGATTTTAAATGATTTTAAGTAAAATATATTTTACTCATTTCTATTTTGTGTAAGGTCAGTGAAGACAGTTGTACGTTAATACAAAAGTTGTACATTGATATGCATAAAAGTTGCATGTTTGATACAAAAAGTGTAAATTGATACAAAGTTGTACATAGATACAAAAGTCGTATATTGATATTACATTAGTAGAAGAAATTTTCCTTGTGTGAATGCTCACGTGATGTTGATGTATGCATGCGTTCTTATAATCGTTTATTCAGTCGACAATGAAATGAATTGCCATTGTTCCACGAATGCTTCTGCTTGCCTGAAAAATAAAGGTGCTTACAAACGAATGTGTCTATATTGTATGTATGTATCGTTTTGTATGCTTGTTTGTATATATGTATTTATGTATGTCTGTATGTCTCTATGTGTGTATGTATGTATGTATGTTTGTTTGTTGAGATATTCGGTGTGTGGTTTTACGTAAGATCATCTTGAATATACATAAGCAAGCGCATGTTTGTACGTGTGCATGTATAAAAATTATATTGTTTGCGATAAACAAAGCAGATGAAATCTCATTCCCTTTCATAGAAAACTTCATAGAACAAAAACAACAACAAAAACAACAACAACAGTAAAAACATCAACAAAAACAACAACAACAATATAACCAACAATGAAGATAATATTTTCAATAAAAACGAATCAAATAATTAGTAGCAATGACATCAGTCATAGCAGTATAACACCAGAGACAGAATAACAATAAAAACAACAACTACCTGTCAAAATTATAAACAAAATTGTAGAAACAACATTAAAAAAAACATTAATAACGTCTCTTAAATTAATAACTAATATTATTGTCATTACCATAGATGATTATCACCACCAGCCCAAGAAACGTGGAATGGACGTTTCTCGAATATTGTCGAGAAGGGGGGTACAGCACGGCAAATATAAGACCCGTCTCTATGGTTACCACTATGAAAATATGTATTTAGTCGATGTGTGTGTGCTTATGTGATGGAATGCATGAACGTTCTGCTAGTTATGATGGCTCCTTCATTTTTATTGCTATAATTTTAACAATTATCTCTAACATTTATTACATATCAGCATTTGTTATTGCTTCAGCGATGATATATGGTAATGGAGTAGTGATGTTGGTATGAAATGAAGAAAGTGGGGTTTATGGCTGTTTAATTTATCCCTTGAACATTTTTAAAATTATTTTACGTTGTTTCGATGAAAATCAGAGACAAATATATTTAAAATCATTAGCTCATCAACAGATTTTTTAGTTTTATTGACTCTAATATGTTTGGGAAAGAATTGTTTTCTAAACCATTGGAAAGAAATGCTAAAAATGTACTTTTTAGACTTAGTGATTATCATTCTATCGTCAATATTAATAACGCAATAGTGATAATAACAATAAAAATAAGAATAATAATAAAGGGCAGTCTGATGGCGAAATGAATCTCTTTATCTTTTTTCTTTCTTCTCTCTTTCTTTCTCATTTTTTTCTTTCTTTCTTCTTCTTTTTCCTTCTTTCTCCTTCTTTTTCTTTCTTTTAAACAATCTCTCATTCAATAACTCTTAGCCTCTTCTTTGCTGTCACGATTGTCATCAGTGTATTTGTCCTTGCTGTATTTGTCACCATCATCATCACCACCACCACCATCATAATCATCATCATCATCATCATTACCATCATCATCATCACCGTCGTCATCATCATCATCGTCATCATCATCACTGTTGGAACTGATTATGTAATCATCATTATACAGCTGTCTATAAAAATAATTAGGAACAATAAGCGGGTCTTAATTAACAGTCCGCATCATTATCATCACCATTAACGTCATCATCATCATCATTAACGTCATTATCCTCATTATTATCATCATTTGCTACATCATTATCACCATCATTATATGAACGCACGTACGCACATAAATATATACAAATAAATAGTTATTTTAATAAATAAATACATAATGCGTATATGGATATGCGTGTGTATATATTTATATACCTAGATATATTAGTGTGTAAGTGTGCATTTGTGGCGTGTTTGTGTGTGTGTGTGTGTATGTGGTGTGTGCTTTTTGTATTTATAAAAAACAACAAAGAGCCAACACAAAAACTGAACATACAATTGGGGAGCGAGAAAAGGTATGAGAAAATTATGGAGAAACTAATGACAGAGCCGCAAATAATTGGGTCAAAATATATGAAAAGAAGCACTCGTGATGATCTCTTGGTGGAAAAACTTTGCACATGAAAGCAGCAACAACAGGAAAGAAAATACGACCAGGTAAAAACGTTAACCTAGAATTAACGAAACTTGTGTTGACGGCAAAAACTGCAGCAACAACAACAACAACAACAGCATTAACCACAATCACAACAAGAGCAGTAGCAACCACAACAACAACAACAACGACAACATCAACAAACGCAACTACAGCAACAGCAGCTGCAACAACAACAACAACGACAACATCAATAATAACAACATCAACAATAGCAGCAACAACAACAACTATGACAACATAAACAACAATAACAATAACAACAACAACAACTATGACAATATTGACTTTAACAACATCACTAACATTAATGAAATATCAGCAACTACGGGAAAAACATTAATTAGAACAACAAAAATGACAAAAAAATACGACGACGATGACGAAAATGTCACCAAGATTGTTTACATATCGACTGTTTTCACCATGGCTACCCAATCGATCTTACAATAAAAATAAATTTGTTGTTGACGATGTTGTTGTTTGCGTTACTGCTTTCATGTTGGCGTAATTGCTGTTGTTGTTGTTGTTGACGACGTTGTTGTGTTGTTGTTTTTGCTATTATTCATGTTATCGCTTGTGCTGTTGTTTATATTTGATGTAATTGTTGTTGTTGTATATGCTGTTGCATAAGTTAACACTGATATTGTTGCTATTGATACTTTGTTGATTTAGTTAATGTGGTTTATAATGTTGAAGCTGATGGTTATGATGAAGCTGATTTATCATATATCATTTATGTGGTTATATATTATATATAGATGTGTGTATATGTATAGATACGTGTGTGTTTGTGTGTGTGTATGTGTGTGTGTATGTGTGCGCGTATGTGTGTGTGTATGTACTCACTTGTTTGCTTATTTTTATTCATCTAATTATTTTTATCTGCATTTATCTCTTATTAATAGATTTATTTACCTCTTTTTCTATTTATAACTTAATTTATTTAAATTAATTTCATTCAATTGTAATTAATTTCATTTCACCTATAGCTCGTTGAACTTTTGACCGCCCGTGGTTTTATATACGTCTGGTGTCTTTTGTTGAAGTTGAAACATTTAGAAAAACTGTGTCGACGACGATGATGATGATGGCGGTTGTTATTGATGTGATGATGATGATAATTAGAATGATGATGGGAAAGATGATAATTGATAATAATGTGGATTTTAAAGAAGATGAGGAAGATGAAGAAAATGAAGAAGAAGATGATGATAATGATGATGATATGATGATGATGATATGATGATATGATGATGATATGATGATGATGATATGATGATATGATGATGATATGATGATGATGAGGATAAAAATGACGATAAAGATGAGAATGATGGTGATAATGAGGAGGAAGAAGATGACGAAGAAGATGATGATTGGGATGATGAAGATGACAGTTGACAGCGGGAATGATGATCAAGTTGTCATCCGAAGTGAATGTTTATAGCAGTGGAGATGTCAGCAACCTCCGGAAAATGATGACAACGACGATTTTATGGTAAAGTTATGTGTTGAATAAATAACGAATAAAATTGACTGAAAAATAACAAAACATAACAATGTGAATGAATAAGATGATGATTACGATAGCGATGGTGGCGGTGATAAGGACGATGATGATGTCTAGTCACGATGCTTCAACACATGTTAAACAATGTGAGTGAAGAGGATGAAGATGTCGATGATGATAGTGAACATGAGGAGTGAAAGATTGTGATAGCGATGAGGATGTTGATAACAATGGTGGTGATGGTGACTGGAATGGAAAATTTGGATTATTTGTTTGATGAAAATAATTTTTTATTGAATTATACAAAAACACACGGACACACACACACACACACACACACACACACACACACAAACAAACAAACAAACATGTACGAAAAAATAACGTTTCTTTTGATGATTTGCAATTTACTTGCAAACATTAGGTGCATTGATTCTACAAAAAATGTAATTAATCGAGAGGGCGGCGATGATGATGATGATGGTAATGATGATGATGATAATAGTAATGATGATGATGATAATAAAAAAAGTGATGAGACCTTGCTAATTAAAGTTATTATTATTATAAGTCTTATATTTAATGTGCCAAATGGGGTAATGATCTCAAAATTTTATTATAATTAACACAACTACAGTCAAATTAAGATGATAAAATTATATATCTTAATGATACATTGTAATTATACATGAAAATGATACATTAAATTGATATAATGATGACGACAACGCAAATGATTAATTCAATTACATGACTAATCATACATGAGACGAAACATCAAAATGATGATGAAGATGATGGTTTCTTAGACACTTGTCTGTCTATATATGAAATAAAATAAATGAAACTATTTAAGCCAGGGGTGGGCAAACTTTTTGCTGTGAGGGCCGCATTGAGAACTGTTTTACTTTTGAAGGGCCGCATATGTACCTAAAAAGCAAAGTTTTTCGACCCGGGGGAGAGTTTTTTTAAGATTTGTGACTCCTTTTTTTGTTCATAATGCCTGGCTGACGACCTTTTTTCTGGCGAACAAGGCCTCGCGGGCCACATAAAATAGCTTCGCGGGCCGCCTCTGATTTGAGCAACTCAATTGGTCTGCCGTTCAAATTTAATCATTTATATAAAAATAAATTTATTTATTCATTTAAATTATAATTATATAAACAATTCTCTTTTAAATATTTTTCCAAGGGACTAACAACAAAGACACAGTGCTTGTATCAACAAATACACGTGAAATAACGCATGACGCACATTGCACGTGATAAGTGGGCTCTCTTTGCAGTCGAATTCGGTCAATGCATCTCCATTGCCAGACACCTTACCGTTACACCAACACGTCGCCGCAAAACACAAACAAGTATTTTTTTCAATTTTGTATGACTTTTTATTATATAGCTCCACTTTTAATTCATTCAAATAAAATGAAGATAATTTCATCTCAATGATAAAAATACTAATAAAAGAGTAATGAAAATGATCGAAATTTAAACACCAGGTACCAACCATTAAACGTTGGATTGTAAGTTCGCTCTTCAATTACATGAAACAAAATAAAGGTAAACTTTTCCACATAATCGAATAAATAGCCAGACGGTACAACAGACAAAATTAGCGTCATATACATACGCAGGCCCTTGAAGAAGGGGTCACTAGGGTTATTTGGCTTGGGCCTTCCAGATTAACACCAATAATATTCTAAGAGTAATAAAAATGATAATAATTATTATAGTTATAATAGCAACAATGACGACAACAAAGATAATAATAAAAATATATCACCATCTAACAAAAAAAATTGTATCTATGTATGCAGATTGTTTCCATTCAGTTGGCTGCGTAGATGCCGACTGAGATGACGATGGTGAAGATGATGACTCCAATGACGTGGACCAAGAGCAGTTGTGGTGGTAGCGAGTTTAATCGCTGATTTATTGATTGATTGAATGAATGATTGAATAAGTGAGTGAATGAATGAATGAATGAATGAATGAATGAATGAATGAATGAATGAATGAATGAATGAATGAATGAATGAATGAATGAATGAATGAATGAATGAATGAATGAATGAATGAATGAATGAATGAATGAATGAATGAATGAATGAATGGAAGCTTGAATGAATGAATGCGTAGATGGATAGATGAATAAATAGATGAGTGGATAGATTAGATAAATGGATAGATTAATAAATAAATGAATGAATGAATGAAAAAAATTATAATCATATCCTAATAACTAACGGCCGGAACTTGAACTCTTGGTTCTTTGGCTTCTCCTTCTTCATTTTCTTTGTTCTGTCTGTTTATTGCTGCAAAGTAAGTAAACAAATTGCAGGAAGCATTATTTACCGAAAACAATTTAAGAGAAAAATATAAAAAATTGGTAAACCAGCGAAATTTTTCTATTTGATGACGTAATGGATACAAATTTTGCACGAACTTCTAACTCTTTCCTTGTAGAACTTGATGGTATAGAGGAAGAATTCGATGAGGGCCTGCCACCCCATGTGGCCCAACACGACCCACGGCCACCAAGAAGGCAGGGTGAGTTTGGAAAGAAAGACTGACAACAGGATGGTGATCACTGTGGGAAAACGTTGATATGTCGTTAGTGCGAAATAAATACATTTTCCATTGCCACGAAAAAAAGTTATTATAACCGTTTTGACAACATTATTATAGTCGTTGAAAACATTTGGTGAAAAGCTTTAAGACCAAAAAAATGAATAGATGAATCGAAGAAACGACAACTGACATGCGATGAAGTATGACGTCTGACCGATGACGTAATGAAACAAATCGAAGAGCCATCGATTCTTGCTCCGTATGTCGCACCTGAAGAAGGCCAACACGGCCTGTTGAAATATTCCTTTCATCAACCAATTTATTTTTCTGACGTCAAGTTTTTGTTGCATTGTCTACTAGTTAGTAACAAACAACGATTCAAGATCTAGTCACATCAAATTACATCAACCGCAATGCAACTGCAACAACACTCCAAAACAACAAAAACCACATCATTGCCAACGTAGTAAAATAAAAAATAACGAAGGAAGAAACTTGCATTGAAGACAATGAGAACCGTTACAATTATACCGAGTACCGGATGGGCCGCTCCGATTCCATGCACCTGGCGACGAATGTCGAAATTAAATGCCCCATTTGTTAGTTGCATGTAAAACATGTCAATACATATTATACATACACCGTTTTGTAATGTTTCCCAACATGTTGAAAAATATTGCAGATTACAACGCTCTAGTATGAAAAAAATTTATGATAACTATGACAACAAAAAATGAATGAATGAATGAATGAATAAATGAATGAATGAATGATTAATGAATGAATGAATGAATGAATAAACGAACAAATGAATAAATGAACGAACGAGCAAACAAAGAAAGGAATGAGTGAATGAATGAATTAATTAAACCAATTAAAAAATTTAGTTAAGTTGAGAAAGTTAAGTTAATTAAACAATTGGGAACTCACGATAGAGTAGCGGCCGACCTCAACGAAGATGAGGACGAAAGAAATGATGGTAAGCAGGATGGCGGACATGAACAGGATGAAGTGGAACTTTTAATTGTTTATTATTTTTTAATTATTTTTATAATTATTTAAAATAATGAATAAATATAGAAATATAAAAAATAACATATATTAAATAAATATTACTTTAATTTCATTCTCCTTATTTTATTCTCATATATTCAGACGCTTACATATCATTAACTTAACTCACATTATATCATTTTCATATGAGTAAATTAAAAAAGGGATGTGATGTGTCTGATAAACTTGAGCATCTTGCAAAAGTAAAACCTGAAAAAAATATTAACAAAACGTACAGAGAACCAGAAAGGCTTGTCAAAGATTTTGATTCTGATGGACGAAATTTTGAAGTACCTAGGAAGGATGACGGCCACACTGGCCGCGAATGTCCATGCAATGACCATCAGGACGCCTGTGTTTGAGCGTTTGCTGCTATTAATATTAACATCATGTCATAGAGTTGTTTTGTTTCAATTGTTTGCAATCCGTTTGAACGGTGGACCCGCACAAATACACACATATTTAATAACTTTATACTATGTTTTCCAAAAGAACAACACGCACACACACACACACAAACACACACGCACACACACACACACACACAAATCAAACTACAAAACAGCTACTAAAGCCATAAAACAACGATGTTGAACAGTTGTAACAACATCAGCGGCAACAGAGAACCAACCAACCGTGAATTTTAACGTTGTATTTCTCCACGAGACCAACGTCACTTATTATTTCCATGGAAAAAGTGAGAGGTCCGTGTGAGGTGGCCCACTCGTGGTTGCCCAGATGACCCTTCCTCTGACTGCCACTGGCCACAAGAATGTAGTACTCGCCGTCCCCTGCGAATAGAACTTTGTCGTAATCTGCGGCGGATTCGTCCTTAATCAAGCGGCTTCGACTGCCATCCACGTCTTTGTTGGTATTGCCACTACTTGCGGTTATGTGGTATCGGTGGAATTCTGTTTTGAACAATGCAAATGAGCAGACGACCTCTCCGTCGACGTATGTGACGTTGGATAGTTCAGGGAGCAGGTTGTACGTCGGCTAATGTAGGTCAGGTCAGATGAAATTATGTGGGTCGGTGTCACACTTTTAGTTTGATTTCAATTAAAATTCGTTTTAGCACTGTATTCTTTAAAATGTATACAATTCAACGCTATAACCTAGCCTAACCTAATTTTTATAAAGTAAAAATTTTAATTTTTATAAAGTAAAAATTTTAATTTATGAAGTGCGTTATTCAGTTGAAAGCGGTTCACCACCTTTAAAGTTTTCAGTTCTCGACAAATTACATCATCTTAAAATCATTTCGACAATTGAAATTTGTAATTTTCTGGTCATGCGAATGACCAACGACAATGATGATGCTGGCTAACATTTTTAAGTATGACGTTCTGCAGATCATTCTCTTCAACGAAGTTCCAACTCATCTTCACACCATTTGGAGTGCAAGCCACCACACTGTCGTCTGTCTGGAGCGGTGATTGGTTGATGACAAACGATTGATTGGCTGGTTGGTTAGAAGAAAATTGATTGCTTGGTTGTTTGACGAATGATGATTGCATGGTTTATTGGTTGTTGATTTAATAGTATTTTTCATTTGCTTAATGAAAAATATATTGAATGAAAAATTTGGTTAGCTGGTGATTGAAGTTTGAATATCAGATCACCAAACTGGAGGCATAAAATTGTGAGTAGTTAATTACTATCTGACATCTTCGTAAACATTAAATGACAACGCACGCTGATTCATACTTTAAAAACATAGAAACTTTTAATAAAAACGACGAATCAGTATGACTAAGCAGACTGAAACGAACCATTTTTGAATCTTTCGACAGAGCTATTGCGAAATATTTGTTCAACTCAACTTTGGCCCTTATTTCAAAGTGGACAGCCACCTGGTCCACAAACCACCGAATTTGGTAATTCTGAACGTCGTTTGAGATGTTGTTCACTTTGCTGACCAGACCGCTGAACTCCTGCAAACAATGGTGGTGGGCACCTACTTATTAAATTATTAAATGCCTGATGATGCACTCGACGAAATTTGTGTTAATAAAATCCACTACATAATTATCATAAATGCTAATGTTAATGAAAACATTTGAACAAACTTTTGAGGTAATAAATTATATTCAAGATTGAAATTTTTTTCATTTTAGATTCGTAAACGTTGAACTCACCGGCGTCCCAATATAAACTGCGAAGAAAAATAAAAATATATTTAATTAGATTAACACAACCTTTCAAGTACAGGGAAATTATTTACGCAATGAAGATTTACTCAACGGCGTCTGATGCATTTTGAATGTGTATTCAGTTAATGAAACTTGTCTTTACATTCACTAACTCGAGGGGTTTTTATTAAAAAAAGCTGATTACAACAGGGTTCATAATAACTAATGTGCACTTGTACGCTTTAAAACTGGGTCACTCAAAATAAATGTTAAATTAAAAAGTTATTCCGATGAATCAAATTAAATTGAAGTGAGGTGAGGCACGTGAAACTTGTTCAACCGACTGTTTTAGGTCTATGAACGAATGTTAAGTCAAAAAATAAAAAAATCGAATGCTGAACGAGAAAACTGAATAAACGAAAAAGAACATTTGTACGAACGCTGGTGTGAACATCTGTATGAACAATGAAATGACTAAACGCAAAACAACCAAACAGTAAATGTTTGACTAATTTATGAACGAACAAGCGAACCAACAAACAAATGAACGAATTAATTGAGAGATACCTGGATGGCTTACAACCTTCCAGAACAGTGTTGCATTTCGTAGAACCGTTGCACTAGACGTTTTAAGAACATTATGAACATAACTTGATATATAACTATAATTATAACATGAATAATAAAAATAATATCATCAATAATAATAATAATAATAATGATTGTAATAAAGATAATAAATATTTTTTTAAAATCATCAACAGATAACCAACTTGAAAATGATGTATCCCCTGAAATCAGCACTGTTTGACGTCCATGTGAACTCACGCTCCGTGTGATTGTGCTTACCTTTCTGTGATAACGTGTCGTTCTGTTGAAGATGAGAGTGTTAAAAATTTTCAGAATTAATGACAGTATTAGCAGTTTAAATAAATATTATTTATTTATATTTACGGTTGAAAATATTAATAACCTTGGTGGTTTCATGACTTGCGTTATTGCTTCATTATCATCACCATCATCATCATAACTCTCGTTATAAGCATCATCATCGTCATTCTCGTTATGAAAATCATCATCACCATCACCGTTATCACCACCAACTTCATCATAATCATCATCACCATCTTCGTCATCATCATTATCAACATCTCTTAACTGTCCTCATCACCATCATTTCTCTTATCATAAGAATACGTATTAGCGACTCACATCGCACGTCAGGGTGGTCCGATTGATGACGTCAAAGGTACCGACGGGCCGGTCCATGTGATCCCTGGCTTGAATGACGTAACCCTGAAAGACCTCATCTATCACGGATTTTATCTTGACTGTTTTGGTGTGGTGTGGTGTGGCGTGATGTAGTAGAGTAAGGTGTGGCCTGGTGTAGTTATGTGTTAATAATGACAATGTGATTTTGTCGTAATGTGATGTTTGTAACGTTATACTACGGTGAGTGTTTTTAAGAATTTAAAGCATCACAAAATTTGTATAATAAACGGGGATCGTCTCTGTTTTTGAACTCGACGGCAAGAATGCAACTACAGGTGTGCAGCATCTAACAGTTACAACATCTCGTCTGCCAAAATATGGCATGGTGAAAATCATGATAGTAGTGTATGATCTGGCGTGATGTGTAGAGATGATTAAGATGTGATGATGGATATGTGAGGATTCTGATAGTGATTATAATGGGAAAATATCATATTGTAAGGATGGATAAGATATTGGGATTTAGGATTATAATTGAGATATTTAGGATGATAGAAGCCTAGGGAATAAAATAAATGATATCCAATGAATAAAACAAAAACAGAGAAACAAAAAGAAAACAGTAGAACAAAAAAATGTCGCCAATGGATTTAAATGTTAGAAGATCACAAAGAAATCTGGACCAGAAAACCGCTACAACTAACACCAGATTTCGCACGTATGTGTCTGTATAATAAAATTTTCGTAAACCGTTTCGATGATGTAGACATACACAACACAGAACACAGACACCTAAACACATATGCGTACATACATCGGAACACACACACACACACACACACATACACACACACACATACACACACACACACATGCACGCACACACACATACACAATCATGTTTGCTAAATATTTATTCAATAACATTCCAACATAAAATTTGACCATATTTTAAAGATATGAAATATATTATAGTTTAATACCTCACATAGAAGTATCAGTTGTAGCATGTATTCAAACGTAAACAAAAGCAAACGCCATAAAATTTGCACACGGAATCATCAAAATTAATTATAAAGATACGACTTCGAAAGATGACAGAAAACAGAACTGAATGAAACGAGCGTAGACAAAAAAAAATAACGTAAAAGATTTTTCGCAACTTTATAGCCGCAAGTGCTCGGATTAAATTTTTTTTATTGATTTATATTTTTTATTTTTTAGGATTTTTAGTGATAACATTATTACGTACTGACTTCCTGCTTGAGTATTTACTGTTATATATTTTTTATTTTTTTTAAAATTTCTAAGTTTGGAGAAACAACAATCTGCAACTTTTTTGATCACTGGTATAGACAGAGTTATCAAATAAGTTTGATCGTAAAGTTGGTATATTAAAAAGTTTATCAACTTTGTGCAAATCCCATCCGGCTCTTTCTTGCTTCTTAAACGCATAAGTTTTCAATTAACGGATGAAAAACGCTTGCCACAGTTTATATTAAATATTGTAAAAATTTTTAAGTTCCTAAATAGTTTAATAAATTAATTTTTTTAATTTTAAGGAACAAAATATGTGCGTAAACTTGCGTACAATCTTGTACTGACAATAATCCGGTAGTTATATAGTTATGTACCCAGAACAAGTCATTATTCTACTTTACAACAGCCCAAATTGATTTATGTAAATTTAGTTGAACTAACATTTTGAATAAGTTATTAATTTTTAGAAATTTAAAATAAAAACAAATTAATATACAATACAATTGTCAAGAATTCAAGTTGTTAAGAAACACAAAAAAAATTCCACAAATAAAAATATGTAAGACAAAGCATGCCATGACTGCAACTGCTTTTTATCGCTATTAATATCATCACTGTTAATCATAAAAAAACGTTAATTAATTTTTTTGAACTTTTAAAGCCAGAGGCTCAAGGCTTGAATGATAATTAAGAGATGCCAGTTCATAAATGACATTAGACTTTTTAAAGTGAGTTATTTATTTAAAACAATTGCCTCAAGTTATCTAATTGTCCTTGTTTAACTGTTTTCTATTCCAATCAAACTTTTTAATTCGGTTCACTTTATCATTACAACTGAAAAAATTGTCTAAATATAATTTTTTAAAGTGAGTTTCTCAAAGTAATATATGTGTGTATCAGCATATACATCCTATGCTTCGCAACCATATTTTTCTTAGCTTATTAAAAGCATGCAAAAACAAGGAGAACATGATATAGAAGAGTGCTAGAAGCAACTAAGGCAAAAATGTAAAAATATCTTTTACCCTCTCATCTTTCAGAAAAACTTTTCACAAACATATTTGCTCATTACACACATGTCACATGCATTTTTCGTTCATCGCATACCACAAACAATACAATGCAACACCGACAAACAACACAAACAAAACAACGAAGCAATAAATGGATACCAAACCGAATTTACTTCAAAAACAGCAGTTACAAGAAAAGAATAAAAGCGTTGTTATAGAAATAAATTACGTTTCCATGCTCCTTCCTCACGAGAGCACGTAAACAGACTGATTTGAATTAGATTGTACGGTAAATAGGTCATTTGGATTCATTCGTTCTTAGGCTTTCTTACGTCACATCTATAGCAGGTTTCCAAACAATGGAATCGTTTGATGATTGAACGTTTGCACGTATTTGCAGTGTTATGCAAACTAATATGGGATACGCCTGCGTGTATGTTTCTTTTTGGAATTATAAATAATACTAACGATGGCCTTCAGACTTTCATTCATTTAAAATTTTTATTCGTCATCTATATATAGCTGAAGATGTCGCATGTGTGGCATCAGACAGTGCTTCTCAAACTTTTTGGTATCGCGGACCGGCAGTTATTGGACACCACTTTGAGAAGCACTGATGTTATGAATGCTTAAAATCATCTTCATTTTTCAATCAAATAAATTTGTACCATTATAAAAATTAAGCCCATGTTCACATTTTCTATCATACTTGAATTCAAACAGCTAAATTAATATAAAATAAAGGGCGTTATTATTTATGTTAAAATTAAACTGACGACAAGCTGAATGTGAACATGTATGAAATAAAATTCATCGTGATATTTGGTCTACAAAATGTGCTAAGATGATTTACGCCTCAGTCTGCCTTTCTTTATTTAGCATGTTGTTAGTTTGTTATGCGTTTTGTTAGCTTGTTATTCACATTGTTTGATTGTTACATATGTTGTCTGTTCTCTATGTTGTTTGTTTAAAACGTATGTTTCTTACACTGTGCCTATTTTATCCAGCGTCTGAGTCTTTTATTTTTGTGGAATTTTTTCCTAATTTACTTTGTTATAATAAAGTTAACTAAATGATTAATTAACAAGCATTACTATTGTAAACACAGATGAACAAAACAATATAAACAACAGCATCAACAACAACAACAACGACGACAACAACAACAACAGAATACATTGCTGTTAAAAATAAAAAAAATAAAAGTTAGAAAAAAATACCAAACACAAACTAAATAAAAAGAATAACAAACCAAATAATTACGGGCGCGTGATAAAGTAAGAAAAAAATGTGAAGTATTTTCAAAGAAATCAAGTTTGAAGAGAGAGGATGTTGCGAGTAACAGTTTGCATGTTATGTTTCAATGAGGTTTTTAAAAACTAATCTGAAGTTTTTTTTTCTCCAAAGTTTACATGCCTAATAAAGTTAAAACTAATGGAGTATGCGTGTTTATTAATTATTTAAGGAAGAATGGGTTAGGCTTTTAAATAAAAGCCAATTTATACAAAGAACCTAAAAGTTTGACATTGAAACAGCTAGAGGGCTAAACCTACATAGCTCTTTTCTCAATTTCTCATATAACTTCAAACAACGATCAAAAGGTTATATATAACAAGTGCACTTTTCACTTAACGCATTAAATGTCTGTGTGCAGATGGACGGATTGGTAGAAGTAGCTACTTATTTCCTAAGTTGTTCACCGCGTTGAAGTGCCATCGCAATCTGTAGTCACGACCGAACGTGTAATGACATTCAAACACTCATGCTTCTGAAACTTTCATCTATTATTTTTCAGTACACCTCTATCATGTTACAATCAAACAAATGGAAGTTTTATGGCAAATAGCAAAAATGTTTCGGTTTTATGTTTATCTATCTGCTTTATAGTAGAAAGCTAAAGTTGTCTTGTGTTGTTTGATGTTTTATTGTCTATTTTTCTATAAAAATGCTTACACAGTTTTCATTCGGAACTGCTATAAATATTATTATTTGATCTGTTCCTTTCGAAAGATATTGTGCTGTTTCAAAATGTAACAAAAATTATGAAAACTATCCGCAGTCTTTTGCAATGTGTTTATATCAAGCTTCCAAGAAACGCTTGAGAAAACATTACAACCAATTCAACAGTAAAAAAAATGCAACAACGAAAGAGCAAAAACCAGCAGCAGCAGCATCAGCAGCCAATAAACACGCCACCAGCAACAAAACGCACGACCGAACACAACGAACGAACGAGACAGCAGATACGATAGAATATTGTTTACGCTGGCTTCACAGATTAACCAAACAAGCAAGCAAGATGAAAATAATTACTCTTGTTCCGATTACTAGCCTTGGCATAGCCCAACAACTTACGTGTGTTCCTCGTATTTATATGTACTACTATACATTATGCTAGGCAGTTTAATTTGTTTATACAAATAAATCTTTTGTTTATACAATTAGCCTTTACATATATCACGATGGTATGCAAATTAAGCGTTTTATGCACGAACTGCTTTTATGTAAGCTTTGAACGTTTAAATGCAAGGTTGAACCAATATACGTGGGGCATTATTAATTAAAAAAATGAATACATTTAATAATTATTTAAGAGTTTGCCGATCAAAAGGTTCCTATTAGTATCTGTCTATTATTTATTTTTTAGATATTTTAATAAAATCATTAAACCAGATGAGCTAATGAATGCCTGAAAGTTATGTTAGCATCATTATTTGCGCCTCTAAATGTAACGTAAAGAAAAAAATAATAATTTGAAGGAAAATTTAGGGTGAGATTTATTTTTAAACTGTTAAACAACCACATTTGTCATTTAAATTTATAAAAATTAAGAAGAAATGGAATAAAATTTGAAAAGACATAGAAATTTGCCAGTGATGAATAACAAAATTATGACGTAAAATAAAATAAAAATTTCGATTTCTGAAAACAACATTTGTAGTAATTGATTAAATTTTACTCAAACTTAATAAACTTTAATATGAATATTTTGATTTTAATCAAAACAATTTGTATTACCATCATTGTTTTCACTTGCAGAACAATCTTTACAAAATTCAGACTTTTCGAGTCATGGCGATAATAAAAGTCATAACAATGATAATTTTTCCTAAGACAACAGCCAACCAAGTTCAACGTACCACAAGCCACCACCCACCTCACCACGCAAACTCACAAGCGACAGACCACCGATCGCCAACAGATTTTCCCACAACTCCACTCTTTCCAGAAGGTGCAGTAACTTTCAATACATCAATAACGTAAGGACAGCTTGAGGCTGGCGAGAACGCAGCAGTTATGTTTAGAGTTTTATTTCCATCGTTGATTGTTGCCTTGTGTACAGGTAACAAGTGATGGCATACTACGTCATAGTGCAGGCCAAAGCCCGGAGCACCTTTTCCACAGAATGCATTTGTTGGTCCGAAGGTCGTTTGTTGAATGGTGAAGAAGATAAGAAAGAGAGAAGATGCCGTAGTCATTTTAGAGTGGCGTGTAACTGAATGAAATGGTTTTGGAAATTTTTTGATTTTAATAAATTTTTGGCAACTACTACTGAATAAATATACATAATTATTGAACTGTCTACATACAAAACGAATCTGTAACTATGTGCGTACGCTAACCTGGAAAGTTCATATTATTAGGTTGTTAATAATTTATGGGTGCTTTGCTTGGGAGAAATAAAAAACCAACTGTGAAGAGATGGAAAGATGAAAACATTGTTTTTTATACTATTATAGAAAGGAGAGAGAGAGAGAGAAAGAGAGAGAGAGAGAGAGAGAGAGAGAGAGAGAGAGAGAGAGAGAGAGAGAGAGAGAGAGAGAGGTTCATTCCCGTTTCAAAACATGTTGCAACTACATATAAATACATGCAAACAGCAACTTAGTGTGTGTGATTGTTTTCATCTGAATTAAATCACTCTTCGTAACCTTCTTATCAGTTATAATTGAAGGTGAGGCCAATAAATTGATGTTTGCCTAAGCTAATAGCAACTAATTACCCCTTAGTTCTAAATTTGTCATAACAGGATTGAGCATTTTATGCAAATCATCGTGTAGGATAATTTATTTGAATTTCTTTTTATCTCAATTGGTTAACGTTAAACGAACGATTTTAATAAAAAAGATTAAGAAATAATTTAATAACGATAATTATTATTCAAAATTTGTTGAGATACCGACCATCTTTAGCAAAATATTTTCATACTAATATTAAACAATTTTCAAAATTGCAAAAGGAAATTTGCTTTTTCAATATTAATAAATGTGATGTGATGTGTGTGCGTGTGTGCGCGCGTGTGTGTATGTACGTGTGTGCGTTTGTCTGTAAGTGTGTGCTAATCTGTGTGTGTCGGGTTATGTATGTGCGTGTCTGTGTGTGTGTCTGTGTGTGATAATATATCTGATTATGTACGTGTATGTATGCTATAGCGTATGTAGCGTCGTGTGAGGTTTGTACGATGACAAGTTTAAAATGTAGTGAACTTTGATAGAAATTGAAACACTGTACGTGATCCAAAGTAATTGTTAAAAAATTAAAATAGAACAACCTTGAGGGAATTACAGATAGGAAGATGTTCGTTATGTGATCAAATTTTGCCTTCAATATATTTTTGAAAAATAAATTTTTTTTCACGATAAAACTATAACAAATTAATAAAAAATTTATCGATAGTAATGTTTTGAATGTGACAATACACATCAAGCTATATTACCAAAAATCATAAGATGCACATATTTGAAAATAACCGTGACGTAAAAAAGGTCAATTTGCTTATATACTCATACAGTTATATATATATATATATATATATATGATATAATACAAAATATATGTGATATAATAGCCTTTATAAATTATACAGTTACTATGCCATATATATCTATGCTTTAAAATCACACACACACACTCACGCACTCACATACTAACTCTATCTCACACACACACACAAACACACACACACACACACATATCATTTAACAACTTTAATGTATTGATTGAATAATATTTTTAGCAATGATAAAAATAGAGTCTAACCCACGGCAATTCAGTCACGTCAAAAAATACAGACAGCCCCCAATATGTAATACATTTTTTTGATGTTTGTTTTTAATTGCGAATTTGCATAACTAAATATCTTTTCTTATTAGATGCGCTTTTGTAAACGCGTTTAGCGTGTATGCCTAAGAATTTCTCCCTCTCTCTAACTCTCTCTTCTCTTTCTCTCTCTTCCACCTCTCTCTCTCTCTCTCTCTTTCCCTCTTTCTATATATGTACGTTAATTAATTTCGAGTTTTTGGCTTGGGGCATGATTTTTAACCTATTTCTGAATTAATTTAAAAAAATGTTTTAAAATTATTGCAACGTATAGATAAGAATATTTACTTACAATTGGCAAAAAATAAAAAAATATACAGAAAAGTTTTGACAGCTACAATGACTTTTTGAAATATGATATATATGATAAAAAACAATACACATATATGATGAAAAATGATGTATATGATAAAAAATAATATATATACACAGGCGCATTAAATAATAAAAATGGCATTTTTTTCATTTATGACACTTCCGTCTATACTGGCAATTTTTCCTTTGTATTAAACAATAAATGCATTACAATTAGCGAAACCCCACAAATGTGCTGTGCCTCCGTTGAAAATTGCAAAAATTCAAACTAAGAAATACATTTAAAATATCCGACTTAACTATTTTTTAAATAAAAAAAAAACTAACATTAGAAAATCCAAGTTAATGCTTGCCAGTACGACGCAAAATGTCCACAAATTTCACCTGTTAATACTGTTAATTAATTCAATTAATTGCTAATTAATATTTACTAGGTAATTAATTACTAATTAAAAGTTATGAACGTTAATTTAACTGTTAAAATTGGTAAGCTGTTCAACTTTTGGAAAGTCTGCCGCACGTGTGAGAGTTGGGAAAAATTTAGGTTACATAACTCGTGAATGAACTATAGCACAACTTTTATACACACTATTTTGCACATGCCTTGTTGTTCCTTATGTATTCCTACATGCATGTAAGCTCATTAACAAATGTGTATTGAGACTTTTAAACTATGTGTGTCCTCACATAAACATGCATACTATCTTATTGTACTATGTACTGTACATGTCAATTTCTTTATTTAATGGTAGTTTCAGTATAAGAGAAAATAAATTATTAATTTTTTTTATGGGTTGTACGAAAAATTTTTTTTATGCCTAAGTTTAATTACGATTATAGCCTAAAAATAAAATTTTGTTTGTATTTGCAAATTACAACTAGAGAGATTGGGTGAAAGATTTGTAACATGCCTGAGTTTCTGCTCGCAGTCGAATCTGAGCAGTGCGTGATGCCTTTGCAAATAATCAGGCCAGATTTGATGACACTATTGCCTTCTAAGTTTATATTGTGTTATTCTAAGTTTATAATGGTGATGATGATTGACGATAATGATGTTAAATTTTATTTGGAGAAATTGGCCTTATAAAGATAGATATAGCCAGGTGAAAGGAAAATACTTTACAACAACTAGAATCTTCTTACTGGGTGGAAAAATATTTTAACTACGAACAATGTTTGTTCATGTAAAACATAAAATAAAACATCTATTTTATATACAATCATCTTCATTTTTTTATGGAAGCATCTTCAATTATTATCCTAAACATAAACGTGACGTGCGTGATGTTTGTTCTTGACAGCTAGCTACTTTTTTTTGCAATCTGCCTTTCCTAACTCGTATCATAATTACAGCATAACTATGTAACTTATGGTTGTGTAAATGTTTTTCTGATATGAAGTTAACGGCTTAGATATATCATTTCGTCTACATCATCGTCATCCTCATCATCATTTTCGCCAATATCTCCATCACCATTCTCTTCCTCCTCCTCCTCATTATCAGTATCATCATCACCATCATCATCATCAGCAGCAGCATCACCATCATCATCTTCATCATCATAGTCATATATTGATAATATTCTTCATTGTTACTGTAATAATAATGATAATTTTAATGATATAATTTTTTTATTATTAATATAATATTTCATGATATTAATTAGCATTATGTTAGTGTTGTAAAAATCATTATGAATGATAAATTAATTCGATATAATTTCGAAAAGTCAATAAATCTTTCTTCACTAGAGTAATGAAATTGTTGGTATGTTCAGTACAGACTATATGTACGTATGCATACGTGTATGTGTGTGTGTTTATGTTTGTGTGTGTGTGTATGTGTGTGTTCTCATGTTTTTGTATGTGATTGTGAATGGGATATTGTGCCAATTCCCATTTTGGGGAGAGGTATGCATAGTTTCCAAAACGCTATATTAATGGTTTTTTTAAACAGACTTTTCAATAATTTTTTCTTTCATGGTCAGTTGGGGGTCGGCATCCCCGCACCCCCGTGGGTACTTCCATGGTCTGTTGGGGGGGACGGCATTCCCGCACTCCCTCTGGCTTTGGCCCAGCGCGTACGTACATTGATTAACATCAATACATTTTACTTTTTTTTCTGAATATCATCTAAATCCGATCATTCAAGGAGGGCATTGAAAGTTTATGAGAATGCAAAACATTTTTTACTACATTGAAATACATTGAAATAATTTCTTCCTAACGAAAAGATTTTTAGTTCATTTATACAATCAATCAGTTAATCAGTCAGTCAGTCAGTCAGTCAGTCAGTCAGTCAGTCAGTCAGTCAGTCAGTCAGTCAGTCAGTCAGTCAGTCAGTCAGTCAGTCAGTCAGTCAGTCAGTCAGTCAGTCAGTCAGTCAGTCAGTCAGTCAGTCAGTCAGTCAGTCAGTCAGTCAGTCAGTCAGTCAGTCAGTCAGTCAGTCAGTCAGTCAGTCAGTCAGTCAGTCAGTCAGTCAGTCAGTCAGTCAGTCAGTCAGTCAGTCAGTCAGTCAGTCAGTCAGTCAGTCAGTCAGTCAGTCAGTCAGTCAGTCAGTCAGTCAGTCAGTCAGTCAGTCAGTCAGTCAGTCAGTCAGTCAGTCAGTCAGTCAGTCAGTCAGTCAGTCAGTCAGTCAGTCAGTCAGTCAGTCCGTCAGTCAGTCAATCAATCAGTCCGTCAGTCGGTCGTTCGTTCAGCCAGCCAGCCAGCCAGCCAACCAACCAACCAACTAATCAATCATTTATTTATTTGTTCGTTCATTTATCTCGATCATGTCTATCTCGACATGCATATTTTTATCCTTTGTACAATGTTTAATGAAGCAACATTAAGCGTTTAAACATTGAAACATCAACGAAATAAATATTATGTCTGTAGAGTCTTTTAAAATGTAGGCTTAACCAATGAAGAAATAATTAATTATGCATATATATTAGTTAGTAACATTAGCAACGACAATCCTTATCTATTAATTAATTATCTTAGTAAATATTCAAAGGAGAAAAATAAATTCATAGAATATAAAACATTGATTATATTTGTATATAATAACGACAAAAAATAACAGCAATGGAAAATAGTAGAATTATGTTCATTATGGTGAATAAACATTAAATTGACATCAAATATATTATTAATAAACAGTAAAAAACACCAAATAAATTAAAAAAAACAATGCAAAAAACTAAATAGACATTTAGAGTATATATATTTTTAATTCTCCAAAGAATAAACTTGTTAAAATTAACAGAAACAAAAAAAATCATGAAAATATTAACAACAAACTTTCTCAAGTCAGAAGATATAAGGCAAGGCCATTACAAAAATAAAAATCTCTCAGTTAGAGAATAAAATGGCTCATGTAGCGTTTTATGAAATGTTTGTGGCAAACTGAGAAGTATTTTTGCTACCAGGGTTCTTATAATTTCTATCAGCTTCCTCATCATCACGATCATCACCACCATCATCATCTTTCTTATCTTAAATATTTTCATTCCCACCATCATCATCTGCATCATTCTCATCCTCATCTTCGTCATCACCACTCGTTCGTTGGGGATTATTGGGCGATACCGATGCCCACACAGATGGCGATGGCCAGCCCTGTGACCCCCACCCACTGGCAGACGATCAGGGTGGTCTTTATGATAGAAACCTGTAAGATGTGATGTTAAGTTATGTTATTTATTGTGTTGATGCGATCAGGCGTGATGTTATTTTACATGTCGTGACTTGTAAAATGATTCAACGTGGTGTCATAGTGTGATGTGACGTCATTAAATGTGATAAGGCGTCATAAAATTTTGTTTGGCGTGATGTGATAGGATTAAAAGATTCGCCGGTCTAGTATTGATGTTAGCTAAAATTTTGACATATCATTGAAATGATTCTGAAAAAAATGCAAATAACAAAAAAAAACAAAAAAACATCAGTTGACATATAACTGTGTTTTAAATAAATAGCCACATCTATGCGAATTTCGCATAATTCGTCGCATCATTTATTTGAAATACAAATAAAAATCAAATAAAAATACAAATCAAATAAAATTTATTTGAAATACAAATAAAATACAAATGACCATTGGTCATTGACCAACCTGGCCTGTTTCGCAACGTGGTTCGCTAGAGTTAGTGCCGGCAGTTTTCTCAGAGTAACCGACATTTGACTTCTCGCCTTCATGTTCATAACGTAAAATAGAAATCAAACATAACAAGAAATAGAATAATTTAAGAGCTGGAAATAATTATAATGAATAGAAAGTTGTATCGATGACGACGACACGATATAATTAATTCCTCAATTTAAAAAAGTCACTCGCTTGTGAAGATTTGATGACAAAATTAATATTACAAAATATGACTTGTAATAATGACTAATAACGCAACAACTATAGAATTGCTATTTAATAAACCTTCAGTCTCATTGATATATATAAACTCGCATGTGAAGGTAAGGTACCGTAACGAAAGGTAAGATACCTGAAAACTATAAACTGAAAACAACGCACATCTCATCAGAAATTTTGATCGGCACAAATTTAAGAGATTTTCTTCTAATTTGAATAAAAAAGTTTAAAATTGGACTCCTGAAAACTGGAAAAAAACTTTACTATTTTAAATTTAAAAAAAAATTTAAAAAAGAAACAAACGAGTGGGGGCGTGCGAGATAAGATAGGTGTCGTGCGTTAAGAGGAGGATCTCCATGCACGTGTGGTAGACAATGAGGGCCACCATCACCCACTGCACCCAACCAAAGTTTATGTTCGACATCTTCATGTAAAACGACAGGAAGATGTTTATCACTGCAGGGTTTTTTTATTATTGTTATTGATATTATCATCATTATTATTATTTTTGTTATTAGTTGTTGTGGATATTGTTGTTGTTGTTGTTGGGAATGTTTTTACCAGGCTGAGAACCAACCAACCAACCTGCCACAATGATGGCGAACCTGCCGACGATCAGGTGGGCAACGTTGAACATCCATCTAAGTTCGTGTGTTGGTTCGCACCGAAAGAATGACAAAAAGGGCTGTTGCGAAATAATTTGGTGATTTGTGAATTTGTTTTTTAGTAGATTGATGCGTTGTGAATTGCTAAGTTATTAATTGATGCAGTATGAATTGTTGTTTGGTGAATTTATGTATTGTGAATTTTTGGTTGAGTGAATTGTCGCAAAATGCATGTTTAAATGTTTAATGAAATGCTGTATTCTAAACTGTTTCACGATACATTTTTGTGTATTAGACAAGAATTTTATGATTAAAAATGTTGCGGTCGATCGAAACGAAACAACTAACATTTATAAAAACGAGTACCATGACGATGATGCCCAGTGGTGGGTGAGCGCTGTCGACAACGAGTGTTGACTGGCGGTTTTATAAGGAAGTTCATTTTTTTCATATTATAATACTTTAAAAATAATGAACACACCGAGGCATAACCCATCCTCTCGCAGAAGATGATGATGAAGGCGATAGAAGTCAGGATGAAGACTGATGACATCATGGCTTGGTGCAACTGGAGTGTAGTGGTACCGTATAATATGATATAAATAATTAAATATAAATAATTATGTTTTCACACAAAATTTTTTTGATATTTTTTTGAAACAAACAACAGACACAATTTTAAAGCTATTAAGTTTTGAGTGAATATAACGCCTCAACAAGAAATTGATAAAGTAACAACACAATACAATTGGTTAAGGACAACGACGAACCCTAAACCAGATAGCTTGTTTGAAGAACTTGCTATCTTTCCAGGCTGACTTGAAGTACCTCGGAAGCAACATGCCCGTACTGGCACACATCAGCCAGGCTATCACCATTAAAATACCTTTCAAAATATTGTTTTGAAAGTTTATTTAACTTAAAAACACAGTATCATTTGTCAACTCGTTAACAGTTTCAATAACTTTTGGAAGATAATTCTGTACATTCACGCCTCATGGCATCTTCTCTGCTTATTGCACTAGAAAACAATTGAAGTGCTAATTAGAATAAATGTTTGGCGTACTAATGAGATAAAATTTAAAAAAAAGCTGCCAAAAGCACTACCGTGAGCTTTGATGAGTCTGTTAGAAATCTTTGCAGATGCAACGCTGGTCACGTTGAAGTCAGTGAGGTTGAGAATGGATGTTGAGGCGAATCTTGAATCGTGATAAGCCATCAGTTGGTCGTTTGCTGGTCGAGTTGTTTTAAATGTATTTTATTCTAGTTTTTGTGCAGTTTTACTTCATAATTTTTTTATTATTGTTCATTTTTGTAACATTCGTTGATAACTGTGTTTACAGTTGGTTTAATTTGAAACTACACTAATAGAAATGTACGTAAAGAATTATGAAATTTGTAATTATTCAGAAATGGTTGAGAAATTGTTTCACCAGGAGAAGTAAAAACATACAATTTTGCTGAATGCTGCCCGTAGCGTAGAGCAAGTAGTAATTTCCGTCTGCGGGATAAAAGACAGAATTTCCGGCTGCTCTTTTCATCCTCCATGTCCCATTCCTCATGGCTTGCGAGTAGCTACATCGTAACATTCCGTTCACATACTCACCGGATTTGTCCACAATGAACGAGTCTGACGGCTGTAGGCGTCAAATAAATTATAGTTTTTATTGATATTGCAAAGATTTAATTGAAATGGATTTTAGTCGTGACAACATTTGAACGATTTTAAGAATTTAAATTTTTAGAATTCACAGAAAACATCAAAAAATCTGAGAAAATAAAAAATATCGATAGGAAAGTGAAATATGCTTAAGCTATTTCAAAGTTGTATTGTTAGTGATAGGAAGAAAGTGTTTAATTATACGACAAAAATGTTGTGCGAAATGAGGTTTTCAAAAGCTTACACATCAGCAATAATTTAAAAGATGACATTATCAACGTTTGTAAATACTAATCAAATAACTCAACCCAGCGAATTTCTTTGAAAAAAAAACTGGTATATTTAATTAAAGTCTTAAATAGCACTAACAGGTGACATGAAGTTGTTGGTTCTGCCAGTGTTGAACGACAGTCGAATGACGCACGAGGTACCGTTCATGTAACAACTTATGACCGCATCGTCACCCTGAATTTTTTTTAAACAAAACAAAGAAAGAATGAAAGCCTTCTATTGTTTACAAGTCAACGTAAAAACGTAACCAACCATTTTATCATCCAGCGAGTAACCAATAGCAATGTAATTTGATGCACAGCTTATAGGACCCTCCAATTTGAAATCTACGTAACCAGCTCTGGCACTTTTTGACCAAGTGAAGGAGCAACTGTTTTCTGGACATACGAAAGAACTGCCTGATTTCTAGAAAAAAAAACACATTCATTTCATTTCAAGTTTTAGTTATTCAAATTGAAAAACCTTTAATATATTTTAAAAATTCAAAGTTGATGACGAAAATTGATGAAATAAATAAAAATTCAACCAAATACGCAATTTTCAAGATAACAAACATTGGTTAAATTGTAAGATTATTATTGCAATTTATGACAAATTGATAAATAGTGGAAAAAGGTTTTGAAAATATTTTTCAGAAAATTGAAATATCACCTTGACTGTAGTGCTGGCAGGGGTTGCAGTTGAGATGGCGGCTTTGGTTGGGACCGGTACCATGGGAGTAACAAGGGTGACCCGGGGAATTTGGAAATTTGTGAAACTGTACACGTCGCTCGATGAATACTTCAAATCTGGTTTTCGCAACGTTTTGTTATCTGCAAAATGAAATAAATGCATTTAATGAGATCAGCTATCAAATTCAAATTTTAGCTATTATTTCGGCGCATACTTCAGCTGAATGTGCAATTCCATGAAATAAATTTTCCTTTCCAACTAAATCACACGTGATTAAAAAAATTAAATTAATTATTCAGTTTTTCAATTAAATAAACAATAATAAATTATTAAAAAATATTGAGAAACAAATTAAATTAAGAATGGAAGAATTAGAAAACACGACAAAAAATGTTTCAACAATAATTTGAAATTAAAAATTACTCATGTTCATTTGTCCAGTGGCATAAAGCAGATGAAATATTTGGTCTGCGGGGTAGAAGATTTCATCTGACCTGAGGGATTCATTGTAGGCAGTTATCATCTGCGAGAACCTGCACTTGATCGCTCCGTTCGAATACTCTCCAGTCACGTTAACGATGAACCACGTGAACAGCTGCAGATGGTTTTCAATAATTTTCACGGTATATTATAAAATTTTAGTTTTATAATTTCAATGATTAATTTTGAACATTTTTTTTCACAAAATTAGATAGCTAGAAATACAGATAGTTTAATTATCGTTTTAATGAGTACATACCATTTCAACAGGAACGTTGAAGCTGGTCTGAACATTGTACGAGAGGACGATTTCAAACTTGCCTGTTGTCGGGTTCTTGAAACATGCAATCACGCTGTCCTTATCCTTAGGCAAATATTAAATACATTAAAACTAAGTAAGCAGATATAATGTTTGAAAATAATGGTTTGAAAATTTGAATCAAAATAAATTCATGCCTGAAAAACTTCAAATTATATAAATGTTTAAAACAGTTTCCCAATGAAATCATTTAAATGATTTAAAATTTTAAAATCAAGCCATAACCATTTCGTCATCGACCGAGTAGGCCATGGCAATGTAGTCAGCCACTCCATTGTTCCTTCCTTGCAGGCTCACATCCATGTACTGACTCTGAGCACTCGTGCCCCATGTTATCACGCAATCTTCGTGGGGGCACGAGAACGAGCCGTTTATAACTTTTATCTGGAGGTTCTGTTCGTTTAAATGGGTCTGTCTACTACAATTTGACTAAATGTAAAGTATTTTCTTTATAATTGATGTATTTGCTTAGGCTTACAAGTTTGTTGCAAACAACAAAATGGAATTATTCTAAATTATTTCCAAATACACAAATAAACAATGTAAAAATTATTTATAAAAATGAATTGCTATGAGTTATAACAGTTTGATATATAAAGGAAAATAATTTTGAAAAAAAAATTCGTAACATTCAAACCAAACCTTAGCTGTGGTGGTAGTTTGAGCTGGAGCAGGACCAGGTGGTATTTGGAGGTTGGTGAAGCTGTATGCGTCACTCGACGAATACTTCAAGGCAGGTTTTTGCAACGTTTTATTATCTGCCCAATAAATTAATAAGTAATTTAAAATAAATAAAATCAGCTATACAATTGAAATTCTAGCTTATATTTCTTATTTAGAAAAGGCTGCTCAAAAAATTCAGCTGAACATACTATTAAAATAATTTTCCCTTCCGACAAAATGATCGCGTTTTACAAAATAAAACTAATTATTCAGTTTGTCAATTAAATAATTAATAACAGAAAATTGGAAAATATTGAAAAATAAATAAAATTAAGAAAGGAAGAATTACAAAACTCAACAGAAAAATGTTTCAACAATAATTTGAAATTAAAAATTACTCATGTTCATTTGTCCAGTGGCATAAAGCAGATGAAATATTTGGTCTGCGGGGTAGAAGATTTCATCTGACCTGAGGGATTCATTGTAGGCAGTTATCATCTGCGAGAACCTGCACTTGATCGCTCCGTTCGAATACTCTCCAGTCACGTTAACGATGAACCACGTGAACAGCTGCAAATTGTTTTTATATTGAAAAATTAGAACAAGTTTTTAAAGATTTAATAAAATTTTATTTCTAAAAACTGAAGAAATTTAAGAAAGCAAAGTTTAAATTTTCTTGGATGAGCGTGCCATTTCAACAGGAACGTTGAACGCTGGTCTGAACATTGTACGAGAGGGCGATTTCAAACTTGTCTGTTGTCGGGTTCTTGAAACATGCAATCACGCTGTCCTTATCCTAAAGTAAACATTTAAAAAACAAGAAGGATATAAGATATCATTCGGTTTCCTACTCTACCCAAAACCCAACACCTCAAACATCACCTTCATACGCTAATGCATGCATAAAACAGACTGATTTATGAATATGCAAACGTTAACACAAACCATTTCGTCATCGACCGAGTAGGCCATGGCAATGTAGTCAGTCACTCCATTGTTCCTTCCTTGCAGGCTCACATCCATGTACTGACTCTGAACACTCGTGCCCCATGTTATCACGCAATCTTCGTGGGGGCACGAGAACGAGCCGTTTATAACTTTTAATTGGAGGTTCTGTTCGCTCGAATGTTTCTGATTGTATAAATGCGATTGTACATTTACTCGTATCGATTAGCTTTAAGTTTATTTACATACAATGAATAAAATTATTTAAAATTTTTATATTGTTACGTGAATAAAATTGATAAAATTAATGAAGGGCTTCAAAATTAATCATTTCCGGGTAAATAATTTGAATAGTATCTGGAGATGAAAATAAAAATAAATTTCGTAACATTCAAAAATCACTTTAGCTGTGGTAGTAGCTGCTGTTGTGGGGGTTGGGATTGCGGGGCCGGGTGGTATTTGGAAGTTAGTGAAGCTGTACGCGTCGCTTGATGAATACTTCAAAACTGGTTTTTGCAACGTTTTGTTATCTGCAAAAGATAGGCAATGAATTAAAATTCAGCTGATTGTATAAGTGAGATTTTTTATGAAAAATCATTGCTAATGAAAAAATGTTTAATTTGTTCAATTGTTCAATAATGGATTAACAAGTTATAACATTTTTAAAAAATATTGAGAAACAAATTAAATTAAGAATGGAAGAATTAGAAAACACGACAAAAAATGTTTCAACAATAATTTGAAATTAAAAATTACTCATGTTCATTTGTCCAGTGGCATAAAGCAGATGAAATATTTGGTCTGCGGGGTAGAAGATTTCATCTGACCTGAGGGATTCATTGTAGGCAGTTATCATCTGCGAGAACCTGCACTTGATCGCTCCGTTCGAATACTCTCCAGTCACGTTAACGATGAACCACGTGAACAGCTGCAGATGGTTTTCAATAATTTTCACGGTATATTATAAAATTTTAGTTTTATAATTTCAATGAATAATTTTGAACATTTTTTTTCACAAAATTAGATAGCTAGAAATACAGATAGTTTAATTATCGTTTTAACGAGTACATACCATTTCAACAGGAACGTTGAAGCTGGTCTGAACATTGTACGAGAGGACGATTTCAAACTTGTCTGTTGTCGGGTTCTTGAAACATGCAATCACGCTGTCCTTATCCTAAAAAATAACAAATTATATTAAAACAATAATAAGTCAGAAAATGATTTCAAACCATTCGATTTCATACCCAACCCAAAGCGGCATAAACGGGTTTCAAATACAAATAGGCCTACATACATAATACAGAACCAAATAATGAATATGCAAACGTTAACACAAACCATTTCGTCATCGACCGAGTAGGCCATGGCAATGTAGTCAGTCACTCCATTGTTCCTTCCTTGCAGGCTCACATCCATGTACTGACTCTGAGCACTCGTGCCCCATGTTATCACGCAATCTTCGTGGGGGCACGAGAACGAGCCGTTTATAACTTTTATCTGGAGGTTCTGTTCGTTTAAATCATTTAAATGTGTTTGTGTGTGGCTCTTGGTATTAGTGTGACGTGTTTGTTGTATGTGTTTTTTTGTATTTATGAGATCATTCCTTTGTATTTTGTTTCTGCAAGTGGGCTTTGCGCTTCTTGAATGATTGTTTGCATGCTTTGTACGGTAAATTGAACGAGTGAGTTTTTATATAACTTTTCTATATTTGTTCTGACTGATGTGTTGGTTGTGGTGGGTGCATTAGTTTGTTTGTTGTCATGTGACTGTACATCCTAATTTTTCTTTCCTGTCTAAATTAATGTAATTGTCACTTCAGTTTGCAGTAGCTTGAATTATTTGTCTTACGTTATTTGTTTTTTGTAGGCGTATTAAGCTAGCGTTGTGATCAAAATAATGACAGAAGTTACAAGTTTCGTTGTTGAAGTTGTTGCCGATGCGATCGTTACCGCCGGAGTATAATCCATTGCAGCACTCTGGATACTCCAGTACACCATTTTCGACTGCACTACGGTAGCTCTTAATGTTTTTCAAACGTTTGGAAAAGTGAAATGATAAATTTTATTTCACATTTAACATTATAGTACCAAATAATGTAATTTAAATCTAAACAATCAGCACTACACAAAACGTTTTAATTTTAAAATCGATACAAAGTTTTAATTTTAATGAATCACTTGAAATTAAATGTTCCAACAAATGCCATAGGATTCCAGGAAAGAGAAAGGTTGGAAAATGTAGCGGCCGATGATTGAGTAACGACTGCATTGGACTGACGATTAAAATAAATAAAATAAGTTTTAGAGTTTTTTTTAAATTTGGCTCAACGTCAGTTCTTAGCGGTCTTGGAAAAAATGTTTAAACGAACTAACGCATATTTGTTTTGTGTTGGCATCCACACTCGTGAAGACTCCTATCGGGGTGCTGCTGCTGCTGAAGGCTCCAATTATGAATCCTTTGAAGTTTTCGTTCTTGTTCGATGAGATTGATACTTCAGAAATTTGAAAATTTTTTAAATAATTGAAAAAAGACAATTTTGACATGAAAAAACAATTATGATTTTTAATCACGACATAACTAATACACAAATAATTTTTCATTAAGTTCTATGATAATTATATTTATTAGGATATTACTAATTTGATTTGATTAACCTGTGAGAGTAGATCCATTTGGGAAGACGGAGATGATGTAAGAGGGAGTGGAAGTTTGGAAGGAAGAGCCGTGATCAGGTCTTAAACTAGTGCAGGTAAACCCTGGTGCTCCCCACGGATAAGCAGCTACAACACTCACATAACTTAACAGAACTAATAGATTTCTGAGTGTCATAATTGAATGAAACTTTACATTATTTTAAGAAATCATAGTTTGATGACTTTGCCAGTTTATAATATATTTTTTTTTATAAAATTAGAAACTCCAATTTTCTCTCGTAAAAACTAAGTCGAAAGTATTCAGTTTATTAATATCTTACAGACTCCCAAAAAAGACGTTCAGCAGAAAATGAAAAGACATTTGCATTCTTGTAGATCGTATTTTGTTCATTGCTACAATATGTAACAATGCAACAACTTCAATTGAATAAACAAAGTAGCTTACACAGCTGCCTAACATTTCAATTCATGCAACTCGCCTTAAAACATAAATAAATGCTGTTGTACATATCAATTTATTTTAATTTATTTCTATTTCCTCTAAGCAGTTTCATTTGAATCAACGAAATAAAGACTTCGAATGAAATGATTGGATGAAATCGTCCATCTGTCCATAAGCATTTTGAAACCTTTTATTCCATTTTACTAAACTTGACTAGCCAAATGACCACGGCGGATCAACGAAATTGAAGCCATAAAAAAAGTTTTGAAACGTGCAATTTCAGAAATTAAAGTTTCTCTCTTCAGAGTTTTGACAAGTTTGTGTTTTTATTGTCGAAGCAGTTATAACAATTATAGTTTATTACAAAATATGCCCAACCCAAAAGAAAAATATGCGTTACAATACTTTGCACACAAAAAATATTAAAAAACCAAAATTATAAAGAAACCCGTTTCGGGCACGATAAATCAACCAAAATGGGTTTCAGATTACAAGTAGAAAAATCAGTTTCTGCGGTTTAAACCCATGTTACAACAGCCTAGTTCATTTACCTAGTCATTCAGTAGGTATAGAAATAGTTATAAATACATACGCCTATTTTCAATTCATCAAACAATAATGTGTACAACACGGCTTGAAATCAACTTGTACAGTTTTTGTATGGTTAGCATCAGCTTTCGACAACAACATCATCCTGTATTTCGTTAGTAACAATGATTAGCTCTCAGTTACTAACAAATATTTGAATATCATTCATTCGTGTCATGTAGAGATAGCTGTACTGGTACATTCACACATACACATACACATCAAAGGAACATTCACACATACACATGTACACACACATCAAAGGTACATTCACACATACACATCAAAAGTACATTCACACATACACAAACACATCGAAGGTACATTCACACATACACAAACATGCACATCAAATATTCATGCATAATAGTCCTTTTGATATAAAAGTGTGTGATATACATACACGCACCTACGCATGTATACTCACACATACTTAACATGCGTACATAAATAAACACACACACCACACACACACACACACACACACACACACACACACACAAGCAAACATTCAAACACATTAACATACAAACAGATTTATTACCAATAAAACATTTAGTAAAATAATCCACTGGATAAATAACAACGACAAAGATACAATAACTATAATAATAACAATTTAATTATATAGCGCCCAACGCACAACGTAAATGGCGCCAAAATTTCACATTTTTTAACGTGCGAATTTAAAACAGTAAGTAATCTGGCATGAACAATTGGATAGCGACTTTGGGTAGTTCTATAAGAGTCGCTATACAAGTTTTTTTTATAATAATAACAATTCATGAAAATTTTGATAGAAAACAACATCTCGATATAAGTATCTGTTTTTTTAGAACCTTGCAAACCTTACAAAAAAAAGATGGAAATATTACTAAAAATGGAAGCATGGATAAAACTGAGGAAAATCACAAAAATGTTACCTTAATAGAATACGTTAACCAAATAAATAACAAAAGTTAAAATAATTGTTATAAGAATTAAGGAAAGTTATTTGAAAGAACGCACAAAGATTAGCTAGACCACCTATGTCTGCCTAATACAACTTGGTTACTCTGTCTAATCATTTTCTCTTAATAAGAAGCCGCGTCGAATTTTAGTTAAAAAAAGATAATAACAATTATAAAAAAAAATATAAATAATAAATTATTGAAATGATATTTTTATGAACTATATCAAAAAAGACGTCAAATCTGTTATTATTATAAATATAGAGGAATAAATACACAGATACAAAAATAATGTAATAGATACACAGATACACAAATAGTATAATAGATACACAGATACAAAATTAGTGTAATAGATACACAGATACAAAAATAGTGTAATAGATACACAGATACAAAAATAGTGTAATAGATACACAGATACGAAAATAGTGTAATAGATACACAGATACAAAAATAGATGCACATGTAAGTTATCGTAATTTAAAGTAAATGTTTTACATGAAAAAGATACCGATAAGAAAGTATCTTACAAAAGTCTGACAGATTAAGGCAAGATAATTTCATTGGCACGTCTCATCATAACTCGAAAAACATCTATAATTATATTTTTAAGACATTTGCAGTCAAATTTGAAATTTAAAAAGAAAATGACAACAAATGAATGAATGAATGAATTTATTTTTTTGTTCAATGTTAGACAGAAAAGATTAAAACTTCAAATTTACCAATGAAATTAATTTCAGATTAACTTTAAATGTAAACCTATCTTTAAAAAGTGCATTAAGAAACACAGAAATTCATAAAAATATAAACAGTTGAATACAATTTTAAAGTTGAATGAAATATTTTCACGTCACGTATCAATATGGTGGAATTTTAATTTTATTAAAATATATAATATATATTAAATTTATTATTTTGTTGATTTATAAAATATTTTTCAATCAATGAACTGATATATGAAACAAAATGGAATGTTTAACGGCACTTTATAAAAAATTAAAACTAAAAAGTATCACCGTGCTTATGGTATAATTTTTCGGATTTTCTATTCCACATCACTGTCACTTTCATACTCATCACTACATCCATCCTTCGCCATTATCAACAACATCATCGTCGTCGTCTTCGTCATCACCACTCCTTTGTGACTATAAGGCGATACCGATGCCCACGCAGATGGCGATGGCCAGCCCTGTGACCCCCACCCACTGGCAGATGATCAGGATGGTCTTTATGATGGAAACCTGAAAATTTTGTAAGGTCGACTTATTATTTATTTTTAATGTTTGCTATTATTGACATCATAGCAACATTTTTGTCATCGTTTCGTCTGTCGTGTCACTTCACTTAGTTTCATAAATAAAAAACAAAGCTATACAAACTTATCTACTTATTTTGCTAATGCTCTAAATAAATTATATTGCAAAATTGAAAATATTCTTTTTATAAATTTGTAGGCGATCCCTGGTCTCCAGGCTTAGAAATTTTTGTTTTATGTCAGAATCGTACCGATAAACAAAATTTTCAACACAGGTAACTTTTTTTCAGCTGAATAACTTGCACATTCATGATAATAAGAATATCATCGGAGTGATGATTGTAACTTTTTCAGTACAGTAACTGTGCTCAAATGTCAAGTTATCTTCCCCAATCACATGAAATGTCTGCGATATGTTAAATCGCGTGTATTTACTGTGTGTGTGTATGTGTGTGTGTTTGTTTGTTGATATAACCTCTGAGATGCACTTAAGACAGGAGTGAGCAAACTTTTCGCTGTGAGGGCCGCATTGAAAACTATTTGACTTTTCGAGGGCCGCATATGTACATTTATCGACCGTTAACTGGGGAGGGGGAATTTTGTAACATGTTCATCCTGATCATTTATGGCTGACGACCTATTTTTTTTGCTCATGATATCTTGCTCCCGACCTTTTCTTGGGAATTGCATTATTTCATTCATAATTTCTAATTTTTAAAAAATGTTGAAAATGCCTCGCGGGCCGCATAAAATAGCTTCACGGACCTCATGCGGCCCGCTGGCCGTAGTTTGCTCTCCCTTGACTTGAGAGATTTTTTAAATTGAAACATAAATATAGCGAAATAACAATAATAAAAGTATCTAGCGCAAATAATAAAAATTTTTTTGTCTTTATTATTTAAAGGACAAAGGCAACAAACCCAGTCTGTTTCCCTTCGTGGTTCGCTGAACCCAAAATTATTATTCGAGGATGCAACGTCTGATTTTGAGGAGTCTGAAAAGATCAAAATTTTCAAACAAATTCAAAAGTATGCACACTATTTTGAAAACATTTTTATCAACTTTAAAAGAAAATTGTTTGAAATATCAAAAAAGGCAAATTGTTTCCATTAGAAAACTGTCAGCATTACAATAAAACTCATCTCACAATGAAACATCCAACACTCAAAGGTTAGCTAAATTTGCACATTCCATATCAAAATGCGCATGATTCAGAAATTGAAAATTGAAAAAAAAACTGACGAGCTGGTGAGTTGAGGTATTTGTCGTGGGCCAGCAGTAGGATTTCCATGCACGTGTGGTAGACAATGAGGGCCACCATAACCCACTGCACCCAGCCGTAGTTCATGTTGGACATCTTCATGTAGAACGACAGGAATATGTTTATCACTGCCCGTGCAATTGTTCAGTGTTTTTAGTTATTGATGATGTTTCGTTTCGGATTGTTTTTATGGTCAATGTTTTTTATTTATTTTATCATTGATATCTGGTTTGAAAAATATTTAAAAAGTGGCCAGGAATATAAATAAGTTTTGAAAATTGACAACCGTTCCTAGGAAAATGAAGAAGGATCATGATTGATTAACATTGAGATAATTGTTGAATGATGTTGTTGTTAATGATATTGTTGCTATTGATATTGTTTTTGATGTCATCACATTAATGTCACCTGCAATGATCAGAGCAAACTGTCCAACCAAGAGATGAGCAATGTTGAACAACCAACGATTCTTGTGAGTTGGTGCACAACGGAATAAGGACATGAAGGGCTGTTGCAATGATGAATTGTTGACTCGTGAATTGTTGAGTTGTGAATTGCTGTGTTGTGAATTGTTGAGCTGTGAATTGTTGAGTTGTGAGTTGTTGAATTGTTTTATTGTGAATTGTTGAGTTATGAATTGTTATATTGTGAATTGTTGAGTTATGAATTGTTATATTGTGAATTGCTGCATTGAAAATATTTTCCTTACAAATTATTAAAAAGCATTAACCACAAGTTGTTGTTGGTAGGTTTTAATTTACATTTAAGAATTACTTAAAATGTTTAAATTATTGTTAATAATTGTGGTTTATGGTTTAAATAATGGTTTAAATATTGCAGAAACGTTTACAAAATAAAAACTCTATAAATCAAAAAAAAAACAATTTAACCAATTATATAAAATTGAAACCAACATTTAGAAACACGAGTATCATGACTATGATGCCCAGTGGCGGGTGAGCGCTGTCGATACCAAGTGTAGACTGGTAGTGTGAATTTAACAAAAAAAATGTTCTGAATAAGTTATCATCTAGCCAACTCCATCAAATTGGTTCATTGAAATTTAAATTTTTAATAAATGCAATCATAACAATTTGATGTTGGTGAAAGAAAATTCATAAAATTTAACTATACTGAAGACGACGACATCAACATAAACAACTACCAAAAACAACAACAACGACGACAACAACAACACTATTGTAATCTTAAAACAACACTCATGAACAATTAGATGATTGAACCCACCGAAGCATAGCCCATCCTCTCACAGAAGATGATGATGAAGGCGATAGATGTCAGGATGAATACGGATGACATCATGACTTGGTGCAACTACGGTGTTTGGTGGTGGTACATAATATTATATGAATAATTAAATGAATAAATGAGTTGATGAGCAAAAAATGTTTTTTAAAACATAAAACAAGGAAAATTAATAACCAAAAATAAGATTACGACCACAGTATGAAAAAATACTATTAAAATAACTATAATAATTACGTCAAAATTAGAGTCAGTTGATTGAATCATCACAACATGAACAACTACAAACCCTGAACCAGACAGCTTGTTTGCAGAGCTTGCTATCCTTCCATGCTGATTTGAAGTACCTCGGAAGCAGCATGCCCGTACTGGCGCACATAAGCCAGGCAATCACCATCAAAATACCTTTTAAAAAAATTTTTTTAATATTCATTTATGACTTTTAAGATGACTTTTTAGTTTCTTTCTAAAAGCTGCATGACGTTTGCAAAACAATATTCTAATCATTTCTGCCGACGATCAGATACTGAATTGGAAAATTAGTGAGTTGCTTGTAAAAGAATTCTCTTCCTAAATGTTGTTCTGACAGAATAAAATTAGAAAAAAACTCTACCATGAGCTTTGATGAGACTGTTAGAAACTTTTGAAGAGCCAACACTGGTCACAGCGAAATCGGTGAGGTTGAGAGCGGATGAGGAGGCGAATCTGGAATTGTGGTAAGCTAGCAGTTGGTCGTTCGCTAGTTGGTTGTTTAAGATATTATTTTTTAATTTCATTTTTGCACTTTTAAATTAAACTTCATCTAATTTTGTGCATCTACAATTTTAGTACCTTTACTGTTATTTCATAAATGGAAATGTCAAACATATTGTCACAATATTGTCAAACATGATGCTTATGAAAAAGAAATGAAAAATTGGATGATTCTCTTGCATAAATGTTCTCATTTCTGCAAGGGAATAATCAAATTTAACAAAATTTAATTTAATTATTTAGTTATTTAATTTATTAATCATTTAATATAATTTAATTATTTTATTATTTTAACAAACAATTTAAAAAACGTACCGTTTGGCTGAATGCCGCCCGTAGCGTAGAGCAAGTAGTAATTTCTGTCCCCGGGAAAAAAGATGGTGTCTCCAGCGGCTCTCTTCTTCCTCCTGGATGATGTACTCGTCCCATTTCTCATGGCTTGGGAGTAACTGCATCGTAACATTCCGTTCACGTACTCACCTGATTTGTCCATTATGAACGTGTCTGACGGCTGTAGGCGTTAAAAAAATGCTGGTTTTCTTCGTTAATTGAAAACATTAACCAAAACAATTTTATGTGTCTTTGGAAAAAATTATTCTTAACCTGCAAGTGGTCGTTCTTAATTATTGTTATTCTTAAAATTTAATCTTTCAACAACTAATGTTTTTCAACAATAAGAGCAAAAATTATATATTATTTGTGTTTTTTTTAAATGAAATAAAAAATTGAAAGTATTGAGAAGGACTGACAGGCGATACGTAGCTGTTGGTTTTGCCGGTATTTTTTGACAATCGAATAGCGCAGGAGGTGCCATTCAGGTAGCAACTTACAACGCTGTCGTCGCCCTGCAAGTGGTCGTTAAATGTTACCGACATAAAATATTTCAGTCTTCATTATTTAGAACAAACATGTTAATGAAAGAATAATTTCTTAAAAACATTCCTAACCATTTTATCGTCCAACGAGAAACCGATAGCGATATAATCTGATTTGGTTTTGACAGGACCCTCCAATTTGAAATCTACATAACCAGCTCTGGCACTTTTCGACCAAGTGAAGGCACATCTGTTTTCTGAACAAACGAACGAACTGCCTGGATTCTGTCAAAATGAATTGCTCATTCAATTTTTTTATTTGCTCGAATTTTGAAAAACATTTTAAATTTTTGTAAAGAATGAATCGAACCGCATTAAAATATTGTAAATAAAGCAATTTATATAAAACGTTTTTTATCTAGTGAAAATCTTTTAACAAATAGTTCGAATAATCTATTATAATAAAATAATCAATAAAAATGGGTTTTATAACTCTTAAACATCACCTTTGTTGTGGCTGTGGTTGTTGTGGTGGTGGTAGTGGTGGTGGTTGAAGCTGTCGTTGGAGTTTGAGCTGCAGTCGAAAAATTGTATGCAGTTCTTGAAGAATGTTTCACGGTGTGTATTTTCAACGTCTTGGTATCTTTGAAATATACGGAATTGAAAAATAAATTTTCCTGGAAATATTCAAGAGTATTAGCCAAAATTATTTTCCTAAACTGATGATTTAAAGTTGCAATCTACCGTTGTTCATTGGACCGGTGGCATAAAGCAGGTAAAAATTCCCGTCTCCAGGGTAAAATATCTTATCCGACTTGGAGGAATCATTGAAGGGAATCAGCAACTGCGAGAACTTGCACTTCAATGCTCCATCAACATAATCACCAGAAGTGTTAATGATGAAATTTGACGGCTGAATACAAATTTTATTCAACACAAGGTAGAAATGGTTTTATGTCATTCAAGTGCAACTTAAACTTTGTTACATAAAACAAAGTATGTTTTATTTTCCTTATAACGAACTTACCATGCTAACAAAAACATTGCTCTTTTCTTCACCATTGTACGAGAGGATGATTTTAAACTGGTTTGTAGACGGGTCCTTGAAACACGCAATAACGCTGTCACGGCCCTGATTGAAATTTTACTTAAATTGGAAAAACAATGATGTACACTGTCGATGTAAAGTGTTCATTATGTGTATTTTTGTTCAGCACGTGTCTGACAATTGTAAGTTTTTTTTTATATAAAATTTCATAAATCATAACTTGATTATGTCATCACGTCATCATCACAATTATGATTAAAAAAGTAGTAAACAACTATTGATGAAAAAAAATTGTTAAAGTGAAGTCGAGTGCATGTGATTATGTGTTTGCTGTTACTTAATACATTAACATTTATTCAACTTTGAGTTTGAAATATTTATGACGCATTCGACAAAGTATGGTATTTTATCTTGAACTTTCACAGTACCCCGAAATTAAAATTTATGAGCACTTGAAACAGAGTGACACTCAAATCTCCCTGTTGGTTTAAGTTTAGCGTGATGACGGCACGTTTTCTCGGTGGTTTTATAATTTGGATGGTCTCTTGATTGATTGATTGGTTGGTTGATTGGTTGGTTGGTTGGTTGGTTGGTTGATTGATTGATTGATTTCATCACAATCAATATTGAAATTGAGTTTTCTTAAAATACAACTATAACAAACAATTTAAAAGTTTATATTTTGTTTGGTATGAAAAATGATCAATCTTTATTTAAATAAAAAGATCTTTATTTGAAGTTAACCATTCAAACAGTGTCAGACATTTATGAAAAAAGCAATCCTGCAAAAATATAGAGAAAAAGTGAACCATAGAATTATATCACAAACTGATACTATTAAAATCTTGTATAGCAGCAACAAACACACACATAACAAAAAACTGATAAACAGTGTTATCCTATCAAATTTGTTAACGGAAACAATAACCATTTCGTCATCGACCGAGTAGGCCATAGCAATGTAGTTAGTCACTTCATTGATCCTTCCTTGCAGGCTCACATCCATGTACCCACTCTGAGCACTCGTGCCCCATGTTATCACACATTCTTGGTTTGGACACGCGAACGATCCATTTGCTGCCTGCCCTTGTGGGTTCTGCTTGAATGTTGGTTGTATATTTGTATGTGCACGCGTGCGTGTGTAAGTGAATGTATGCATGAATGTATCTATGTGTGTATATGTTGTGTGTGTGTGTGTGTGTGCGCGCGTGTGTGTGATTGTTTAACAAAATATATGTTTATCACTGTGTGTTGTGATTGTTTAACAAGATATATGTTTATCACTGTTTGTATTTGTTGATCTTGGGAATGGCAAAATATTTGATGGTACAAAATTTTTTATATTTTCATGCTTGTGGTTTTTCATGTTTCATATTCAATTTTAATTTGCACAATTTTTTGAACTGTTTTAATTTTTAGTTGTGTATTCCATTCTGCTTTTCCATTCAATCAACTATATTGCATGCAGCTTGTACATGAGCGCGTTCATTTATAGAAATCACTTCTAAGCTTAGAGCTGCATTTGCATTCAGTCACAGCTCGACATTTTCAGCCTTGTTAAATGTTTGCTAATGAAATAACAAAACGTGATCGTCGTGAGTAAAATGTGAATGAGCAGGTAGAAAGAAAGTACCGCCTGCATAGATCGCATGTTGTTTCTACAGTACAGGTAGAGACGAAGGCATGAAACCTCTTCCCAAATTTGTTCATCACATTCAAGATGCACGTGTTAAAACGTTTTCACTATCAAGAAACATATTATTTTTTATCTATATGAAGCATATGGTCGGTGAGTTAGCTCAGTCGGTAGAAGTGTCATGTTCCGTGCAGGCAGATACGCGATGCCTGGTTCAAATAACGTCTTTATGAAACTAAAAAAAATTATACGCCATGCGTGTACGATGCAGTGTTTGTGCTTGCATACAAAATGTGTAAAAACGTTATGTGGTGTGGGTAGTAGAGCTTTTATTGCAAAAATGTTTAACATAAGTATAGAATAACCTGCTTAGGTGACTATGCGTTTGTTAGAGAAGCAAAATGAAGAATAACAAAAATAGTGTTGGAGTAGAAGATATTAAAAATGGGTTGCAATATGTATCTATATGAAATAAAGATACCAGAAAATATGTAGAAAAACTGTACAGATAACTGACCTATCAATGTTGGCAGGATATGTTGTAAAAAAAAAATTCAATACAACAAGTGGAAGTAAGATGTTAATGGTGTTTGAAAAAAATTTAAATAGAAACAAAAATAGATAAGAATATTTAAACATTTTTTTTATAAACAAAGATTTTTGAGAGTTCAAAGCACTTTTTGAAAATAACATAGATCGTGCTTTATTTATGAATTTCTTACTAGATATAGAGTTGTAGAAAGCGATGAAGAATGATTTGTTTTTGCTGCTGCTGTTGTTAATGCTTCAGCTAAAAAAGTTGTTATTTTTGCTGAAGTGGCCGGTGTGGTTGCTGCTGGTGTTGAGGATGTTGCTGATGGCGCGTAACTGTTGGTTAATGCAGTGAGTGAAGTTTTCTGGGATGAAATGACTGAACTACCTAGCAAATTGTTGTTGCTTGTTGTTGTTATTACTTGAGTTGTGATCAAATTAAAAACAGTAGTTACATAATTCGTTGTTGAAGTTAAAGTTGATGCTGATGCGATCGTCACTGCAGGACCTGCTGGGGAATAATTTATTGACCCACTCTGGATACTCCAGTACATTGTTTTCGTCTGCACTACAGTGGCACTTAATAATTTTTGAATATTTAAAAAATTGAAATGATAAACTCGGTTTTTAGTTTAAACGATTATTTATTTAACAACTTTATTATCTGTTGAATACGTTCCTTATTTTTGAGCATAAGTACCAGTAGACAGTTATTTTTTAATTTTTCAAGCCAATAAAAATATTTAATTTTTTTTAAAGATTTTAACTCACTTAAAATTAAATTCTCCAACAAATGCCTTGGGATCCCAAGTGAATGTAACTTTAGAAAAGCCAGCTGCCCTTGTTTGAGTAACCGCTGTATTGGACTGATATACATATGACTAGTATAAATATGATTTAATTTTGATTTTTTTTTTAACTCAACGTCAGTTCTTAGCCGTCTTGAAAAAAATGTTTAAACGAACTAACGCATATTTGTTTTGTGTTGGAATCCACATTCGTGAAGACTCCTATCGGGGTGCTGCTGCTGCTGCTGAAGGCTCCCAATATAAATCCGGTGAAGTTTTCGCTCTTATTCGAGGAGATTGACACTTCAGAAATTTTGAAATTGTTTTTACAAAATGAATAAATAATACTAATAAGAAACAATTATGAAGTCATGATTCTAATAAATTACACTTTAAAATTCTCAAATATAAATACCCTCGGATATTTAAATGAATTGAAGAAAATATGAATGTTTGCCTCTTTTTTCGACACTACCTAAACACCAGCAACTGTCCAAACAATAGGAAAGAAAAATTTTCAAAAATTTTGAATACAAACGAAATAACAACAGCATCAGTGTAGAGATAGTCTTGAAAACTAATAAAAAACAAATTCAATGAAACTGTTCGACACAACCTATTTTGATGGTTGTGATAAAACTCATTTAGCAATGAATATATAATTTGGAAACCAATGTCTTCAAACGGGTGCAATATTAATTTCCAGTTTAACAAATATATAAATGATATTTCAAAAAATGCTATCATAATTAATTACATTTAATAGAATTATATATTTTTGAATGTCAAGTTGACGAACAAACCTATGAACGTTGAACCAGTCTGATTTGTAGTGATGATATAAGATGAAAGTGAGGTTTGGAAAGAAGAACTGTGACTAGGAGCTAAACTAGTACAAGTTTGTTCTGGAGCTCCTCCTGGAAAGGCCACCGCAACAAATAAATAACTGAACAAAACTATTATATTTTTGAGTATCATGATTGAGGTTAGAGTTAAATTTCAAGATTTCTTTAAGATTTCTCAGTTCAATGTTTTTTTTACAGTCGATAAAGTTATCTCTCTAAAACTTAATTAAAAGTTTTAAAATAGTTTTTTTATGAGGACTTGAATTCTTTCTTTTCCGAGCGAATATTCCATTAATTTATATAAACTCCTTAATAAGTTATGTGCGCGTTACATATACAATATAATGCGTTAGATTCTCTATAGACTGTGTTTTATACATTATATCTTATAAGATGTGTTTAAGTATGCAGTTGCGTGGTTTAAAAAAATGACATGTATAGCAGACATTTTGTATTAGAACCGTCGGTGGATCTCACATCATTGCATACGGTAATGTATGTTATATATTACCTTTAATTTTTCATTTTTTAGCGTGCGATATACTAATGAGAAGAATGAACATTTCTCACTGAAAATATATAAATGCTTTATGAAACAAAACAATGAACATCACAACTACAATTTTTTACATTTATTCATTGCCAACGCAGCAGGCCACACCTGTGGCCAATCATTAAAACACGTATACATCAGGTAAAACACGAATGATACACTCTCAGTCTCACCACACACACACACACACACACACACACAATATATGTGTGGTGTGTGGTGTGCGTGGTGTGTGTAGTGTTCGTGGTGTGGTGTGTGTAGTTAGCAGGAGGCTTGCTGTACTGTTGTAAAAACCAGCAACAGAATGATGACAAGAAAATAATGAAGAATATTTACTGACTCTTTTGTCGTTCGGGATAACCAAAGTGGTTCGGCAAACAGGCTTCAGCAAAAACTTTGCTCCTGTTATCGGGACGGGATGGAGTTTTAAAAATTGAAATCAGTTGGAGACAGAGGATAAAAAAAAACGAAAGCCCGTAATGGCATGGGAAACACAAAATTATATTCAAAAAGATTAAATTGCGTGTGTCGTGTCGGTGTGTTATTGTGTATGAGAGCATGTGATTGCATTTATACTGCTATTACTACTGAAAAATTCATTTTATCTAAAACAGTATGTACCACTGGTAGTTACTAAAACTTACGCATACTGTTATTCACTTAGCAATAATGCATACTACATGACACGACATAAAATTCGTGGAATTGTACAGCTTTTGTTTGTATGAACAACACAAGTTCGTAGTAGCAGCAAAAAAACAATACTCTGCTGTTTGTTTGCAAGGCAGCTAACTCTTAGTTGATTACCACACAATCGTGTCATTGCATATATAGCTACACACACACAGACACACACACACAGACACACAGACACACACACACTCACATCACATAAACATACTCGCACAAGCATAACTTTACTCAAGATTTTGGAAAATTAAAATATTTTAACAAACATAAACATGATGATTGAGATGATTTTGATGATGATGATGATGGATGTCTTGAGGGTGCTTATGATAAGGATGATGATGATGGTGATAGTGGTAAACACTTATAATCATGGCGTTCGTGACGATAGTAACGATGGAAACAATGTAAACTATGATATGATCGGCATCGTCATCATCATCATCATCTTCACCATCATCATCATCATCAACACCAACATAATCATCATTATCATCATCATCGTTATCATCATCATCGTCAATCATTGTTTTCATCATCGTCATATTCATCATTATCATCATCATAAATCAGAACCAGCCATTACCATCATCATCACTTATAATTTTTATATCTTGTCATCATCCTCTATTCACTATCTTAGTCCTAATCATAATTTACCACCAACAAAATTACTGTCATCTTTTACTTTATATTTAATCATCACCTGCTTGTCTTGCATTGTAACAGATTTATGTTGTAACAGATTTCGACCCTGTCATGTTATGATTTTTTAAAAACAATAATAATTATAACAACAATAATAATAATGATAATAATAATAATAATAATAATAATAATAATAATAATAATAATAATAATAATCATTATCTTCCTCATCTCTACCACATCATCGCATCTATGACTTGCTTAACTTTTACGATAATATGACTGGGCCACAACCAGCATATAACCATTATCATCAACATTGCTAACATTATCATCATCATCAATATCATCATCATGGATCTATCATCATCATCGTCATCATCGTCACCATCATCGTCATCATTCCCGCCATCACCATCATCACCTTCATCATCATCATCGTCACCATCACCATCATCGTCACCATCATCATCATCATCGTCACCATCTTCATCATCGTCGTCATCGTCGTCAGTATTTATATTTATTGTTTACAGAAAATTATATTGGTGAGGATTGTTGAGGCTTATGTAGAAGGATTTATCAATGTTGTGAGTAATGTAAAGTCACGGAGCTATGAGTAATATATATATATATATATATATATATAATTTATGAAAATAGAATTTCTGACAGTCTTAATCTAATAAATATATATAAATATATATATAATATTATATATATGTATATAATAAAAACTAACTGCTACTAAATTATTTAATTATACTGCTATTGAACATTTGGTTTAATTATGCATGCATCGCATTTAATTGTACTGGCTTGAGAGTAGGAATGTCAACAGTTTGTTGAAGAAAGAATTTAGAATAATAAAATCAATAATAATAATTACAATAATAATAATAGTGATGATGATGATGTGATGAGGAGGAGGAGGAAAAGGAGGAGGAGAATGATGAGAATGATGATGAAGATGATGATGAATTTTATTTGTTATCAATGTTGTTATAATTTTTATTATTAAATTGTTATCTTGGCTTTTATTATTTATTACGATGCTTTTATTACTATTGCACTCTTGTCATTGAACTTTGACGTGATTGAACGCTGTAGTCAATGGAGAATTTAAAAATAATAATTTCATCTATAATTATTATAATCTATAATATTTTAATCATCTATCATTAATAATTCTTTGATTTACATGAACATTATGAAATAATTTCCTTTTAAGGTATTAGTACATGGAATGAATTATGTTATACAATTGTATGTTACTTTCATATAGATCAAGTGTGAGTTTCATAATTGTCATACCTGATTATATGGTAGCAACTAAGACATATATAATTGACTGACAACATGACTGAACATATAATTAATTAATTAATTAGTTAATTAATTAATTATATATTTATTACATATTACAATTCTCTTTACAATATTTTCCAGAAGCATCAACGACAGACACACAATACATGTAAAGTTAATACACGTGAAATAATGCGTCACACACGTTGAATGTGGCCTGGCGGGGATTCGAACCCTGTCGCTACAACTACAACATCGTCAGTACCAGGCTCTTTACCATTACACTATTGTGACGCTCAGTAGTTGCGAACACCAAATGAACAAGCAAATGAATGAACTTTTACAAAATGAAGTTTTTCAAGTGGGCTTTATAAATAAGTGGATCACAAGTGATGCATTTAACGGTTGTGAGCTGTCCTATAGGCAATGTCAGTCAAGAGCTATATTGGATGAAACCACAAAATATTTTATTTTGCATTTTTTTTAGACTATGTACTGAAAACTGGTAAAAAGATTAATGATAATGTTAATAATAATAATATAATTTTGAATATTGTTGTCACAGAAATATTGAATGAATGTAGCTACAGACGTAATGTAATGATTTAATGGAAGATGACATTTAATTTCTTAATTGATTATTATCGTTCACGTCGTCGTCATCAGCGTTTCCTTGATCAGAAGAATATCTGTTTTCAGAAATATTCAAATAAAGGTTCAGTGACAACGATATAAAAGAAATAACGGTCAACAACTTATAAAGAATTAAAATATCAATCGAATCTTCAAACAATTTCATAAAGTGAAACAATCCATACTACTAACATAAGACGATCATGTTTTTAGCGTTGTACATTGAAGCTTTTAATATGACCTAAAAAAAAGTTAAATCACTGTGATCTTTCAATTAGTCAAAGGAGTTGAACGCATGTGAAAAAATAATTATTATCAAAGAGTGTAATAAATCAAATGGAATGAAAAAAAAATCAAGAGGTTCAAAATTTGAAAAACTGACCGCCGAACTTACAGCAATGACGTCACTCACGACTAACCAGAAATGTGCGAATCTGACCACCACCGTGCATCTGACGGGTGGGCAATCGGTTATCAATTTATTAACTAAAAATAACTAAAATTAAATTGTTTAGTTTCAACGAAATGTTAAAGGCTAAAGGTCTAAAACACTCTTCCTAGTCTCAAGAGAACTAAACAAAAACAGCGTATATTAAAACGACGCATCACAGCATATGTTACAGGCACTGAAGAGATAACACGTAGGCCACTTCAGTGCATGAAGGAATCAACTTCTTTAAAAAAACTCATCTGCTTAGTTTTGTGTTAAACTTAATAAAACATGCTTAATTTATAACATAATACAAAGTTTATTTTAAACAATCACCACAAGGTTGCATTATATGAAGTATTTACGCAAATTTTGCTGATCCAACATAATTTTGAGGGCTCCATTGAAATTGGAGTTTTAAAACATTCAGATTCGTGTTGTGAGTTACAGCCGTGTTGCCCTGTAAAATGACATTTTGTGAATTCAGACCAGTTGTTAATACGCAAATGTTTTTTAAACTTAACTTTAATTTATAAACAAATAATCAATTAGTAAATATAAAAGTGTTGGAAATTTGAAAAAAAATTTGAAAAAGACGAACACATATGTATTTTGAGCTTGGAGCAATCGTGACAAACTTGCCAATTGATTTATTTTGCAAGTCCATGGCTTTCAATATGAATCCACCAATCTTATTCTCTGCATCCAGGCTGTCAATCGTCACTGTCATTAAAAATCATGTGCAATTTCCACCATTCGAATTTATTAATTTTTAATCAAAATTTAATTTTTTTTACCAAACCAGAAAACTCGACTGAATAAGTTGAAAACTATCTTTTATTTCAAAGAAATCAACGACACGCAACGTAAGCTAATACGCGTGAAAACCACGCAAGACACGCATTGTATAGTCTTTCTGCCATTCAGTTCTTAGAGGAAACAAATGACATTGAAGTAGTAGTAACTGATATTACCTTTGTAATTTGAAGCATCCTTCTCTACTGTTATGGTGTGGCCGGGATGAGAAGTTTGGAAAGACTTTTCTCCGTGTTCCGGTGCCAAGGTCGCACAGGTTGATTCTGGGGCACCATTCCGGAACGCATTAAGAACAGCAAGCTGCAAAACAGATATTAACAACTTTAAATTTTTACGCATTTTTTAAAACCATTTTTGTTGTTGTTTAAAATGTTCTTGTTTTGTCAAAGATCTTTATAAATGTAATAATAATAAAACTAAGCAATTTTTATAAAAACACAATATCCAAATGTAAACAAGTTTGTTATTCTTTATAAATTAGAAAAAAACCTAAAAAATGCGCAAAGTGACGTTTTTATAAATTTACAAATGTTTTTAAAATAAATTTATAAATTTAAAATTTATTTGATGAAAATTTGATAACAGTTAGAACGTGCAATCTAATTTATAATTTTAACGGAGTAATTGTTGGAAAAAACGATCATTTATAAACGATGAAATGCATCTTATTCAAAGTTTATAAGCTTAGCATCGAACTTTTTGAGAATCACTAGTAAATAAAGATGAATGAATTCGAACAACCATATTGCTGAACATTAATGTTTTTCTTGTACCAGTAACCAGTTAATAATCAAATTAAAAAACATTAGAATCGAAAGCTAGATGTGTCTTCGCAATGTTGAAGTTTCCCAAGTTAAGTAAAACTGTTTCTCAACACGTCCACTCGTAAATGTTAATTGCGAAAATAGAAAAATGTTTCCTTACCGTTACGATTTTTAAGAATTATGAATCACTGTAACTAAATACTTTTTTGAGTAGTTATATTAGGGTAGTCATTTACTTTAACGAGTTACTACACTACACCGATAACGAAATTGTCATTAAAAAAGCTTCAGTTGCGTACAACCTCTCGACATTTTGGAGCACCAGTAGCTCGCTGATGAAGCACTCCACCGATGGTCCCATCCTGCCCATTTTGCCTCCTACGGCACTAAGTTCAGAAACGAGCAAACCAAGAAAGGCTTCACTGGGTACGGCGAAAAAATGGAAGATTTAATAATGGTAGAACGAACAACAACAGAATTAACGACGTTATCAAAGATGCAGTCAAAAATTTCACCGAGAATTTTTTTCGTTCTGACGTCAACAGTTTTACTATCAATCAACAAATTTGAGTAAACGAAAATGCTATAAAATAATTAATAACAGATTTAAAAAGTCACTTATTTTGTCAACAATTCTTTGAAAATTATCCAGCGTGGCCACATGTTTTTGTTGTTGTTGTTGAAGTAAATTCAACGATAAACGAAAATTAACAAAAATTAAAAATTTTTCTGACTTTCCATAACCACGCTCCTATAAACTTTCTCAAATTTCCACTGTTACACCATTTTTAAGATCAACATAAAAGTATTTTATATAATGACTTTGGCTATTCACATATTTTTACATCTTGTGAATAAATTATTGAGGACGAAGTAACTGAAATCAATAACTATGTTCATTGTATTGTATTAAAATTTATGTAAATTAATATTGTTGTTTAGAGAGAGAGAAAGAGAGAGAAAGAAAGGCAGACAGGGAGAAAGAATCAGATAAAGTAACAGATTATTGAAAATAATCCCTATGAGATGTAGAGTAAAAAATTTCTATTATCCAAAATCGCACTAAAGCTGGAAATGTACCAAAAAAAATTGTCTAAAAAGTTCGTCCTTTGTCATGACGTAATTCGTAATTATATTCCCACCTCAAAATTTGGTTCGAAGTAATTATTAGCATTAGTTTTGACGACTTTTTAGTCAAAAATACCCGAAGTACACTAACTTGATAACTTCAATTAAGCTTATATCGCTCTAACTAATGCTACGTTGAAAAATTTTCAATTATAAAACAACAAAGCATTGCAATCATTGTATATTAACTTTTCTAAAAATAAGTTGCAATTCAACATTAAATATAAAAATTGTTTTGAATTTTTGTTTGAACAAGCTGAAATTTCGATACTAGTAATGTATTTATTAGTAAATGCATTTATTACTAAGCTATTAGTTAATCAATTCTACAAATGATTTGTCAAAAAATATTGGAAAGAGCCACGTCAAACTGGCTGCCGAATTCGATCAACAGCTGGTTTTATACTCAGTAGTAATGGAACAAGCAGAAGTTGACCAGGGCGAACGACATCAGTGTGGCCAGGATCGCCAAAGAAGTTGAGAGAGAGTTGGCGGATGATAATTGGGAGGAAGTTTGTGTAGACGATGAACCTGTGTCACTTGCTACCTGCATCTTCCAGAAGGTCGTGTAGTTTTTGACTACGGTTCCCCTTTTGTAAAATAAATGTTATAAATTTTGTGTTTGTTAAATAACTGCTTTTCATTAATTTCACGTGTTGAATAATTTGAAGTTTTACATAAAATACCAGATAAAGTTTTTCTAAATAATAACGCCTGATAGTGTTATAAAAATTGTTCTCACTTCATGTAGAAAGGGCCTTTGAATGCATTAGAATTCCACAGGAATGTCAGGCTTGAAACTGCTAACTTTTGCGAATGAGTCACCGCCGCGTTGGACTAATTTGAACGAAATTAAATTATTTAATTTCATAAGTGTTGATTAATAAAAATCAAAAAATTAATGCAATGTATATCCTTAATGAGGAAATTGAACTAACGCAAATGTACTTGGTGTTCGTGTCAAAGTTCGTGAAAACTCCAACTACAACGCCGTTGTTGCTATTGAAAGCCTCCAACATCAATCCAGCAATAATGTCACTCGATGTTATGTTTACTGAAATTTAGAGTTTTCTAATAAAATTTATTTTAAATAAAAATTAATAAAAGCCCTAAAATGACAGTTTATAGTCAGCAAGTTGGTATAAATAGTATGAGAGCTCTATCTTGCATGAATGTTTGAAACACTTTGGGGCTAACTTAGTTCGAAGACATGTCATCCAGGATGAATCAATCTATAATATTCGAAGCAAATCCTCTGTTTCAAGAGAAGACGCTTTATACAGCACTATTTTTTTATTTGAGATATGCCACAAACATAAGTAAATAACGTTAATTTTTTAATAACAGGTAGTGCAAATACTTTAACAATTTACAGCTTATTATCCTAAAACAATAAACAGTGTTGTAATTCTTAAAAAAAGTTATTTCTGTATTACAACAGCTACAACAAATTCACATAAAATGAAAAAAAAATATTGAAACCAACTTCTGAAATTTGACGATCCAAGTGGAATCACACTGATCAGGTAGGGCGAGTTTGATGTTTGTGGGAAAACGGAAACCCCATGAGATGGTGAGAGGTTGCCACAAGCGGTCTCTGGGGCACCAGACGGAAAGGCTACAACTCCAACTAAACCGCACACTAAAACTATTAAACTCTTCAAAATCATTTTCTAGTTTTTTTAAGTCTAGTTTTATGAATCAAATGCCGAAATATTGAAAAATTTAATTTATTAATTATAGCGTGGAGTTGAGTTGTTGTGCTTAAAACGACGAAAGTGTGACACTCGTATAATTTGTTCTGCCTGGTGATAACATTAACATATTGAAATAATAACAACTATAAAATAGTTATAACGAACGCAATCAGGCTTACAGTTCGATCTCACTCAGGCAATTGTTTACAAAACAAGCTATCAAAGAGATACAACACAATTTATAAACAACCAAACCAAATAATGCAAAACCAAACAAACACCTACAAAAAATAATAAACAACTAAACAAAAATAATAAACAACTAAACAAAATTAATAAACAACCAATTAGCAAATATTAGATGTTATTTTCAAGGTGTCTCGTTTATAACACGAGTTGATGTTTCAAGTTTGTACTTTGCGTTTCATTCCATTCCTAATTTACAAAGAATCTTTTCTAGTGCTTAACAAAAATGTTCACTTCAACACAACAATCTACCGATGCTATAGTTTTTTCCATTTTTTTCCATTTGAATTCGCTAAAGTATTAAGCAAACTTATAACGTGAACAAGGCATATGCATTGGCTTGTATTTAGTGAGTAGGTGAAGTGAACAGCAAGCAGGTTGCAGCAATTATTAGAACAGCAATTACAATACAACTATATTGACGATACAAAGCTTGTCACTTGTTGCTACTGCCACTTCTTGCAATGTTACATTAACATTTTCAAGCTGTCAGTTAATGTTGTTAATGTTTGTGTGGTTTTTGTTAGAGTTTGACGTCAGCGTCATTTTTGTTTATTAATTCATCTGTTTTTGCATTTCGATGACGCTCGGGTTTCTCTTTTGATATTCCAGATGCGTTTGTATTTGTATATGTCTTGACAAACTTTTATTTATTTGTTAATTTGTCCGGGGTTATATTTGATTTTGTTTAACTGGATTTTTGTTTAACTGGTTTTAATGTGTGTGCAATAGTGCTTGGGATTGCCTGGTTGTGAAATATTGTTAGTTTGTTGATGTTTTGTGATTTATGTGTTTAAAATGTTTGTTTAGTGATATTACCATAAGGTTTACAACGTGTTTACTGGCAAATGCTCTGAAACAATTTTTGAAGGATCATTTGATGAGAAGTTTCATAAAAGTTTATTTGCATTTTTAAGTTTTTTTATTGAATTTTTCACAAAAAAGTATAAATGCATGAGTTTGTTTGTCATTATTTTATTGAATAAATAAACAATAAATATTACAGACTGCAAATATTTAATTAAATGGAAATATAATTCTTTTAAATAAATCACCGTTTAGTTTAACATAATTTTGTAATTTCACAACTATTCAAAATAAAAAAAAAATCTTTTTAAGAGGTTAAATTTGCAACTTAAAAAACAAAAAAAACAAGAATTTTCAAAGAGGAAGATGATGCGTCAAGCCATGAAAATAGACATACGTTGTTTATATCTGAGACAAAATTCGTTGGTAAATTTTTAAACCTCCACAACATGTCATTCGCAACAAGAAAATAGTTAACAGAATAGTATAAAAATCCACCAAGTAAAAATAAATTCATAATAATTCTAGTTTTAAATTTTTTTAATGTCGTGACAACTACATGAATTTCTATGACAATTTCAGTCATTTTTTCAATCAGACAAAAAATTTTCATTAAAATCCTCCATAACGAGCACTTAAATGCTTCAATTCATTGAGAAGCAGAGCGAAACCCATAGTGCCTGCAAAAGATATTTTATTAACAATTTTTCCACATCATCTTCTTATAAATTTATGAAGACGGTGTAAAATAGTTAAAAGCGCATGATCCGCTGTTGCCCCTTTCGGGTTCAACTGCAGTGAGATTCACCGCATATCACATGCAATGTGTATTCTGCGTTGTTAATATTTTAGGGGGTTAATAAAAAAGAAATGAAAAAAGATAAAATTTTTGCAAAATGATTATTTCAATATTTGCAAATTCTCTTTCAGTTTTTTAAAATAACTAACCAATGATGAGAGTCCAGGAGAGAGTCAAAGATGTCCCAACATTCTGCATATCGGTTGAAAATGATTTATAATTAGGTTTCAAATTCACGCTACATTGGTTAATAGTATAAATGAAAATTTTAAATAATCTGCTGAGTGTTAAATTCTTAACTACATTTTTAGCTGTGTTGTCAGTTGTAAAAGCGTTAGTACTTGGATTATATAAGTGTGGTTGAAAGTCCAATATGTGTCATATGATCGAACCACAGTTGATCTGCAAATAATTTTATGAATTTTCTAAAAAAAAATTTCAAACATTGGAAGATGTGAGTGAAAAATGTTTTAACGTGAAAGACATAAAGTAAAAAAATGAAATAAAGTTGAAAAAATGATAATAAACGTCAAAATATTGAACAATAATTAATGTTCTGTATCATTTTCGTTCATAAACTTATTTACAATCAGTTAGACAAAGGTTTTTGTATTGAGGTAACATAACAAAAATAAAAATGTTATAAAAAATTGATGACAACTTGAAGAAAATGATTCCAGAATGGTTGGTTGCATTCCACCTGAACGATACAGACGAGACGTTGAGGGTAGAGTTGTGAGTAACAGCTGTGCTGTTCTGAAAAGTTTTGTTCACGTGTAAATCACTCGAATTTTTAATATTCGACTTGTTTTATAGCATTATTTAGTAGTGGTTTCATGTAACTTGAAGAGTCAAAAAAAAATTTAATATGTAATCATTACAATCTCCTCATTGATATTTTTGTGGGTATCGACAACAGCAAACACCCAGTGTATATGAATTTACGTGAGCCAACGCATCGTACACAACGCGAGTAATAGGTGAAGATCTTTTGGCAACCAAACCCAGTTAGAGCATTATCAGTGCCAGACTCTTTAGCGTTACATCAACGCCTTTTCCATGTATTTGAGGAATTAAGTTTACTATATGAAATAATTTTAAAATAAGTAGCAACATTCAAGTGAGTGAATACAATGATAAAAGAATGAGTAAGTGGTGGTCAACTAACACAACGGTACTTCGTATTAACATCGAGACTCTCAAACAATCCAATCTGGTGACCAAGGTAGTCGAATGCACCGACGATGAATCCTTTGAATGAACTGCTACCATTTATTGTCACTGTGTAAAAATAATTTATTTCAGCTCAATATTTCAATAAAATTTGATGAATTTTTATGAAAATATAATATTTCAGTGCAAGTCATTATGAATGGAGTCTAGTTATGAAGCATTTCGGGAGTGCTGAATCGTTGAAGGGTTACAACTTTCTGAATTTAAATATTGTTTTAAAATTAAAAATAATAATTTCTATAAAATATTAATCATTTTTTGTTCTTCTTACATGTAAGAACGTTCAAGGTGGCAAAACAAGTGTGAAAATTCATACGTGCAACAAACACGTTGACAAACAAATATTTTTAAACGTAATCAGGCAATATTTCCAGGTAAAATAAAGTTTCCCTTGACTGATAAGAAATAAACAATATTTCAATCCAGTTCCATCTCTTTGAAGCAGATAAAAAAGTTACAACAAATATGTTAAAAATACCGGTGTAGATGTTGTTGCCTCCTTTGACGCTGATGTAGTATGGCGACTGAGAGGTCTGGAAGGTTGAGTTGCCATGACTCGGAGTCATGTTGACACACGTCCTCGTTGGCGCTCCATTCCACGAACACCTCACCAACGTCATTTCCAGGATCAGGAAAAGGAAAAGACAATACAGAACCGTCATTTTGAAGACGTTTCGGTTAGTTAGTAACTTGTGTGTTATGAACAAGTTGATCATTCGAAACTTTTTACATAAGTTTCGATGTTGTGTGCATTTATACTTAAATCCATTGTCTGGTGGTGAACAATACAAGCACATGTGCTATGTTTATATTATATGTATTTATCTACACGCGCACACTCATACACACACACGTATATATAAATATATATGTATATAAAAATTATTTAATTGTTATTTATCATTCAATATAAATATCTACATCCAAGTATTTGTGGAGCGCTCCCGTAGAATAACTTCAGAAGCGCCAGAAAATGTCAAAACTAATGATGTTTCAAACGATTTGGATAATATGTCGGCTCGTGTTGTTGAATTTCTTCCAATCTAGAGGCAGTGAGTTCCGGATTTTTGCAGATGAAACCTTATCTTCCCAAAACAAGAGGAATTGAATTTAGGAAGCACAAGATTTTCTGAAACTAATTGTAGTTGTTCTTTCAAATAAAATAATTTAGAAGATATGTATGTATATTGATATATAGATATATATATAACCTATATATATATATATATATGTATATATATATATATATATATTTATTTATTTATATGCATACATAGATATACAAACAGACACAGAGTAAACAAGCGGTAATAACCGGTTTATGCAAAAATAATCTTTAGTTTTCCAAGATAGGTAGGAAAAAAAGATGCATGGCAAAGATGTAATTTGCTAGAGAGCAAATCTGTGCAATATAGAGAGCTGTGTCAGTGTTATTATTATTACACGGTGGTTTTATTCATTGAATCCTTGAAACCATGGAATGATGATGATGGATGATGGAATGTTTCATGACTGGAGGAATGGAGGATATTAATATCGGATTTCCAACTTGTTGATTTTTGCCTGGTAAGATGAATGTTTAAAAGAAAGTAATTTTTCTCACTTAAATTAAACCATTCTGATCGTATTAAATAAGTTGCTCTGATCATATCATAACAGTCTGTTTCGCAGTAACTTTGTACAAAACATTAAAAAATTGCATGCAGTTGTAGTAGTTATGGCAGCCGCAGAGTTTAATTAATATGTACAAAATTTAAAAATAAAAAATGACCAACAATTAGAATTACAAAATAAAAATAATTTCTACTTCAACAGGTTTGATGCCATTTTAATTTATAATTGATATTTTTTAAAAATTCACGCTAACTATACCCGAGACAAAAAACAAGAATGAATTCATATTATTTAATTCATACAAACATTTATTTTCTACCTTTAAACAAGTAACACTTCAATGAGTTCAATATTACGTTCGCAATAAATACATTGTAGAAATATTTGTATTTAAGCTTATTACTTTCGATCGTGAAATGTCTGGTCGGAACTGATTTAAAGACGTCATAATCTGGAACACCGTACACCTTACATTGGCAAAGTTTCAGTGAAATCACGAATCTGCTGGTAGAGTTAAACGAAAGTCGTAACGTAAGGCGATCATTCGGAGACAACTGCACATATATCGAAATATTGAGTTGTTTTTTGTAATTTGTAAACCTAACTGGGCTTTATTTCACACAAAAAAACTTTCTTAATGTTACCTTAAACATGCAAACAAGCACAGACAGAAACGCAGGCAACTAATTAAAGTGTCTGTGCGGAAGGCTAAACACACGCAAATGACTTTTAGAACTTTGGAAAAATTTTTTTAATTAAAATTATTGTGATTGTAAAAAAACTTATAATTATATGTATTTATATTATTATACTTAGCTAATGTTGTCGTTGCTTACTGTTATTTTTTGAGTTGTTATTCTTATGATTACGTCTTTGTTCATCTTATTTACATTCTTTTCACTCTTATTATTATTAATAATTTGTTGTTTATTATTATTTATTATTATTATTTATTAGTAATAATACAAAAGCAGACTTCAACTTTATTGTCCTTGAGTCTCGAAGAAATTCAATGGAATCATAAGCCATCGTGAAACTATTCATCTACCGATAGGTTGTCGATATCTTTATATCAAAAATATTTGAATGAAAAGGTACATAGATACATACATACATACATACAAACATAAGCACACAAACATACACACATACATACATACACACACACACATACATACATACATAATACATACATACATACACACACTCATACATACATACATACATACACACACACAAACATACACACATACATACATACATACATACATACACACACACACATACATACATATTTATATACAACACATACAAACATACATGCATACATCATTATCTTGTTCATGATTTATGTTGGCTCCGTCAAACGACTCCTATTCTTTACAATACTTTCATTTTGCAGTGGCAATAGTTGTATTAATATTAGTGGTAGTAGTAGTAGCAGTTGTGCTAGTAGTATTTGTAGTCGTAGTAGTAGTAGTAATAGCGACAGCAGCATTATTTGCAATAGTAGTAGCTTTATTGAATCGTATTTGTAGTAGTTATAGTAGCAGTGATAAAAGTAGTGATAGAAGTAGTAGTAGTGTAGTAGTATTGGTAGTAGTAGTGGTAATTGTAGTAGTAGTGGTAGTAGCAGTAGTAGTAGTAGTAGTATTAGTAGCAGTAGTAGTAATCATGGTAACAGTAGTAGTACTAGTTAGGGTATTAGTATTAATAGGTACTAGCATAGGCCACCGTGTGTCTAGCACAACGAAAGAAAAAGTTAAACATTCAAAGTATGTTTGGCAAATAAGTAGCCGAGCTGCAGGCTTTCAAAATTAACTCAACGATTTTTATTTTTACGAAATTCGACTTTTAGTTCTTGAGTTAAAATCATGGATGTATATATATATATATATATATATATATATATATATATATATATATATATATATATATATATATATATATATACATGGTTAAAATCAACAAGGCAATTTGGTGTTTTGAATTAACCGAGAAATATTTTTTAAAGACAAATTTTTAAATAGAATTACCACATAGTCCCGATTGAAATATTCATCTAAAATAAGTTTTCAATAAGTATAATAATGTCAGTATGATTAAATGGTATACGCATTCAGACGAGTAAAAATGTTTTTAATTAAAAAATATTGAAATTTCATTGAATAATATAGAATTGATATTGAGGTAAATCGCTAAAATAAATTTTTAATATATTATGTAGAATTGACGTATGTGTAAATCAATTACATAGTTTAAATTTGTAATCATTGGAATTAATAAATTACTGACGAGAATAAAATATGGATGTAAAGTTTTTAAGAAAATGTCTTTATAACTGCTATTTAATGGCTTGGCTACGAAAAATTATTATTAAATTTTTAAAAAATGATTTAACTTTATATTATAAATAGGTTGTAAGTTAGCTTACAAACTTCTCTAAATAGAGTTATATGAACTCGTTTAGTGATAATAAAATGTTTCATTTTTGAATTTTAGTTTTTTATGTTTAATTCATTATTTAAAAATTTATAATTTATGAAAAAATTGAAAACATTATCATATAAAAAAAATTGAAAAACCACAAAAGCATCTGAACAACTGAGTCGGACTATACCATTCGAGATATAATCATGGCAAACACTACACCTACAAAAGATTTGAGGAATAATTCTTCATTAAAAATTTGGATAAAATTGTTTTATAATAATAATAATAATAATATATCACTATAAAATCACTATAAATAATTCATAATTCAAAAATTCAACAAGACGAGAAAACCAACCGATGATGCTTGTAGCCCAAGATATTTTTACAGCCAGGCCCTCACCCTGAATAAACCATGAAAATGAATAAGATGCTAATTTCCTTATTATTTAATATTTAAATAATGTTTTAACATTTATTTTATAAAAATTAATCATATTCATAGTTAAAAATGACTGAGTTGATGTTTTAATACTGCAGAGATGTTGGTTTGGTTCGATAATTTCAAACAACTCAATGTTTTGTTAGGCTTACCCTATTTGTCGTCGTTGCAACAGGATTTGTAGTTGATTTCGGTGTGGATTTAGCAGTTGAAGTTGATTTGATAGTTGGAGTTGTTGAAACACTAGTTGTTGCAGTTGTTGAATCTGTAGATGCAGAAGTTGATTCAGTTGTTGATTCGGTGACTGCAGTTGTTGATTCGGTGACTGCAGTTGTTGATTCGGTGACTGCAGTCGTTGATTCGGTGGATGCAGTTGTTGACTCGGTGGCTGCAGTCGTTGATTCGGTGGCTGCAGTCGTTGATTCGGTGGCTGCAGTCGTTGATTCGGTGGCTGCAGTCGTTGATTCTGTAGCTGCAGTAGTTGATTCGGTGGCTGCAGTTGTTGATTCGGTGATTGCAGTTGTTGATTCGGTGGCTGCAGTCGTTGATTCGGTGGCTGCAGTCGTTGATTCGGTGGCTGCAGTCGTTGATTCTGTAGCTGCAGTAGTTGATTCGGTGGCTGCAGTCGTTGATTCGGTGGCTGCAGTCGTTGATTCAGTGGCTGCAGTTGTTGATTCGGTGATTGCAGTTGTTGATTCGGTGGCTGCAGTAGTTGATTCGGTGGCTGCAGTCGTTGATTCGGTGGCTGCAGTCGTTGATTCTGTAGCTGCAGTCGTTGATTCGGTGGCTGCAGTCGTTGATTCGGTGGCTGCAGTCGTTGATTCGGTGGCTGCAGTCGTTGATTCAGTGGCTGCAGTTGTTGATTCGGTGATTGCAGTTGTTGATTCGGTGGCTGCAGTCGTTGATTCGGTGGCTGCAGTCGTTGATTCAGTGGCTGCAGTTGTTGATTCGGTGATTGCAGTTGTTGATTCGGTGGCTGCAGTAGTTGATTCGGTGGCTGCAGTCGTTGATTCGGTGGCTGCAGTCGTTGATTCTGTAGCTGCAGTCGTTGATTCGGTGGCTGCAGTCGTTGATTCGGTGGCTGCAGTCGTTGATTCGGTGGCTGCAGTCGTAGATTCGGTGGCTGCAGTCGTTGATTCGGTGGCTGCAGTTGTTGATTCGGTGGCTGCAGTTGTTGATTCGGTGGCTGCAGTTGTTGATTCAGTGACTGCAGTCGTTGATTCTGTAGCTGCAGTAGTTGATTCGGTGGCTGCAGTTGTTGATTCGGTGATTGCAGTTGTTGATTCGGTGGCTGCAGTCGTTGATTCGGTGGCTGCAGTCGTTGATTCGGTGGCTGCAGTCGTTGATTCTGTAGCTGCAGTAGTTGATTCGGTGGCTGCAGTCGTTGATTCGGTGGCTGCAGTCGTTGATTCGGTGGCTGCAGTCGTTGATTCGGTGGCTGTAGTCGTTGATTCGGTGGCTGCAGTTGTTGATTCAGCTTTTGTATCATTTCCGGAATTTGGAACTTGTCTCTTAACTAGAACTTTCATATTTTTTGAGCCAACGCCGTTACTTCGTACAATGTAGGAAACGTTTGTTGTCCAATATTTGTCAGAAAAAAAGACCACAGATGACCTAATTTAACAGATTTTTCACAAATATTAAATTTCGAATATTTTTATAATATTAATTAATTAATTAATGCCGAAACCTAAAAATAACTTTTCCAATGAAGTTTTTTGGACTCCACGTGAGGAATGCTTGAGAGATGTCTATGGGAGCGTCGTTGGTTACAGCAGTGCGACCCTGAAAAAATAAGATAAAACTTTTTTTGATCTGAAAATTCAATCATTTTTCAGTTTTTACACATTATACACATAGAAAAAAATCAATAATAAGTATATTGTGAGTGTATACTTTTACTTGGTACGTTTTAAAAAGATTAGGGATATGGTCAATTATACAATTTTTAAGATTTATAAATTTAGTTTGAGACTTACGCATAAATATTTCGTATTTTCATCAAGACTTGTAAACTTGCCAACACGATTCTCTGTTGAATCGAATCCCTCAATTATGAAACCTTTGAAGTTCTTTGAACTCTTCAAAGAAACTACATTGTGGGTAATTCCAGATTCAAAACTTATAATTATTAATAGATTTATTTCGAAGTCACAAAACCTACTAAAATAAAGATAAAAACAACGTACCTTGGTATAGGTTGTGTTTTTCTCTGTGAATGATTATCTTATACGGAGGCTTAGAGTCCTGGAGATTCATGCCGACGTAATAGAGATTCGCGTTCATGCAGGTTTGCGTTGGAGGTTCTTTCGTAAAACACGCCATCTCCATTAATTGTAGGAGCAGCGCAATGCTAATTAGTACTAGAACTTTCATTTCGAACGTCTGGTTCTGGCTGCGGTTGTAGAATCAGTAAAAAAACTTAGTTGAAGTTTTCTCCCAAACTATGTTTGTGACCGCTATTTATACTCTCAAATTTATTCAATTTTTTTTATAATATACGTATAAATGATATAAAGATGTTTATGTTTATACATACATACATATATACACGCATAGACACACACAACAAACGCAAACACACACACACACACACACACACACACACACATATATATATATATATATATATATATATATACATATTTGTAGAGATTCCAGTATAAATAGTCATCTATACATATATATATATATCGTAATTTTTTTTCTTATTAATTTTCTTCTTAGATAAAACTTCAGTGCTCTTCAAGTAGCGACTGTCAAGTTTGTTCATGTCGAGGATACAGTGCAATTGAACGTTATCTGATGATTGCACAACAGGAAATGGTCTTGAAACTCTCCCCTCCACACTTCACGTTGTAACCATAAATCCACACGTCAACTTGAACGAACACTTCAATTTGAAATTAGACTGCTATTCCTATTTCCTCCTCGTCTTCTTATCGAATTAATTAATTCATTTTGAGGCTTGGTGAAGCTCAGTCTATTTGCTGTCTATTCCACAAAATGAATAACAATTTATTATTTTTCTGTATATGTCTAAGGGTTATAGCTAGCTGTCCAAATGTTATTAATGTGGCGGGATGGTGGTGAAATGAACCCAACAACAGGTGTGAAGTTTTAAAATATTCAAGATGAAACGTTGTCGTTAAAAGACAATTGAATGTAAAGAAAAATTTAGCCGAATGAAGAGATCAAAGTGAATAAGGATCTTGAAAACGGGCGTTGTTCCTAATGAAATTTCAATGACTGAAATAATTGAGATTTAAGTGCGCTTAATAAATTTTTACGTAGCAGTATTATTAATAAGTTCTTGACTTGAAATTATGGATACACTCATGTTAATGGTTCAATATATTTTTTAATGATCACAAAATTATTTTTGCAGTTTTATTAAAAGTTCGGTTTTTATTGTTATTTCAATTATGTTGGTTATGTATTCAATTCTTTCTGAAATGCTGGTGACCTATAGTATAAATTATATTAATTATAGCATTTCACCTTTAAAAATGCAGTCTTACAACTTGACAAACTGAAATACGATTTCGAAATATTTGATAAAAATTAATGTTAATGGAAATTTTTGTAAAGATACGTAAGCACACATTCATACACATTGAAGAATTTGAACACTTAACGTCATAAGACACGCGCATACTTTTACACATTCACACATACACCATACGTATACTCTGATGAATTACATGTACTATTAAACAGGATTAAATTAAATTATTGCTGAGATATGATAATTTAAGATTCTGAATATACGGTATAAGAAAGTTCGTAACTGAAACCCTGATTCCAAAATCAACTATCAGTAAATATCGCTTGACAGGCTTGGCCCTTATTTTCCTATTTAAGTCTTGTTAATCCTTAAATAAAATCCTTAATGGGTAACAGAACACGCTCTAATTAGAAAAAAGAATTTAAAAGCTATTAAACTGTTTTGTATGAAATTAACCATTTGAGAAGAATTTATCAAAATTTAATTTAAAAAAATAAAACTGCGATTACCTGATTATCTGTTGAAAGAATAATCGGAAAATCATCAATAAAAAAACTTAAATGACAAAATTAAATGAATGTTAACAAAAACATCGTATCTATTTTAAATTAGAAAATAAGTTTATACGATGATGGCTTACAAATCAACACAACAAAACGTTGTAAAGAGAGAGAAAATGTTTTGAAATTTTTAAAATATATGTATATATATAATATCCAGCTGCTTTTAAACAATAAAATTTATTATAAATCCACAAAGAGACGGATAAATCAAACACAGATATATTGAAGCCCGACACACACCAACCAGTACAGAGAAATTTTTTAAAATTTGGTAGATAAATCAATGAACATACATGAAACTTTCATATCATATACATATCAATAATATTTGTGCTAATTATAAACGCCCTCAAACACTCACACACACACAAACACACCACACACACACACACACACAAACACACCACACACACACACACACACACACAAACACACCACACACACACACACAAACACACACAGCTATACATATTTAAACAGGCATGCAAATTCCATAAAATACTTCAAAAGCAACTGTAGTTTAAAATCATTGCTCCTCTTATTGTTTCAGATAATGCTGGATAAATTGGAAAAAAACATAGACTTCAGATTGCCAAAACATATTTTTGATTTAAAAATAAACTTCAAATAAATGAATAAAACATTAATGCATACATAACATAATATTAAATATTTAACAATATATATATATATATATATATATATATATATATATATATATAAGTGTATGTGTGTTTATGTGTGTGTGTTTGTGTGAATTAATTTCTAGTTGCTTTTCTAAACCACTAATATTGAATTTTATTTCGCAATGTTATCAAAAAAATAACGGAAAAGCACAAACATACACATTAATAAAGAGAAATGTCTAAAAAACTTTGTGAGACAGAATTGTGACGCCAAATAGCCAAAAATGGTGCCAACAATTAAAATGAAACTTCGTCTTCGTTTTTTGGAGATACGAATTAAAATCTGACGACTGCAGTGTGTTTTTTTTGTAAGATATCCACTGCCTGAGTTGCCCACAATTAACCATCAGAAACCAACTCATCGAAATAAGTCATCCGGATATCAAAGAATCGATGTAAAATAGTTGGGTACAGTGGCAGATCTTTGAGTTTGTCGGGAATCCATAGCCCTCGCCGTCCAATTTGCCTAGATCCAGCAGTGGTTGGGCATCATCCGGTTTTACTTAACTCCCCCGTTTTTGTAGTTCTAGATGAAAGGGTGAACTCCAAAAGAAAAAAAATTAAATGCACGTACACGCATAAACTTGCATACTTTAATAAAATTCTTTCAAAATAATTAATGGGCACTTGAAATGCTGAAGTGATGAAAGGTTAAATTTTCCCCTCTTGTCGGTAAGATGCATCTAATTATTATTACTATTATTATTTTATCACGTCAATGATTTTTTTATTAATAATTTATTATGTTATTAAGTTGTTGAATGGTTAATAATTCTTTTAAAGTTAAATTTTTACCAAAAAAACCCACTTTTAAAAATTCCTAATAAAATATTCCATGCTCGTGTTATATCTCAACGGGTTGTCAAGTTATTTAAATCATTGAAATTATTTCAATTCATTTCATATTTCCACTATTTCTCTATATTTATTTGAATAACTTGAGCTATTTGTTTTAACTTTTGTAGTTATAGTGTCCGTTCTAGACAACGTTGACTGGGGGAATTTGAAATTTGACGGCGGTTCAAAAACCGCCAAATTTTTGCTAGTGGGTCCCGTAGTTATAACACGAGTTAATATCATGATTTATGATTTTCTCGTAATGAATTAGCACACAAACATCACTGATACGCAACCCACGCATTCGAGTCGTACTGATTATTTTACTCATCATATGCAAAACAATCCTAAAAAACAATATGCCAGACATTCCTTTGCATTCCTCTCTTCATAAATTTGAGCACGGATGCAACACACACACACGAATATATATATATATATATATATACACATATATATATATATACATATATATATATATACATGTACTTGATTCTTTATTAGATCATTCGTCAAGAGTCCAACTAGTTTTTAGGATACCTTATCAAGTAATAATTCCTCGGAAATACAAATATTCGGTGAGATAATTTTGTGTGTCTCTCTCTTTGTGTGAATCTCTTTGTGTGTAGGCGAGTTCTCAAAACCACAACATTTTAATGAGTGGTGATCAAGTTCGAAAACAAGCAAAATCTATCTATTTTAAAATGAGAATGAATATTTTGCATGCAAGTTTGTTCAGTGTTACTTTCTGGTCGTGCTGTTGTGGTCCTTTCTACGATATTTCAATTCTCTATAATGAAGTGGCAAAGCTTATAAATATGCGGGCTCTGACGAGAGGGGGTAGAGTGTGTCATTTAGCATAGGCCGGCCTCTGAGGTCCATGGGCTTCTCTTATAAATTGATGACCTTTTTTAGAACTAGCTCATACATGCTCTGTACCTATGTGGATTAATATTATTGGAAAGCATTAACTTCTTATTAATAACGTTTTATTGTTTAATTATTATTATATTAGAAATTATATTAAATAAATAGCGATTAATTCAATTTTTAAAATTTTAAAACTTTTTAATGTCAGATTTTCATTGTGGCAAAAAAATTTTTTAATTTGAATGATCTCTTCTCTGAAGAGTGCCGGCGTATTTTATTATATTTGCATATTCTAATTTTATGGTAACGGTAAGTTGTTCGTTCGTTATTCAAGTGTGCAGTCTACACTACTGTAGACTGTACAATTTTCTGATGAAATCTCGCTGCTGAAATCAGCTTTAGTTATATTAAATAAGTGAACATTTATATAAACTAAAAAATAAAAAAATAAAACATTATACTTATTAGGTGAAAATAAACTAACATTTCAGTATTCATTAATATGATTAATCAAATCTGCATGGTCTAATCAAAATGAGAGCAAAAATTAAATTTTAAAAATGTCTTTAATAAGGAGTTTGTTGATTAATAATAAAATGAATGTTTTTTAAGCGATGACGCTCTGGGTCACCATCGACCCGTGTGTCTGTCAAATATGTTAGGCAATTAAGTGTTAAATGTTTTGCAATCCTTGTAGTATTTTTAAATGAAGTTTGTCGGAGAGATTTTGAACATTGCCTCCACGTGTTAGATGTACGTTGTCATCCTCACCACTACAGCAGAAACTAAAAATTGTATAAAAAATTTTTAAAATGTTATCGTTATATTCTTGATAAAGAGTTTATTTCAGTGCTATTATATAAAATTAAACAATTTGTTATAATGAAAACTTATGAAAATAAAAAAATTTCAAGTGTCACATGTTGTTATGTTCTTACTAGAAGCAGTGCAGGCTTAAACACCACAGCGCTGCTTAATCTCTGAAAAAAAAATATTTTCAATAATAATTTAAAAATTATTTGAAAATTTTAATTTAATTGCGATAGTCTATTTAAATTTGTAATGATGGCTATAAAATGAAATGATGAAATTAGTTGCAATGAAGCTTTACGTTATAGTGATGAGATGAAGAATATTACATGACAGATGACGATAAAACTGCTCAGCGCTTACGAACACGAATGTAGCGATACTTATAATGGGCTTTAAAATTACATAAAATAGAAAACTCTTTAAATTAAAAATTCACGTATGGACTCAATTCCATTGTTGTCACAGCATACTGTCAAGTGAAATGATCATCTGTGGTAGCCTGGGGTTTTGAAGTTGCGATCGCTACCACTGGAGTTGTAGTTTTAGTTGTTATTTTTGTGGTCAAAGTTGCAATCGGTGGAGACTTAGTAGTTTTCATTGAAGCTGTGGTTAATTCGATTATTTTTACCGTATATTTGAATTGCCGCATTAACTCGTGTGGATGCTCTAATTTAATTTTTACACAACAAGACAAGCAAAATCGAACGAAGTGAATATATTTTTAAATCAACATCTAGTGTTAAAAAAACTTGTTAGACACATAAAATTAAGTCTTAACATTAAACAAATTTTGATCACTTGTTATAATGTTCATTATTTCATTACAATGGGTCAATTTTTAAGTTTTTTTGGCTACTGCTCTGCCGTCAATGTGTATACTTCAACAAAATATTATTTTTTACACAAACAAGTTTTAAAAATTTTAAGTTTGTAGTGACATAAATCAACATAAGAAAAAATTACAATGCTGAATAATATGAAAGTTATACAAATATAATCATTGATTATGAATATGTTTCTTAAATAAACATTTGGTTTTTTAGGAGTTTATAAGCATGAAAGGCGAGTCAAAACTCTCCAACTTAGTAATATGTTGGCAAGGTGGCAATGCCGTAACAAATAGCAACAGACAGCTGGAAGGTGATGAAGAAGTAACAAGTTACGAAGATCGTCTTCAAGATGGATTTCTTAAATTTTATAACAAAAATTAATTGTAATGCAAGTTTGAAATTTAAAATATTTTTTGAGAAAAATTCAACAAAATAAAAATGCGTATGTAAATAAAACACATAAATGAAGTTAATCTATATCATTCAAAGTTTACATTTTATCAAAAAAAATTAATGAAAATAAAGAAAACTTTGAAATAAAAATGACGAACCATGTCCGCTTTCTGTCTGCCAAATTTTCTCATCTCCATCTCTTGCTCTTCACTCAGCTTCAATTCTAAAAATTATTTTCCAACATAACTCAGCTACACACAGTTTTAACAAATAATATCAAAAGTTTCGAAAAATTAATTAATTAAAAATTACTTATTTAAACTAAAAATTAAATCGTAGATTTTATTCTAAAATGGTATTCAAAGAATGAAATTGAAAATGAAGACATACGTGGAGCTGAGTTGAGAAATCTCTCATGGGCACTGAGAATGATGTCCATAAGGACGTAGAAGCAGATGACAGCGATGCACGACCAAATAGGCCAGTCTCCAATAAAGTTCGAGTACAAGTCAGTGAAGAAGGACAACAAGATCATTGCCGCTGAAAAAATGAAAAGTTAAATTAAATTACATTTTCACTTATTGGATACCAAAAATATAAATGGCAATCTTGGCGAACATCTATCTATGGGTGTTTTAGCTCGAATTTTTGGGATTCAGATTCAGGTTCCTTCAAACTAACGGCCGGGTCCGGACGATACAAAATGGGATTGGAAAATATTGAGGTGGTCATGTCATGGTTGAATGTAGTGAGTGATTAAAAACATTCCTAAATTTTAGATTTAGTAAAACTATCTAATTTTTAATAGACGAAATGTTTTGTTATTAAAAAATAAATTGATTCTATCAGCCTCTACAAGAACGTACCAGCCAACATCAATGAAAAGTCTCCAGTCAAATAGTGGAAGGTCTCATAAAGCCACCACCAGCTCGCATGCTCTTTTCTTTTCATTCCCGCCAAAAATTCCTTCAACAACAAAATGTGAGTAATTTTTTAAAATACCTATATCATTTCCATGAAAAATAAACCGTCCAATAATTTTGAATACTTTTAAAAATGATTATTGTTAAAAAAAATTAAGCATTCATTAACAAATGACTAACATGAATGAACAAGAAAATGACCAAAGCAATGAACATGGCACTGTAAGCCACAGTGTAACACGAGAAATAGGTCTGTACGATGTCAGTTGGTCATTTGGGGAATTTAGAAATAATGGATTAGTAGTCAATGATTGTAAACGTTTAGGAAATAATTTAAAATACAACATTAGTTAATAATTGTCATCCTTATTTTTAAATTTTGGTAAAAAATTTGTTTTACTAACCCAAAAATTAAATGAATAGCTGCGAAAGTTTTGGTAGATGAAGATGAGGAATGAGATGAGTGTGAGGAAGAGGCAGGCGAGCAACAACCCGTAATAGACCTAAAACATTTTATTGAGTGTTAATTTTAAAAAATATAACTTAATAAAAAACCTAAAATAAAATCGCATAATCTTTAGCGTTGATCAATAAAGCTCTGTGAAAATCATCAAAAAAAGAAGAAGCGAAAAATTGTAATTAAGTCTAATATTAACAATTATTCAAATGAAAATCAGTATAATTACATAATGATACTTAGGATATAAAAAAAAACTTAGAAACTCACAAAGATCCAGCAAGGTTTGCCACAAATTTGTGCACCTGGCCACACCGATTTGCAGTATCTGTTAACGAGGACAGAGGTGCTGGCGAAAACGAACCACGCAAGAACCAACAGGATACCTAACATTCAATTTTTTTCATTCATGCTTCAGTTTGTCAGCGTTCAATAGATTTGAATATTTTGAGACATTTTAGAATTTTAGAGGTATATTGACGCAGCAGATTATGAAATGCTTACATCGTAGATTCAAGTTACTTTATAAATTTTTCTAAATTAATTTGCCAAAATTTGAGAATGTTTCTTCGATAGTTAATAGAATGCAATGAGATTGAGTAAAATTGCAAAAAAATATTACAAACAGATTGAACAATAGAGACAAACACACATTATCGTGAATACAATAATCAGTATAAGAACTAATTAAACAACCCAAGGAACAAACACAAAAACAGACCATGAGCCTTCATCATTCTACTTCTCTTCTCGTCAAACACTGGCGAAACAGTGGTAGGTTCAACCATATCATCTACAGCAGAATCATCGAGGGAGTCGGCTCGTTTCTTGAAAGGTCTGTTCATTGAATAATCAAACTGGCAGTAGAGTCTGTTGCCCATGAAACTATCGTATATGTAATTTGCATCCATGCACTGTGGTGGCACCTGCACGGTGGAAAAGTTTGGAAAAGTGATTTGGTGTCATTGTGATGGGGAAGGTCTTGAATTTTGTTTTTTGTTCTAATGCCCTTTCGAATGAAGAAAATTTATTAAATTTTATTATCGTTATTTTGAATGAGGATTCTTGAGTGTAACCGATTCGAAATTGCGTCAATTGTAAAAATTCAACACATTTTAAAAACGGTTCGTAGCAATGTGTTAATCAGATAATATTGACGGTGTCCAAATTTACGCATTTTGAAGAAAAAGTAGCGGTAATTTAAAGGAAAATTACAAGTTAATGAGTGATTATTACCCACAAAGTAACAAAAAAGCGCATTACAAAAAAACTTTGAATTAAAATTTTTGATTAAACATCTCAACTTATTTGACTGCTTTTGATGGTTTAACCGCGCCCCGAAACATTTATGCAGTTAGTATGTTAGAACCAGTTTCAAATATTAAAGAACGTAACCTTTTTGACTGGAGAGCTAATTAAATATTAAACGGCTGTCATGTAAAATGAAGAGCTAAATGGGATTCCATCGCCCTAGCTACCTCGTCAATCAATCTAATCTAGTTAATTTTCCAACGCACATGTTGCTTTTTGTATCATTTGAAATCTTTTTATAAAAATGTTTTGGACAAAATACGCATAGCTAAAAGTGTGACAACAAAATTTCTTACTTAATATAAACACGTAAATAAATTAACTATTTTTTTTATAAAAAAAAAAATTATCGAAATTGAGAAACTCTTACAGGCTCGTCACTGGCAAGAGAGATTTGAACCTTCAACCTGGCGTTGTAGCATATCTGTTTGGGCTGCAAGCAATGCAAAAAAATATAATATGCGTGTGGCAGAATAATGTTGTTTTTCAATTAAAAAACTTTTTTAAATTATTTAATAACTCACGTTCGTTTGCAAATATTCATTAAATGTAATTTCAATTTAAAAAAACTAATTAATAATCAAGTAGTCTTATAAACCAAATTCTGCGTTATAAATGCTGTCTCGGTAACACAATTTTTCCATCAACTTATCAACTATGTAGCATTTTAATCAAAATTGATCTGCATCATTTTTTTTTCCAAAAAATCGATTGGAAGCAATAATTGTTTTAAATAAGAAAGGTTAAAATATTTTCTTATCAACAAAGGATTGAAAAATGTCATGAATAGCCGAGCACAAACAACCAACCGGAGTGTTGTACCAGGTGGTCGTGTATCGCCTGGTGGTCATGGTGGTGGTTGTGTAGGGCATGTATCTTGTAGTAGTTGTCAGTGTCTGCGTCTGTCTCGTGGTTGTTGGGTTCACTGGTGGGTTGCTATTTGCATACTTACGGTCCGTTCTCACTCTCCAAAATGTTGAATAGGATTGAACAACAGTTGCTCTGTAGATTTTGTCAAGTTTAAAAATAATATCTATTCAATTTAATTTGCTACTCTTATGTTTATTGTTTTTTATTTGAATCATAATTATTTGGAAATAATATTTACTAAAAAATCAATGTTTAACATTTATTTTTGAATGCCTTTCATTTAAATACAAAATAGTTTCTAAGGTTACATGAAATAAAAATATCCAGTGTATCCATTAGGATTCCAAGTCAATGTGCGAGTATACGTCTTCGTTTTACTAGAGTGTGTAGCTGCTGTTTTCTGTTTTTATAAATATGTATGGCTATTGTTACAAAACTTTTTTTTAATTTTCTTTTAGTTTACATTTACACCAGTTTATGTAATTACGTGTAATTCGTGTAAATCACTATAGCCGCTATCATAAAGTTGAGAAATTGTAGGCATAAAAATCTAACACTGCAAATAAGTTGGGTGTTACTCGGGAGTGTATCTTCGAAACGGCCCACTATGACGTTGCCGTCCGTGAATGCGGAGATTATGAAACCTTCGTAAGTTCTATTTGAACCAGGACTGCCAATTGTAACTGCGCGTTTTGTGAAAAGCGTTAAAATTAAGAATTTGATTGTTACAATGAAGCAGCTATAACTTATTTTTTAAAAATATTTTCATAATTAAAAATTTATAGCTAAAAAAATTCATAAAAGTTAAAAAATTTATAAACAAGTTTAAACGGTTTTTGAAATAATTTTCAATCATCAGTAGTAATTTTTACAACCAGTGTATGAGTAAGGATCGTTAGAAGTTGCAGTGATTGAAAATGGAGATAGGCTGTCCTGAAATTCTGCATTATGGTTAGGTTTCTGACTGCTGCAAGTATCTGGAGGGGCTCCAGTGGGGTAGGCCAGCAGATGGGATGCCAACTGCACCAACACAAACACTATGCTTAACTTTATCACTTCCATAATTTTTTAATTGGAAGATTGAAATCTTCTTTTTGCAACCGTTCAATCTTCTTCTCTGGTTTATAAATTCTGTTCAAACCAACTGATGATAAAGGTTAAATTTTATTCGTTTTAAATGCTCAGAGAATGAGAGCTTAGCTGCCGTGAAGTAACGTTTTAGTAGCTATTGTTCTGGTGTTTCAGTATGTCCTGCAGTTTGAAGCACGATTGAGCTCAACAATGCTTCAAGACGAAGCTGTTTGCTCCATATTGAACAATGTGTTAATTCAAGTTTTAAAATTGATTGTAGCAAAGTATAGCAAGTTATTAATGTCGTGTTGCCTGTGTAACTTCACCATACATTATAAAAATAATTGCTACTTGGTCTTGTGCTGTTTGTGTTGTGTTAATCATATTCAGTCATCCATACTTACGTGCGTGATTCATTGACAATCCATGCATAACATTGCTGTGTGTCGTTTTTGTAGCTGTTATGTTATGGGAGCAGCAGTTGTAGTTGCTGTTGTAGCAGCAGTTGTAGTTGCTATTGTATGTGTGTTTTCGTAACAGTAATTTTTACATCGTTAAAAAATTTCTGTCTATTAATTTTTTTCTTAAAAAATCACTTTGATTGCAATGGTGATGCAATTTACTTATTTAGTCTAAATTCAAATTATTTAAAAAGATCATAATAATATTATAACACGTTGAAAACCTCTAGTGTAAAAAATTAAATCGACTTTAGCTCAACATACGAACTGTTTAATGATTGGAAAACATTGCATCACCATAAATTATAGAAAGCATACAAATTGCATACAAATATATATCAAACAATTTGATGGGACTGCGTAGAAGAAAGTGCAACTTTGCAGCAAATGGTTATAGAATATAGACACATGCAAGGCAGCGAACTAAGCCTTGCACGTCCAAATTTAACAAAAATATCATTAGTCGTGATCAGGTGTTTCTCATTTAAGAAACTGCTCGATGAATACTCAACTCATTATAAACTCTGATGACAAATTTTTTGGACTGACATAATTATAATTATCTAAAAATAAAATGACATCACACTTTTAAAACGAACAATATTTCTTGGACAAAGAATAATATGGTATTGGTAAGTGACGAAATAAACATTTAATTTCACTCTTTAGCTAAAATGTATTTTTAAAAATTTTTGCGAACGAATATTCAACCAAATATTTCAACAAATTAATAAGTGTAACAAAACTATTATACTAAAAACAGTAATTAATTTTTATGTATGTAAATCAACTACAACTGCTGCTGCCATAATCATCGCCTTCTTCTATATCATTCCACTAGTTTTGTTAAGTATTTATATAAATAATCATGTGATATATATAATCATATAATATAAATAATCATATGTATTTAGACAAATAACGTTTATAATTATATTTATTTATACTTATACACATCCAGCAACTTTCAACCCACATACTCTATAATATTTAATATTTTTATATAGGTACAACTATAGTACGAGTTATGATTTAGTACATTTTTGGATACATGAAAATGTTTTTCATGTTATTTGATAATAGTAGAGTAATTAATATTTTGTGTAGCATCAAAGAGGATATGGAAAGCTGGAATAAAGCTGGAATTCACTGGCATACAACTGATTGTAGCAAACAAACAAACAAACATACAGACAGACAAACAAACAATCACACAAACAAACATACAAACGAATGAACCTATGTGTATAATATAGCATATGTATGCAGTGCTTTCTTCAGTTTATTTAGGAGGAATTTTGTTGAAGTTACACGGGCATTATTAGAATAATACAAATGTTTGCATTTGCATCTGAATAATTTCAAATCCATCTTCACGTATGGTACCTACCTAATCATTTGCCTTAGTTTGGTTCTAAAATTTACACATGTATATGTATACAATCAACCAAAAATTGAACATGACAAGCAAAAAAATGTCATTTAAGTAGTGTTTTATAAATACAGTTATTTTAAAAAAAGTGTCCATCATTTAGAAATGTAGGTGACCTTGCCTTATCAAGATTTTTTCCACTAAATTAAGGTGTGTAAAAATCTGCAGAAATTTAACAATTTTTTCTATAAATAATAATGATGAAGCAAGCCATATGTTATATACACCCGCATGCAATCTTGACTAACAGCACATCCTTTAAAACACTTTGAAAATTTCTCGGGTATTTTATGGCTCGGTTTGGTTCTGTATGTATGTATCTGTAAACTTATCTTGTTGATTAATTTCAGTACAGTTTACATGCATAGAGGTTATTTTCAATTTCTTAAACCTTTAAAGTTAACTTTTAAACTTCTAAAACTTACACCAATTCTCAACTTTACGACAAAAAAGACATTTGACATTTAGAAAGATCGAACATGACACATTTCTGAAAAAAGTCTAATTTTTGCACGGTAATTTACTAAATTGAAAATTCTTTTACAAAAATTGCAGGCATGCTGGTTAACATAAACAACGTTCATACATACACTCACGTATACTTACATACATACATACACACATATATACATACATACATACATACATACATACATACATACATACATACATACATACATACATACATACATACATACATACATACATGCATACATACATACATACATTCATACATACATACATACATACATACATTTATACATACATACATATATATATAAACAAACATACATACATGCAAACATACATACAAAACTCATCAACATTAACGTTGCTGGAGTGTTTTCTTGATGTGCATGATGAAGATATGTTGGGATCGTGTTATGCATGCATGTTGTTCAGAGTTAAATATTTTCTTATTCAAATGTGTTATTATACATGTTTGTGTTTGTGTGTATATATGTGTGCGTGTGTGTGAGTGCGCGTGATTTTTTGAGTGTTGAATTTTTTTGTATATACTAATTAGTATGCTGTATGTGTGTGTGTAGGTTAATTTTTTTCTTTCAGTTGGATTTGTATGCTTTGTTGTAGGCACTTGCTGATGAAGATTCGTTTGTTCACATGTACACAACTGTACAACAAATGCCGTTTTTAATGTAAGTTGTGTACATATGTACAACATATGTACAAGTTAAAAATAGTTCACAAAGATGAAGTTATTGTACGTTCAATGTATTGTCTTAAAAATAACTCTTGGTATGTATACACGGTTGCATACGTTCATTCAAACATTGCTCAAAATATGCTTGTAATAATTTGTATGCCAAGTTAAATTGCTTGCTTCATATCTGCACCATAATACTGTTTACATGTTCATTCGTTCATGCATTCTCAAGCACTTGTATACATTCATCCATACGTAAAATTAAACAAAAATTATACGTACAATTTATTACCCATTTTTTCGTCTGATTATGCAAACCTGTATCCATTTAATCATATTTTTATTAATACAAATATTCGTTCCCTCATTCATCCATTCAATCATACGAGCATATTTTCATTCATCCGTTCATCCACCTACTCATCCATTCATCCATCAATCAATCTATCCATCCATCAATTCATCCATCCATCAATTCATTCATTCACCCTAGCATCCAACCAGCCAATGGAATATTTCAATTTTTTCTTAGCTCTAAACTCGCACGCAACGGCGTAACTAGATTAGAATTCCATAACATACACAGACTCCGAAACTGCATGTCATCTATATAATATCTATATATCTATATAATATATTCTCATGCACATATACAACTATATATACATATATATATATGAATATATATATATATATACATATATATATGTGTGTGTGTGTGTAATTTTGCGTATTATATATATATATATATATATATATAATATATTAGAAAAAATGATTACTGAAACAATATAAATATTTTATGTATATATATATATATATATATATATATATATATATGTCATGTCATATATATATATATATATATATATGTCATGTCATATATATATATATATATATATATATATATATATGTCATGTCATCTATATACATACACACATCATACATACACACACACACACACACACATATATATATATATATATATATATATATGTGTGTGTGTGTATTATATGTCAATATAATAAATGTATTTAATTATAGACATGACTTAAACTGACAAACTATAAATATTTTTATTATCATTTTACTTGTAATTATGGACATTAAAATTTATTAAAAAATATTAAAGAATTTACCAAACTATTATTATTATTATTTTGAAGGGCATAGTTTGAAAAAAGCAAAAAATAGATGGATATGTATATCCATGTATATCCAAATTATATACATGTACTTGAATATTATATAGGAAAGTGTGTGCAACGTAATAGGTCTATTTATTAAAAGATCCCATCAGCTTGCGTTCCAGAGAGCAGTAGAGAGAGATTGATGTTGTTGTTGTTGTAGTAGCTGAAGTTCAGTTGGAGGTACATCCTGCCTTTCTTCTTTTTCCTTTTTTTTCATTCAGTCACTCTCCGACGATTCGTTTGGTTTGCCTTTTTTCATATTTCAGAAAATTTTTCTGAATCCCAAAAGTTGAAAATTTTTTGAAAATTCAAGTTAATTTTTTTTATAAAGAAAAATCGTTAAGTTTTGTTATCTGAATTCATTCGAATTAATATTTCATCTGACGGTTTTCGGATTATTTCATATTTTTATATCAGAATGTTAAAATTCCTCTAATTTTTTTTTTATTTAATTGATTTGATCACTTGTTGTAAATTTAACTTGACCAAACCATTGCAAATATTTTCAGCTATTCTTTTTTGTCTGAACTTGTCGGAGAGCCAAAAAACTGAAGACCATGGTGCTAAGAGGAAGAATGGTTTGTTAGAATCTTTACATTTAGTTTGTTTAATCTTTGAAGATATATAATAGAATTTTTTCAAAATTCTGTTGCAATTTATGATATTTAAAAAAAAAACTTTTCACTAGCAGTCGTTTGTTTCCGGATATCATACGAGCAGAGCAGCTTCTGTTCCAGTCGGTTAGTTATTGTGTTGTTGGGGTATATTTTTCAGGACTATATTAAATTAAGCAACTGTTTTATATTGGGTTTGCTGTTTTGCACAAATATTTGCGTTCTATGGTTGTATAAAATTTATTGTATCTTCATATTATTACATCGGTACTTTCCCTTAATTTGTTCGATGGTTTTGTTGTTGTTTTTAAGTTTGTTGGACAGTTTATTAGATTTAGCTTTTCACATGAAATTTAGTATGATAACGCGTTGAAATGTTATTAACGCAACTTGCCTGCCACCGATCAGCTCAGTACGGAGGTGACTCGATAGATGTTGTCGTGCAGCCGGTTGTGCGCTCAAAGATGTTCAGCTTCGCTCCCAGGTCCTACTTGGATGCTGACCTCTACGCCAAGTCCAATATTCAGGACCAGCAGTTTCTAAGGGATGTCACCAGCAGAATGGTTCGTGTGAATGATATTTTTTTAGTTTTTCATAGTAAATGTTGTAATCATACTATTTTTAGATTGGTTTGAATGTTAAACTACAACGTGCTTTTGCTGAAAATATTTAAATGAAATCATTTTATTGACATGTTTTGTTGATTTCAGCCGACGGTGGGCTTGGAAACCAGACTGCCTCCAGCTCCAATAATTGTGGATCCAATGGTTTCCAGGGTGGGATACGTCTCAAGAGCATCCATCCCTCCCTCAGGAGCAACCATGGTTCACCAGGAGCACATTCACCATCACCATCGTGCACCATCCTACCATAGATCCCCGTTGGTGCATAGGCGTAGTGATGAGATGGATGCAGAGGTGCAGGCTTTCCTGGATTCTACCCCTCAGAGCAGGTTAGTCTCTCAACTATTGAAAATTGCATAAATATATTGAAATTATTGTTATAATATATCATGGTTTGTAAAAAACTAAATTACAGTTAAATACAAATTTACTTATTTATTATTACCTATAGGTACTCTTCCTACTTGCGTTCAAGAAGTTCCCCCCCATCATCCAGCTACCACCAGCAGCACTATCATCGCTACCAACCAACTTTTCACCCACCACCACCCACCTTCCCACCTTCATACTCCGTCCAACACCAGTACCGCCCCTCAACAATTGGATCGTCTGGATGGACTGCTTATGGAAGCTATTCTTCTGTAATTTAACCTCAAACTAATTTTAATTTAAAAAAAATTTTAATTTAAAATGAACATCGTTAACATTTATTTAATTCTCAATTTTAGTATATTTTAAATTATTTTATAAAATATGAACTGTAAAAACCTGTAGGATATCCCCTTGAGCCATTCAACATACGCCCCCTCGTACCACTTGTCGACACAGGTCAGTCACCCCTCTACCAACCAATCAACCATTTTCGCCTCTAACGTTTACAGGCCTTTGACTAATTATGTTAGTTGTCGAGGCGGTTTTAGTCTAGGTAGGTAGATAGATGGCTGGTTTTGTAGAGAGGATTAGTCGATAACAATATGTCGGTTGAATAATTTACTTTTAAAATTTTAATTTCAAACTTAGTTTGAGGAGTGAAAATATTTTTGGCTCACAAAAAGTTGTTTTATACAAATTTATTTCTATATAAAAATATAATCATGATTTAAAGAGCACGTTAACAATTTTAATTTAAAAATGTCAGACTCCAAGCATTCAAGTGACGACGTCGAGTCTTCAAAGCGGCCGACCATTTTCATACGTGTCACCGGTCAGCCACCACTACTCCTCTTCAAGTGCTCTTCAGTCGGTTCCTATTTCGATTGATTTGGCCAAAGCCAACAGACCAGCTGTGAGATTCACTAACTTTTACTTTATTGTTATAAATTGACAAAAAAACAAAAAAACAATGATTTTCCATGTATTAAATAATGAGTTGTGTATATTTTTCAATGAATTGGTGCAACTACGTACGTGGCAACAGCCGCTGCTCAGCTCGTACTCCGGCAGTAGTTACGTGTCATCAGGTCTGCCGCCCTCCTCATCTTCCTCTTCAGCATCAACCTACACGCCTAGATCTCGTTATGACGCAAGATCCTACGATCTGCCCAAGTCTTCATCGGCCTCAAGAGCGAGATCATCCTCCATAGATGCTCCTTCCCATCCCAGAGCGGTTAGAAAATATATATTTATAAATTTTGTGGAACTTTGTAAGCCGGTGCTACTTTACTTACATATTTTTATTCTTAATGATTAGTTACTTGTCAAATGATTCATTTATAAAGTTTTTAATATTTAATTTCTGAACTCGACAGAACTACAGAGATGTGAAGGCTCCCATGTCAGACACACGTCGCAAAGTCAGAGATCTCATATGCAAAACTCGTAAGGATCCCGGCTACTATGAATAAAAGAATTGTAATTAGGTTAAGCCCGATAAGGCAGATGCGCTGTTATTATTTCACCACTAGTCTTCCGTTTTTTCCTCGACAGTAATTACTAGCTCATTTGAACAATGAGTCTATAATAGCTTATAAAAAAATTTTAGTAAAAGATTTTCCCAAAATCTGCAGAAATAAATTTGCTAAGTCACTTCTCATTTCTTTATTTATTTATTAAATCGGTCATTTTCCGATCTATTTCAATTTAATAAATTTAACTTTGCTGGCTCATAAACACGCTCAATCAATCAAGCTGAATCGTCCTATTAAACGACGCACTTTGCAATCAAGTGAATAAATAACATTCATTCATTCAAGATGAATTGAAAACAATAAATTAATGATTGATGTTAACTTCTTATTATATTTTGTTAGAATTTAATTCATGAATGACGGATTGAAACCACTAATAAATTTATATCCTTTGTCTTCAAATATTTAATTTTTAATATTTTGTCATATACGTACAGTAAAATTGATTTTATTAGACGTATGATTCTAATTCAGTATTTCATATCAGTAGATTATTTTAATAATTTTATTAGCACGTTAACCGATTAAACTTTTTTCTAGTTTTATTATTTTATATTTTCAGGCCATCTCTGATTGACAACCACTACTAACAACTAACATTAAAAAACTCCACTGAGTGCCTAATAAATATTTACATATTCTTTTTTATTTAATCATTCGGTAGAGTTCATCTTTTACAGTTGGATAATGATTTTCAATTTATTTTTGAATAAAAAACAGATTATAAAAGAATGTATAAGTTATTTATAAGAAGCATTGTTTCGAATAGGATGTAATTTGTTTCTATCATATGGTATTCATTTGCGAATACCATATGATAAGTAAGAAATCTGAATTTATAGATGAGATTAAAGGCAATCAGTTTTGTAATTTATCATTAGACTTTTTTTTATCATTTTCATATCATATTTTCTCCTTTAAAGCAGATGTTTGAGAGTACATTTATTATTTAAACATAGTTCGCATACGAACCTAGTTCTCACAGATTCGATGTTTTTGTGTTCTGCTTTATATTTTGACTTTGTTGATCACATTTACTTCATTCAATAAAGCATATATCAATCGAAGCTCCGCATCACTTTCTTGTTTAAACTTACATGAGATATAAATTTTTAGTTAATCAGTTTTAGAATAAAATTATACAAAATATATTTAGAAGTAAAAACCTTTTACCAACATTTGCAATAATTTTATAAAGGTTGGAAAAGTAGTTTAAACGTTCTAAATGACACAGCGTCCACTGAATAAAATATCTCACGATGGGGTAAAAAAAATTTTCAGTTTCTTCAGTCAAGATTTAGAATTAATTAACTGTTGTGTTGTTTGAAATAATAAATAATTGATTAATTAATTAATTAATATTCATATACTTGCATATACGTCAATATATATAAATGCACCAGTACCACTAATGAGACTTAAAATTAAAAATCGTATGTCAAGTCAGTGAAATAAAATATACACTAACGTGTTTATTCGTTGATAAGAGCAAATGGCAACAACAGCAAAAGTAATAAAATTAGTTAATAGGAGAATAATAATATGAATTAAAAGAACAACAATAACAATAACAGCAACAACAACAGCAGCAACACGAATGCTAACTTCAATATGACAGTAAGTAAGTAGGTAGTAGTGCGAGACGCATATAACTTGTGGTTGCCCGTATAGTCAGTTGTCACAACTGCTCACTTATACTACACACACACACACACACACACACACACACATATGTACACACTACACACATATCTACACATATAATCATGTACACAAGCATTTTATATAAACATATACATATATGGTACATACATATATACAAGTAAATATATGTATGTATATATATATATATATATATATATATATGATGAGTATAAGAGTGTATATACAAATAACAACAGCATGTAATTCAGGTGTACGTACGTGTGTTATAGGTCAGTTTTTTGATATGATTCCTATGCTGTTACAGACGGATGAGTTAAATTTGTGAACTCGGTTTTTTTTTAAAAATTATGTTACTTTTAATTTTAACAATTAATATTTTAATTAGTTATTTTTTTAAACAATATAATTAATTAATTAATGGTCTTAGGTAGCAATGTTAGTAGTTAATGACAATGTTAAATTCTTAAAAAATTACTGTAAATTGTAAGATGTGTAAAGTATTCATTTTAACAAGTGCAACAGATATCTGATATATCGTATCTACTCTAAAGAAGCAACACAACACCGTCAACAACAACATTGATACACATCTTCAACAAAGATATCAATGGATACACAATTCAGATTGTCGATATTATCAATGTTGTTGTTGTTGTTGTTGATATTACTGTTTCAAACAGGATGCAATCAAGTTGAAGCCAGTGACAATTCGTTCGTAAACAAGAAAGGTTTGCTCATGAATTGCGTAATAATTAACTGTCCATTTTACAAATGAATTAATTTGTTCAAATCAGATCAATATCTTTAATAATTTACAGTCAATTAAATAATCTTTGTAATAAAAATTTTTGGCCACGTGTATTGCAATTAAAATTTAAACTTGAATCAATATCTTGAGACGTTGAAAACAAGTAAAGGAGGACTTCATGTTTAAAACGCAACCTACGGCTCAATAATTGAAAATGAAATTGATTTCGGTACGATTTATTAATTTCTAATTGAAAGCACGTTTTACTGAATTGAATGAAGATTTTGAATTCTCTCTTTCTCTCCCTTCTCTCTCTCTCTCTCTCTCTCTCTCTCTCTCTCTCTCTCTCTCTCTCTCTCTTTCCAGCCCTTTTCTGTCTTTCCAATTCTCTTACTACCATATATAAACTTGACGTATGTGAATGAACGATGGTGATGAATGGATGAATGATGAGATGTGATGACACTTGCGATAATGAGTGTGATTAATATGTAAATGATTTAAGATTTATCGGTGAATGTGTTTAGGTTAATGGCGAGAGAATAATGATTATAAGGATGATGTTGACAATCGATTGCACATTGTTGCATCATCATCGTCATTATTGTTACTATCATCGTGGTTATTGTGCAATGTTAATACTCTGAAGATGACGACGACGACGACGATGATGATCTGCCCTGTGTTGTGTGTGTTGTTGATTTTTTGGAAAATAATTAAGACTAATAAATAATAATAAAAATAATAATCTCTGAATATTTTTAATATTTTGTGTTAATATGGTCAAAATTATTAACATAATTTATATTTAACAATAAAATTTTTCTTAATTTTTCATCTGTTTAGCTTGGCTAGGTTTCGTCAGGATGCCAAGTACATTTTATGCTGATGTAACATTTATAACAGAAATTATTATTATGTCTATTAATGTTTTGTTATTATTATTATTGTTATTATTTTTATTATTATTAGTGTTGTTGTCATCAATGTTGTTATGAATTTATTGCTGTTAATGTGTTTGTTGTTGATGTTCGTTTTTGTCCATCTAATTAACTGGCCAACGAGCCGTTGCACTTGTGTTTGTTGTTGCATTGTAGTTTAGTTGTATGTTTATTGATTTTGTTGTTGTTGTTGCTGTTGTTGTTGACATACTATATGTTATACATTTTGTATAAATCACTTGTTATACAATGTATTTCATATATCATAAACATTATGCTATAGACACGCTAATAAACACGTGTGTTGCTTCAATTCGACGCTATTAGTTGCGTAATTTTTCAGAGTAATGTAACAGTTAGAATCGGTAGATTTTTAGCGGGGACTACATATTTTAAAATTACATAACACATCAACATCAACGAAATTGACATTAGCATAACGCTAGCAACAGTAACATTAACGGGACAGAATAAAATTAACATTACACAGGCAACATTAACATAACATTAAAACTATCACACTAACATAATAAAGAATTAAATAGGTAAATAAGTTTAACAACAGAAACCAAATTAGCATAAAAAACAGATTGACACTTTAAAGACAATTACGTTAACATAATGATAACAATTCAACTTAATAAAAACAATATTAACAATACTACATTAACGTATTAACAACGCAAACGATAACATTGAAATAGAAAGATTTGGTGAAATTAGATTGGCAACTTTGAAAAAAACAACAATAGGATGTAGATCTGGTACAGACAAACAAATTAATTGTCTCGAAAGAAGATACATCATTGTTTTGGTGGAAGAAACACAAATTACACAAAATACAAGATACACAAAAGATACACAATTGTCTGTAAAAAAAAAAGATACACCATTTATTCCAGATTATTCCAACTGGAGAATACGGAGGTCATAGATACAAGTTTTCCAAGAAGACAAAAAATCCAGTCAAAAAAGTAAATAACCAGAATGAGTTGTGATAACACGGCTGAAATGAGTTGAGCGATGAGACGGTCTCAGCGTAATCAACCAACTGTTTTAAGATGAAGCTTTGATACTAAGACACTTATTTGGCAGTGGTTCTCAGACAGACTCACTAGTTTAATGAACCATTATGCTTTGTTATTTTATGTTACTAACATTGCAATATTAACATTAACATCTCTGCACAAGTACAGCAAGGCTATTGTTGGTGCACTGCGAATAATATTTCAAACAATCATGATAGTAACAAAAATAACAGAAGTATTAGCAACAACAACAACAATGACAACAACAATAACAACAACAACAACAATAATAATAATAATAATATCAGCGGTGTATGTTCTAACAATAGGCATTTTATTTTAATGACACATGATGATCGCTGTATGATATCAAGATGATGGTGGTGATGATAACGATGATGAGGATGGCAGTGATGATTGTGATGGTGTGGATGGCAGTGATTATAGTGATGATGACAATAATTTTAAAACTAACGATGATATAATGATTATGAAGATGATGATGATGATGAAGATAAATAGTCGTAATAATGATGATGGGCAGTTGAATGAACGTTGGATGAAAACATATCTGTCACAGGAGGGCTGTTTAAATGGTGGCTATGATGATGATGATTAGGAAGATGATGACAATTAATAGGATGGTGACGATGATGGTGATGATGACAACGATGATGATGATGATGACAACGATGATGATGACGATGATGATGAATAAGAATATCAAACCACACAAGTGAACTTTTCAACCACAAATATAATCAAATCATTAATAAGATTTAGACCTATTGGTGTTTTTACAAATTAAAAAACAAAATATTAACCTTTCTACACGCACGCGTTGCCAAAAATTTGCCTGAAATCTTAGAAAAAATTGGAGTATCGTCAACTTTAAACAGAAAAACAAACAAACATAGTTATTATCTCTAGCCAGAATAAACATTTTAAACTTTTGAACCTCAGCCACTCAAAATGTGAGTGCTTTGTTGTTATACATTGCGCTTGCCTGCGGTGATTCAATTTTTAAAATTACTGTCGCTATAGTATAGACAATGCTGGGATTTTTGCCATGTTAGCAATAATCAGATTTTAAAGTTACAAGTTGATAGATTGATTTTTAAATGTCATTAAAGTTCTTCATAGCAGTAATTCCAGAAACAATTGTAACAACAACGCCAGTCCTTTATTTCTTATTTTTCTTTAAATTTCTTAAGTTTTTTTCAATATGATTTTGTTGATATAAATATATATAGATTTTGTTTTAACTGTTTTTATTGTCGCAAATCTTTCATTCTCAAATAACTTCGAATCTTACATTCATTATATCAATCTTAAAATTGCTACCAAAACATGTTCCATTCTTTCTCTAAGGCCACCAAAAGTGAAAACACCATCACCATCATCATCATCTTCTTCTTCATCATCATTTTCTTTTTCTTCATCTTCATCGTTACCACAACCATGCACTGGATGAAGAAATGTCAAATAATTCAGCAATAATGTAACTGACTAACAACACAACTTATGTTTCTCGATGGACTCTATGTTGGTTGCAGATGTTATAAACCTACATACATACATACAAGCAATAAATATCTTAGTGAACTGCTATATTTCTGAATAGGTTAACTTCAATAAAAATGTCATTTGTTACATTAACAAAGTGACTGTTATCGTAAACAACATCAAAAATAACATTAGTGTTATCAAAGCAGCAGCAGAAATTACATTAACTTTACTAGAAAGAGCATCAACAATAGTAGAGCAAATAAATGACATCATAACAAATGGTTAGTGGTAGTAGTAGTATTAGTAGTAGTAGTATTAGTAGTAGTAGAAGTAGTAGTAGTAGTAGTAGTAGCGCACGCATTCATAGTTGCCAAAACTATGTTCATTAAATTGACTGACTAGCTAGTTGAATTAGCTTGTTGTTGAACTTCTTCTAACATGCTGTTGTTATGTTGTTGTTATGATGATGGTTATGATGATGGTTATGATGATAATGGTGATAATGGCGATGATGGTGATGATGATGACGATGGTGATGATGATGACGATGGTGATGATGGTGATGATACCGTTTGAAATAACTTAAATTAGATTCAAAGGTAGTTTGGTTCGATTGTTAATATTACACGAGCTATATAATTTTAAGTTCTACCTCACGATTATGAGCCTGAGTGGCGACGATGATAATGGTTATGACGATGATGATGCTGATGATGATGATGACAGTGATGATGATAGCGATGATGATGATGATGACGCCATGTTTGCGAATATTATGATAGCAATAATGAAAATTATGATAATAAATAATGTTTGAGTTGATGACAATGAGCATTCATACATAGCAACGATGATAAAGATATGATACATCATTAATGAGGATAACAACATTGGTTGTTATATCAGTGTGTGTGATGTGTGTGTATGTGTGAGTTGTGTGTATGTGTTTTGTGCGTGGCTAATAATTGCAGGAAATCATTCGAAACCAAATTCATTGTTTCGCATTTATCCAGTTATCCTACTCAGAGTACTACTAACTTAACGAGCAAATATTACATCCACATATTCATCCTTTTTATTATTTATCAATCTATCCATCCTTTCATTCATTCATTCATCCGTTCATATGAGCATCCATTCATTTATGTACAAATTGCATTTGAAAGTGAAAAAGTGAACCCAGCACACATGAACGATAAATAGTTGCACACACACACACACACACACAAACACACACACACACACAGATGTTAATGATTGATTATTCTTCTTGCAAATAGTAAATATTAATAGTATTAAATGAACGTAATTTATATTTTTCTATGTAGATTAATTTTTTGACCGCATTTTAGGTTTATCAATATTTTTCAGACTCGAATTATTTCAGATCATTTTTTGTAATTTAACTCAATAAACCAACAAGGAAATACGTATAAAAAGTGAGTTTCACAAAAATATCAAATGTACGGAATAACAGAATTGTCCTTCTCCTTAGTGGAATATTTATATCCTTACGATAAGATAGCAAGCACATAGTGTAACTTTTAAGTTTGTAAGTAGATTTCATTGAATTGATGAAGTTTGTGATATGTAATTTTTGTTTACTAGATGATGCAATGCATGGAAGGATATTGTTTTCTGTTAGCATGTTATTTAGCTGGTTTCCACAAAAATGTCTTGCGAATATGTTATGTACAAATACTGCTTGTTGTTGCACATTAAAGTTTGTTGAAAACAACAGTTGCTGACTGAATGCTGTTAAACTTTGCAATTAAAAATTTGAAACAATAAGCTTCATTGACATATTTTCAAACTGTTGCTATCGTTAATGGCAACATTATCGTTAATATCGAGACTAATATGCGTTATAAATCATGTGTATACAAAAGTGTGTACGTGTAAAGTGTACAAATTGCCTGTACTTATGCGCACATTTTTAGCGAAAGCACGCGCGCACACACACTCACACACACACATAAAATTTATAATGAAGATTTGCTTTGAGCAAACATTTGAGTGAACTCTGTAGTAAAGTTTGAAGGGCTTGATAGTCAGCAGCTTTTGTTTGCTTGTTCAGTTTGGTATTAATCGTCTCATAACTCTAGAAGTGGACACTTATTTGTTGTTCTGTGAGTCTCTGTATGTTTGTCTGTTTGTATGTGCACGCTTGTGTCTGCGTTTGTATTATGTATGCTTATGTGTATCTGCAAACGTTGATGCGTGTGTGTTTGTATGTGTGAGTGTTTGTGTGTTTCTGCGGGTGTGTTTTTGTGTGTGGTGTGTGGTGTGTGTTTGTACATTTTTAACTTGAAAGCGATTAAATGCAATTGATCCACCGCGTTTTTTTATGTTCATATTTGTGTTGCGTGAAAACCTCTAAAATATGTTTGCTTTCATGCGATTGTTTGTATATATATTTAGCATCAGTACTGTTGATGACTTATGATGTTGTACGAGTTGTGTATTTGCAGTTGTACTTATCAACATTATTCATAATGAAGACCACACAAGTTTTCTATTTTTACGGTTTGAACAATTTTAAAATACATAATAAAAAATTTATTTGTAGAACGACAATTCTCACGAAAACCGTTTAAAAGTTGAGGAAATTGTTTAATTGTTGTTTTAAAAATCCTCGTTGAAATTATGTTGAAATATAAATGACAGCCAAAAATAAAATTTGTTGGCAGTGTGCAAGGGTACCCAGAATGAAGCCATCACGAGGTACGAATCCCTGGCTCAGAGGTACACCAACTGCACCTACGTCGATGGCAACCTGGAACTCGTCTTCCTGACCAACTCCTCGTTGAATCTTTCCTTCCTATCTGGAGTCAGGGAGGTGACGGGCTACGTTCGGATATTTGGTACCTACCTCGACTACATCCCACTGGATAGTTTGAGGATCATTCGAGGAAGGAGTCAGTTTGTGGAGAAGGGTGTGGGTTACAGTCTGCACGTGGCTTACAATTTCGACCCAAAGGATCCGGTGAATGTTGGCTTGAAGGAGTTGAGATTGACGTCACTGCATGGTGAGACTTGAAGTTGAATTACGTTATAAAAATTAGTTGTCCTCTTTCTGCAAATTAACTGAGTTATTTGAGACAATTCCAACAAAAATGATTTGACATCCAATTTATCAGACAAACATCGTATACACACAACAATTCACTCACATACCCACACGCACGCACACACACACACACGCACATCTGCAGAAATCCAGTTGGGCAACGTGTACGTGCAGCACAACAACCGCATGTGCTACAGCGACCACGTCCGCTGGGACGACATCGTCACCGGCGCCAACAGCCTCGTGATCGTCAACGAAACTTTCGACCCGTTGTATGCGCACAGGCAATGTGAGTTTTGCTCATTTTTTTATAATTATATTCGTCATTTTGAAATTTTCAACATTCCATTTATTTAGTTTTTTTGACAATTTGCCATTTTTCAATTCTTCAAATGATTTACTTTTAATATTCGCAGATAATTACAAATGAGAGACTTTGCATTTCAGATGAATAGCGTACAACTGCACTCATTTTAAATAAATATGTTCAATGAAAAAATGGCACATGCACTTGAAAGTTCGTGCACATATTGCTCCAAGCTCGTTTTCAAGTGAAACTCATTAATATTCATCGGCAAGTCAACTACAACAACGGCAATAGTGGCGAACTTTACAATGACTTAAACAATTACAGTGGTAACAATAACAACTGCAATCTCATTCATTCACAGCAACAACAACAACAACAACAGTATTTAGTTCAGTGATCGAAATTGCTGTTTTATAACACTCTGTTGAAAGAATTTTATTTCTAAACGAACAGGTTCAGACTGTGATTTGTCGTGCGAGATCATGGGCAGGAGGTATTGCTGGGGCAACACTTCCAAGTTCTGCCAAAAACGTTCGTACTCTCTGACTAGAAACTGTTCACTGTTTATAACTAAAAATTTTCATAACTTATGTTGTATCTTGTATTATCGAAAGTTCAAATTATATCTGCCAAGTAAAATTATTCACACATTCATTTATTCATTCATTCATTTATTCATTCATTCATTCGTTCGTTCGTTTGTTCTTTCGTTAAGTCATTCATGCATTCATTCATTCATTCGACATACGCACAAATATATCTTTCTCAGTTTTCATCAATTCATCAATCCTTCCATCTCCTAGACATAAAATTGTATCATTTTTTCACAATTTATCTTCTCGCTCTCTCTTTCTTTCTCTCTTTATCTCTCTCTCTCTTTCTCTCTCTCTCTCTCTATCTCTTTCTTTATCTTTTACTATCGCACAATCTGCTCTTCTCCACTTCTTCATGTTCTCACTTCTGCTTCTCATATTTCGCTCATTTAAAAAAACTAGTTCTCCTGTTAATTTATATATTCGCCAAACGTCTACGTAGTAATTAATGTCGATAATAACAGTATGAACAATAATAATGTTATTAATATTATTATTATTGTAGTTATTATTATTATTATTGTTGTGACGTAATGACAAAGTCTACCCTGAGGAAATTCATATTGAATTAATTAACGTTCAACATATGCAACTTTTGTACATTCGATCAGTTTTTTTTATTATTATTTTCGTTTTTTACTCTTATTATTATTTTTATTATTATTATTATTATTGTCGTTGTTATTATTCCCATCGCGAGTACCACGTCAATGGCAAACTTTTAATTTTCAATATCAATGATTTTGATGATTTTTTTTATTATCTGTATTCTCATATTAAAGCTTAGTTATGTTATCATAACCCTTAAGTTACCTCTTATCATTAACAAATTTTATCTGTTGTTTAGTTTCACTTATATTTCAATAATGAAAAATTCATATAGATTATTATTATATTATTAATTATTATTTATTGTAATCAAATGCCTGGATATTTGAATCAGCATAAGCCTTAATTAATTTGCCGTTGTAAATCACATTGGCTGTTAGTTACTTGTCAGTGCAACAATTTTTAACGCACGTGTGCATGTGTGTGTGCTAGTGTAGTGTATGTGTATTTTGGCTAAACACTCATTTCTAAATGTATACAAACATATACAATACATACATAGCTACATTGTAGAGTATATACAATGATGGAATATATAATTGAAAGTGTGTGTGTATTTTTGCGTATGCGTGTGCGTATTTTGACTGCTGCATGTATGTGTAAAAATTTTTATGTTAGGCACGTTTTTTATGTGTGCAAGATGCTGCTTTTCCCACCAAACATTTTAACATCATATTATTTACGTGCCCTCGAAGTTGGCGAAAGTCAGTATAATCAAATCAGTTCTACTTAACAACATTCAGTACATGGCAATCAATTTTAGATCGATTGTTTGGTTGTGTGCTTTTGTTGTTTTGTTGCTTAAGTTTTGTTGTTGGTTTGTTGCTTATGTTTTGTTGTTGTTTTGTTGCTTAGGTTTTGTTGTTGTTGCCACACGTTGTTTGTTGATGTCGTTGTTTGAGTTGTTTTTTATTTAAATTCAGACTTTCATTCCTTTATTGACTAGAGAGCTGGCGTCGTCATTTCATGTCTGCGCGTTTCGTTGCAGTCAGGCTTCTTTCGATTGAAATCAAGGACTCACAGGCGTAGATGGGAGAGCAATTTTGCTTTTTAAGGGAATTAAAAACAAACGGGCAATAGATAACGTTCAACGTTTGTTAAGTTATCAGCAAAACAAAACAAAAAATTATTAATTCCATTCAGCAAATGAATTCTACAACCAACTGACAATTGACATCCAACCAATCATTCAACTAACAATCCAGTCAGTTATCCAGCCAATCATTTCTAATCAATCATTTCCAACCAATCATTTCCAACCAAACCAACCAATCATCCATCCAATCAATCAACCAACCAATTAGTCAATCGTGCCCTATGTAGCAGACAATGTGATGGCATATGTTTCGGCAGCTCTCCCAACGAATGTTGCGACGCTGAGTGCATTGGAGGATGTGTTGGACCTCTCAAGACTCAATGCTGGGTTAGTGAGTACATTTTTAAGAGTGGCGTGCTCGCGTCGGATCTCGGGCTGTTTATGGCGTCTTTGTTGTTTTTTTCCTTATTTTGTTTTTTTTTCTGGCTCAGTCGTTTGTTTCAATGTAAGAATTTTGTGGCTTGGAAGATGTGAAATAAAATAATAGGACGTTGATAACACCAAGGTCGATATGGCTCTTAAGGTTGAGTGATGTTTATGCAAAGTTGAGCTTCTGAAACTGACTACTGTACAATTCAAAAGAAACTTTTATAGCATGAATATCTACTGTCTATATACGTTTTCAAACGTAAATGAATAGCTTGATTTTGAAAAAAGATGAAATTTTTTTTTGAAAACCTCAAACCAGCCTAGTAAAAAACTTGTTAAAACAAACTTTTCTAATGTTCAGATCTTGTTGTTTCTATTTTTTAGTTCTGTCTTCTTAACCGTTGACTGGATATACAACCATTCAAATAAATTGATCACTTGGTTGAAAAGTATTTTTATTTAATGAATGAAAACAAACAAACACACTGCTACACAAAGGCCTGCAAGAACTTTGACAACAATGGTTCCTGCCTGACCTTCTGCCCTCCTGAGTTCATTTACAGCCACACGCTCTACAAATCAGTTCCAAATCCCGCCTTCAAATATTCTTACGGAACCCTCTGCGTTGATAAGTGTCCAGGTTAATTGATAAAACTATCATCATCATTATCACGATCATAATCATCAACACACTGCCATCATCGCCGTCGTCATCATCATCACCCTGACAACAGAACACCTGGTGAGCAGGCAGGGGGCATGCGTGCAGGAGTGCGGGCCAGGAATGAAGGCAGACGAAGAAAGGAAGTGCGTGGAGTGCAATGGACCCTGCCCTAAATGTTAATTAACATATTATAATAATTATTGTTAATCGTTGTTAATTACTACAGAGGGGATTTTCTTGCGTTCGAATCTGGTCACCGCGACAATAGGGCTTGGCACTTTAACCATTACACCATCACATAATATGTTTCACATATATTTTTTTTTAATATTTCCACACCAGCTTGTAATTTTGAGGTTGCATACCTTGATTCGGAGAATATAAAATCGTTGGAGGGTTGCACAAAACTCATCGGAAACATCGTGCTATTGGAACTTTCCTTTGAGGGGTTTGGCCATTTTTATGCGTTCAACTTTTTTAAATTTTTATACACAAGACAAATTATGTGATTAATTTGTAATTTACCATTTGTTTTATTGTTACCTTATTCTATTAATTCGTTCGTTCGTTCGTTTTCTCAATCATTCATTCGTTTATTCATTCGTTTATTCATTCGTTCGTTCGTTCGTTCGTTTGTTCGCTCATTCATTCATTTATTCATTCATTTATTCATTCTGTCAAACCACCAACCACAGAGATGCGTGGATGAAAATACCGCCAATGAATGTTAGCAGTTTGAGGTATTTGAAGGATATCAACGAGATCACTGGGTATTTGAAGGTTTGTATGTTTGTATCTGTTTGTTTGTTTGTTTGTTTGGTTTGTTTGTTTGTGTCATTGTATTTCTATGTTTGTATTTGTAAGATTGTGTTTGTATGTTTGTATTTGTTTGTTATGTGTTTGAATGTTTGTATTTGTTATATGTTTGTATGATCCTGTTTGTATGTTTGTATTTGTTTGTTATGTGTTTGTATGATTGTGTTTGTATGTTTGTATTTGTTATGCGTTTGTATGATTGATTGCGTTTGTATGTTTGTATGTTTGTATGTATGCGTATGCTCATTTAGGTGCAGGCAACATTGGATCAGTTCAAGAACCTCTCCTTCCTTTCAAACTTGCACACCATACAAGGCAGGATTCTGGACGGGTAAGCATGTATGTCGGCCTCCATATCTTTCTTATCTCATTCTCTTTTTTGTTGTTTGTAGATTGTTTTTGAACTTTAATAATCAACATCAATAATATTTAAAATCATATTCATAATAATCATTTCTTTGTTACTGACATTAATATTTTCATTTTCGTTTTGTTATCTGCTAACGTTAAAACCTTGCTTGCTGAGTTTTTCTCCAGATTTCACCACGTTCTCATTCATTCTTAATTTGATTTTTCAACCATTTACGTTAAGCAAATGAGAGTTTAATTCGTACATAACATTGATTACATTTATTTTAATGCCCATTAACAAAAAATGAACTAAGAATGTTGTTGGAATCAAATTTGTTCCACAAATTCCAGGCAGGGAGCCTCCGTGAGTATCTTCCAAACAAGCCTGCAGTCGTTGGGTCTGAACTCGCTGAAGTCCATAAACACCGGTGGCATCTTCATCGCCAACAACAGCCAGCTTTGCTTCGCTGAGAACATCAACTGGCAGAGGTTCATAAAAAACCAAAGCAGACGAGCTGTGGTCAGGTTCAACAGGAATGAACAAGACTGTCGTTAGCCATGCATACCTATGCGAGATTTATGAATTTTATTGGAAAAATTTTTTAAAAATTTAAATAAATAAATATTGTTAAAAAAAGTATACTAATATTAATTCGAATCGGTTAGACTCAGCAAACATGCCATTAAATGATGTTGCATAATAAAACGTGAGAGCGAATAATAACATTAACATTATTAATAGCAAGCAGCTTCAAAACATCGAAACTTCATTCGACTCACGCACGTACATGCACAGAGAGGGATCTGGAAGTCTGTCACGCCGAATGTTCCAACGACGGATGTTGGGGTCCGGGAAATGATCAGTGCCTGTCCTGCCGGCACTTCTTCTACAACTTCACCGATCTGCACGGCAACAAAGCGACAAAGTGCGTGACGTCATGCTCTTCCCAACCAGGGCTGTACCTCATTTCCGGCAGGGAGTGTGGGCTGTGCCACGATCAGTGCAAGTCCAATTGCTCCGGGCCCGTTAGAAACTTATTAACTTAAATTTAATGATTAATTTGTTACCGGAAGTAATTATTTTTAAAAATAGTTTCACACAATTATAATTAATCGTGCCGGCATATTTCTATTCAAAAACATATTTTATTAATCAAAACAGAGTAATTCATAAAATTTAAAAATACGTGTTTGATCTGAAAGGGCGCCGAGAAATGCGACAGTTGCAAGTTAGTAAAAGATGGTCCATTCTGTCAGGCCAGCTGTCCTCCCTCTAAATACCCGGACGAACATTTTCTCTGTCAGACATGTAACGAACATTGCGGGCCTGAGGGCTGCACCGGGCCTGAAGCGTACGAAAAAGTGGGTGGTTGTAAGGCCTGCTCTCTCCCTATTTATGGCTGGTCGGAACAACAAGCTACGATCCCGCAGTCAACACCTTCGACCTCATCACCATTGTTGCCGTCACCATCGTCACCACCTTCTCTGGTGGATGTACCAAGACCATCGTCGCCAGCTTCTCTGCCATCTTTTTTTGCTTCATCCATCAAATGCCTTCCGGTTGATTCGAAATGTCCTGACGGTTACTTCAAAAGACACATCAAAACAGTTGGTTGCTTGTTCTCTCTCTTTATCTCTGTCTCTCTGTCTTCTTCATTTTTTTTCTATTTTTTTTTCTTTTTTCAAAAATAGTTTTATGTAACTGAATGATTTTTAAATGATAAACGTTTTATTGTCATTATTTCTATTACTTATTTATTTGTAATTTTTTTATTCTCCGTAAGTAATTTACCAATTCATGTTGAGTTTTAAGAAATTGCACTATATGAATACAAATTAATTGATTGATTGGTTGGCTGGCTGGCTGCTTGCTGGCTGACTGACTAACTGACAGACCGACCGACCGACCGACCGACCGACCGACCGATCAATCGATCGATCGACCGACCGATCGATCGATCGATTGATTGATGTATTGATTAATTGATTGATTGATTGATTGATTGATTGATTGATTGATCAAAGGCTTGCATCAAGTGCCACTCCCTCTGTCGAACTTGCAACGGTCCGTCCTCCGATGAATGCATTGTCTGTGCTTTCTTCCTTGAAGCAGGTAGATGTGTCCGTAGCTGTCAATCAAATTATTACGTCTCAATCGAGTATGATCACCAGTCTCAAAGTGTTCTACCCTTTAGTTACACTGGCCTCGACCTCTCAAAAAGGTTTGTAAGAAGCACGTGTGTTTGGTTTTTGGGTTTGCAGCTTTTTGTTGTGTTGTAATCTACTTATGCAGTAGACTATTTGTTTGTTTGTGGGAAATGTTGTAGCAATTTGTTATTGCATCTTATTTTTGCGTTAATGGTTATTATTAACAACAACAGTTTTATTAGATAAAAGTCCAGCCACCATTGACTGACTAGGATGTCTTACGTTTATTATAAATGCAAATCATAACACCATCGTAGTCCTGTGTGATTCATGTGATTAATTAGTTAATATTTATAACAATTTATATTGTAAACGTATTTATTATCATTTTAATTTTGAATTATTTCGTTTCGTGACAGCACGTCAATCAAGTCGGTGGTAGGCACACTCACGTGCAAGAGATGCGATGAGAGTTGCCTGAGATGTGTGGGGCCATCCAATAGGAACTGCACTGCATGCAAGCATTACAAGGTGCTCATCGATGAGGATGATGGTGCTGCTGCTGAAGAATATGATGGCGAAAGTGATGTCAGTGATGGTGGTAGCAGGATAAATACTAACGGTTATGACGTCAAAGTGAGAAGAATCAAAAGAAGATTATTTAACGTATGTTAAATTTTTCATCTGTTAGACTAATCTTAGTTTCATTTTTATTGGTGATTGTTTTGAATAATTACTTAACCATAAAGAGTGAACAAAATGAGTAAACTATGTGATGAGTAAGGAAATGATTAAAGTAATGACGAATAAAACAAATGAAGAGACCCCGGAAGGGCTAATATGTTTTAATCAATCGCTTAATGTTTTGTAAACAGTTTAAAAACATCTAATCATCAACTTCTACTACCTTCATAAAATTAGCAACATCCCTGTTGTTTGAATTTATTTTACATAGTCAGTTTATTTAGTTATTCATTAATTTTAATTCATCGCTCATTCATAATTTATTTAATTCATATTTTGTTAATTTCGTTTTTTTATTCATTAACTCAACCAAGTGTTATATTATTATAATATTTCAGTTAATTAGTTAATAAATTTAATTTAATTAGTTTAATTTATTAATAATTTATTTATTTGTTTCAACAATTAACTAATTATTTAATTAACCAATGCGTGAATAAATTGCCGAATTGCCCACCTAGTTTTACTGTACAGAAAGATGCCCTGAAGACAAACCTGACGCACACGTCAACAACACTGAAACCATCTGCCTTCCTATCGACTACGTGTAAGTTATTATTGTTATTATTATTATTATTGTTATTATTATTATTAGTAGTAGTAGTAGTAATGAATATGAGCACGCTCCTTCAACTTCTTTGTGTTTTGTATTATATACTATTTATTTCTTTAAATTTTGTTGTTTTATTTCAATGAATTTCATCACGACCAGTGACTTTTTAAAGTAAATGGTTTTTGAATTTAAAATTAATCATTGTCAACAAAATGTCGGAGAATCATATATACAAATAATAATAATAATAACTTACTTAACTTAACTTACTTAACGTTAATACGTGAATTACATATACGATTAGGAACAGGTACTAATTTAGCGACTAAACCAATTAATTAATTAATATTCCTTTTAAATCATTATTTTATTTCCCATGCATAAGCATTCTTACCCCGTTATTTGTCTTCCGTTATCATTTTACACTATTACCTTGCATGTTGTGACAGTTTCTGGGTCTGTCAGATTCTGATTTTTTAAAGAATGGTAACAAAAACACTCGAACGACAGTGCCAAACGACGGAGAGATGTGTCGGTGGCCCTAGGCGTCCTCATCTCTTTCATAATCACTTGCACCATTCTCGGCGTCATTTTCATCAGGCGCAAGGAGATCATAAAGAAGTTCAACAAATATCAAGCCGAAATGCGCTTTCTAAACGCAAAAGTTGGTGCTGACTATAGAAAACTATGTAATGTAATGTAACTATGTAATGTAACTATGTAATGTAATGTAACTATGTTATGTAATGTAACTATATAATGTAATGTAATGTAATGTAGCTATGTACTGAGTAATGGTGACAATGGTGATAATTATAACGTGAACGATCACGATGATGATGAGGATGAAATGAGACCACGATAGTGGTCCTGGGTACGTTGGTAAGAAAGTTATACTGCAACAATAATTTATTTCTTCATTTATTTGAACAATTCATTTTATTCTTTCAATTTTGTCTTAATTCATTCTGACCAGTCTGATGTAAAGCCTGCAAAAGCTGAACCAGACCTCGCCAACCTCCGTCTCATCAACAACTCTGAACTGAGGACAGGGGCCGTCATTGGGTATGGAGCTTATGGAACTGTCTATAAGGTCTGGGGTCTAATCCCCTTTTCATTTGAGTGATACAAATTAATTATTTTCTTAATTAGTTAATTAATTAATTAATTAATTATAAGATTAGTTAATTAGTTAGTTAATCAATTCATAATGATCTCTTGATGTCTACAAACAACACAGATAATACAATATAATTATTAATGACATAAATGTTCAAAAAAAATTTTATATCATCTTTTAAAAGATTTATTTTACTGTCAATCAACACAGATCAAACAATTATCAATGGTATAGATGTTCATAAAAAATTTATTTCACTTTTTAAAGGGTTATTGGTTCCCCACTGACGGAAACCCAGAAGGCATGCCAGTGGCGATAAAAATTTTGAAAGAAGGCAGCCAGGAGTTGCTGGCTGAGGCGAGGATCATGGCTTCCGTGCGGCACGTGTCGTGCATCAACATACTCTGCCTGTGTCTAACGGAGAACCTCATGCTCGTCACGCCTCTCATGCCGCAGGGTTGCATGTTAGATTACATAAGGAAGAACACGAAATCCATTTCCGCTGACGTCATTTTGAGATGGAGTACGCAGATTGCCGAGGTTGAATTTGCAAATTTAAAATATGTAACTGGTCGGCGGTTTTTTTAAATTTCTTCATTACTATTATTTACTTGATTTAAATTAAAATGTTTAAAAATTAACGAGTGTTAGATTGTAGGCCAACGTGTACACATTTTAGGGCATGGATCATCTGGAGAAGTCATTCATCGTTCATTGCGACTTGGCAGCGCGTAATGTGCTTGGTTGGCTGTTTGCTTGTTTTGTTTTTTACGAAATGAACTTTTAATCTTTTGTTTTATTAATTTTCATTACTTTGGTTATGATTTTTGTTAATTTCAGCTTCTGATGTTTAAGCTTCACTGATTTGTCACGATTTCATTAAATTGATCACATGATAAATTTTGTAAAATTATTTCATCTCAAACTAAGTTTTAAACTTCACTTTACTAACATCGGTGATGAACAATTTCATTTATTCATTCGCCCAGTTGAAAGTTTAGACCAGGTTAAGATAACAGACTTCGGATTGGCCAAGTTGATTGACCGCGATGACATTAAGATTGGCGGGGAATCCGAAGGAGCTATGAAGGTTTGTGCCACTTCCCTACTCTCGTGTTAATTCAAAAACAAACCAGAACAAAATGACACTTATATTATTATTTAAATATTATTATTATTATCACGATTATTACAAAATAAAACAATACAATTGTTTGAATAAAAAAATAATTCTTCACAACAATTTGGATAGCTGCCTGTGAAATGGTTGGCCTACGAATGCTTGGTCAATAAAATATTCGATCATAAAAGTGATGTTTGGAGTTATGGTTAGAAAAGTATTGGCTGATGTGTTAATGCTGGTGAGAAGGATATGATGTTGAATGCAACGCAATGACGTTGCTGTGGGTTGACATGATATTGATAGCGATTGCCAAATAAAATGATTAATCATGTTCTTGAATCAAAAGTTAAACATGTTATTGATGTCGAAAAAATCTTGCAGGGGTGACCATATGGGAATTGTGCACGTTTGGAGATCGACCCTACAAGCACGTGTCCAACGTGAAACTGATCCCAGAAATGTTGAGAGAAGGCATTCGATTAGAGAAACCGCAGATCTGTTCAAATCATTTTTACTACATCCTTTATTCTTGTAAACATTTTTAACTGGTTTTGTTTCATTAAAAATACATTGTTCGTATTGAAAAGAAACTTTTTCACTCATATCAGTTATTCCTTACTTCCTTACTGGCTGTTCAATTGAACAGGTTGGAACCTCAATCCTAACGACCGACCGACATTTTCTGAGCTGGTCAAGGATTTCATAACCATGCAACAATCGTCTGGACGCTACCTTACCATTCCTGTGGGTTGCCTGCCCAGCAGTTTTGTTTTTTAGGAGTAATTTAAATATAATTTTGAAAAATATTCATTTGTCAAAATTTTTGTACATTTAAAAGTATTCACGTGGGTGCGGAGGTTGAAATTGTTTAAAACAAGGCACATTCTTCAGTTATTATTTTCAAAATAATTGTATCACACAGCCCGATGGCCGTCTACCTTTAGAACGCCACCACAAAATCCCAGCCAGCCATCAACAGTCACTTGAATTTAAACAAAAACCGTTTCGGTTTGGTTACGAATCAAAAAGTTCCGGCAGTGATGTCCGACAGTCGCTCTTATCCGACAAACCGGTGGATTATTTGATGCCAGGAAACAGTCCCGAGCCTCCGATCTTGTACAACAACTTGATGTACTTGAAACAACAAAACGCTGTTAGCAATGGCTCTGCGAAGAAATCACCTCTGTACGTCAACTCAGGTTAAAATAGCAAACAAATAACAGTTAATGAATACAATAACTAACTATCTTGTAAAGTTTCATTAAAAAAAGACGTTTCAAATTTCAGTGAAGCCGAGCAGCTCGAGTGACATTCTAGAACCGACTTACGTACCGACCCTCCAGCCGAGCAGCGAGTATTACAACGATTTCTCACCAGGTTTCCTCAACAGACCGATCAGGTTGAGAAATAAGGGCGACAGCAGCTATCAACACTACAAAGCGCCAAACACTTCAAACACAACCGGCCAACAACAGACCGAAGATTGTGGTTCTATTCCTACGAATATCCGAGAAAACTCTATGACGGACGATTATATATCGGTGTTATCAGCAAAGAGTTTGTACAGAAATTCGACATTAAGTAACGGCGCTCTGGCTCAACAAAATCAACAATCATCTGAATTTTCACTCATGCCAGAGAGCAAGCAACGATTATCATCGTCGTCGGCATCTTTTAATCCAAAAAGAACATCGCTATCATCATCGCATTCCATCCCATCTCCTGGTTTGCCGTTTTCTGTGGCTCCGCCCACTGAACAACTGACCAATCAGATGAGAGACAGTTTCTACGGCAGCGAAAATGCCAGAAATAGTCAGGAAGACCACGGATATTACAACACTTTATCTTTTTAACACAAACCGAGTGTTAAACTAATTTTTATTCACAGCCATGTAGACACGTAGATTGAAATGATACAACTCTATTGAGTACGTCACATACGATAACGCGAAACGCAATGTTGCACTTTGCAATATTCTACCATCTCTTTATTCATATGACAATATGGCATATATAATACGTCATTAGCTGTGTTATTACGGTAGCCGTTGTTATTTTGTGGGCAATATTTCCTTCATATCATTTATTTTTTTAAACGTTTTTTCAATCCTATAGACATATTTCTTCAAGATCGAATCAAAAGTTGCACCTAAATGTACATGTATAAGCAATTTTGTTACTTGTGATAATTTTGTAATTTTTCTTTTAAACTTCGAAACCCGTGCAACAGTTCTTTCTACACGACGATAACACATCATTGTTATTTATTTACATAGCGCGTTTGCAAGGTCTAGGGATAAGAATTTATTTTCATCATGACATCAACATCGGGTATGTATGTACCCTATAACTACATAACATAAAATATGTAAATATAACGTGTGTGTGTGTGTGTGTGTGTGTGTGTGTGTGTGTGCATGTGTGTGTGTGCATGTGTGTGTGTGTAACTACTAACGCAAATGAAACGTTGAATTTGAATTATAAGCACTACTAACAAAACTGAATGTGAGAGCATTAAGTAAAACACCAAATTAACAAATTTTTTCCTTAATGAGACTTTTATTTGTTGATGATGCGTGATGTGATGGATGAAAAATAAAAAAAAAAGTGTCAATAAAATCAAGTGAATGTTCAGTTTATTTGTAGTATGACTTAGTCGTGTCATCACCATTATTGCTATTGTCATCACCATCATAATCATATTTTTCAATTTTATTGTGAAGACGTTTGTAATTTTATATGTCAATACGAACAAACGTACATGTATACACACAAACATAATAACAAAAACAAAAATTGACAAAAATAATAGAAAGAGTAATAATCAAATTAATAAAAGTAGATTATTATAAAAAAAAATTCAAAGTCAAACACCACACACACACACACACACACACACACACACACACCACACACACACACACACACACCACACACACACACAATACACACACACATCAGATTCTTCCGCGACCAGCAACGATCAACCAACCCCAGGCATTATATAAGCAATGTTATCCAATGTCTCCCTGTTCAACTCCTCGAGGTCCAAATCTAGCTGGGGTATCTTGATATTATGCAAAATTATAATCATACAACAATGATATTATTGTGATAATTATCATGATAGCAGCATTACCATTATGAATAAAAATGATAATGATACTATGTAGACCAATAAAAAATGTAAGAAAAACGTATCAACTAAAACGCCAATTGATGTGCAATACATATCAAAGTCATATCTTGATTAACGGCTGATTACCAGCATTACCATTTATTACATACATTACCATATATATTATTTATAAATATATATATATATATATATATATATATATATATATATATGTGTGTGTGTGTGTGTGTGTGTGTGTATATATATATTAGACTAGTTGAATAAAGCCATCATCACCATGCCACAAAATATTACACACACATACATACGCATACACATACATGCACAAACACAAATTATACCACACACATACAACTAGAAAAAATTACTTGATTAGTGAGGCACATAAGTGAACCGAGTGAACATAGCAGCGAATCCAAAAGAACCGACAAACTTCCCTGCACAGCTATAGTACCCTTGAAGAAGAAGAAGAAGGAGGAAATAGATCACCAGTGCAATAAAACTGGCAGTATGGGTATTGTCACTCGTATCGTTATTATCTCTAGTGTAGTACAAATACCTTCAACATAACACAAGCATGTAGAGAGCAGTATGCAATATATAAGCAAGATGGATATGATGAATTCTTTGATGAAAGTACATCAATCTAGAGAATTTAACGCAAAATAAAATTGAAAAAAGCAGACCTGATGCTCACAGAGTCGCGTGCCAATCAAGGTTAAGGACTCTCCGAGAAGTTTGAGATGGGCAGCAACGTCCATCGGCTCGATCAAATGTTTGGTTGTTGTGGTTGATGATGTTGCAGTTGCGTTGTTGGCCTGCTTGGCTCTACTCTTCGGATGTCGACCGTGGAGAATTATGAAATCTTTACTACTGTACTCAAACAACTCTCCGGATTTTGACATCCTCTGGGCTTTCCTCCTCCATTTCTGTCAGATTTATATTAAATATTTATTTTAAATTGAAAAAAATAAATTTGTAAATTATCACAGACACAATGAAACAAATGAAAAGAGAGTGTGGACTGAATGATATGGAATGAATTAAATTATAAATGTACTCACAAGTTTTTCACTGTTGTCAATTCCATGCCAGAGTTCCTTCATGAGCTTCACAAAGTGGTATTCATCTAGTTGTTTATTTATCGATAAGTCATTCATCTAATGAAGAAGCTTTCAATAAGTTAGACGACATTCTACAAGTTGGACATCAAAGGAATTAGACATTCAAATTAGACATTCAAGAGGCATTTAGCTTTCAACTTTAAAAACCCAACTCAATAACATCATCGCCATTACCATCTTCATCACTACCATTACCATCATCATCATAATAGATCAAATCTTAGCATGTATGAACTTCAAACCTAGATGTGGATTTTTGGCAGCAACTTTTGGTTTCTGACTAATGAACCAGACCTTGAATGCAGTGTAGTACGAACGTTGGCTTTTATGCTGCTGCTGCTGCTGTTCTTGGTCTGTCTGTTGATTCATAAATAAATAGATTATTGGTGATGATTATAATGTATTGAAGGACTTCAATGGACAGAAAGCAAAATAATAAATTTCAAATAATTTGTACCTTTTGTTTGTTTTTTGATGACGATGAAGCTGATGACAAGACATTTGATATATTTGCATCTGGTAGCGGAGATTTCAAATTTGTTAAAAATAACAACACAATGTAATAGAAACCAAATAATAAAGTGTAATAGAAATATGAATTGACATACAATGAATACATACAATTTAATTAACATTTAATTATTTAATGTAATTATAAAATTTATTTTTTAAATCAAAATTTGAAAGAGAAAATTCTAAAGTACCAGAAAAAGAACTGTTAGATTCTTCTTTTACGAGTTTGCTTTTCACTTGCTTCATTTTTAATGGCTTTAAAATTATTTTTATACAATTTATGAAAAGAATAAAAAAATAATAACAGTTTATTACTTAAATGAAGAAAACTGACAGCCATATTTTGGAAATTGGGAACAATTGTGTGAGTAAAAGCATCCTCAACATCAATTTCTTCCTCCCCTTCTTCATCATCTATTTCTTCCTCCTGATCCTCATTCCCATCTTCATCCTCATCGTCATCTTCATTGTAATCAACCGGGTCATTATCATCATCATCATTATTGACTTCAATCTCTTCTTCAAAAAATTCATTGTCGTCGATGTGGTCCTGCGTAAATATATTGTTATCATTGCTATAGTCTTCGGTGTAGAAATTATCTGGCAGCAACATGCTCATCGAGATGAACTTTTTATCATCTGATGATTCATTGGAATGCATTTCACTTGTAGGTTCTGTTGAAAAAATTCTTCATTTACTGATTTGTGGATTACAAAGAGTTATTTAATTTTAATTTAAAAGAGGCAAAACTAAAATGTAAAAAGTAAAACGAAAAAACGTTTAAATCACTTGGCAGTTTCAGTACGAGAGATGGTGACGATAGAGAAGATGTAACTGATTTTGAAGATGGTCCTTCTAAGCTGCCTTTCGACTTCCTCTTTTTACTCTCAACCACAAACTTTTCAAAAATCTCCATTTCCTCCATTTCAAGAAACTTCGAGGTTTTTTTTCGAATCTTTAGCAGGCAACAGGGATGAAATTACAATATAATTAAAAATATTAATAAAATTATTGAATTAATTAAACAATATTCAAATAAAAATCATATTATTAATTTTTAATTTGAAAAATTAAAAATAAAAAAAAAAACAATAAGAAAATCAGAAAAAGGTGAAAAATAAAAATGGTTTTTATTTTATAAATTAAACAACACTAACTCTTCCAGATTTTGTAGCATCGGAGGAACCAATTTCCATCTTTAATAAATAAACAAATTATAAAATACTTTCACCAATTTAAAAAATCCAACTTGGATGGTTCTAAGTGGCAAATTGCCGGTGTTTAGGTTTACCTGCTTGAAGTGAAAATAAATTTGAATTAAACATTTTTCATAGTGTGAAATTAATATGAATTGATTAGCGCAAAATGAATGTATATTATTGATTTTTCTATGTTCGCTAACTAAATAACATTATAACATTTACGGTTTTCAATGGACGTTTTCCATTGTGAAGAACGCTCGCTAGGTTATTCCATGTGTATTTATTATCGAGCGCCTCACCATTTTTTAAGGACAATTTTTAAAGGTTAATTTATTCTATAAAATTGTAGGTAAATAATTTAACTGTATTTCACTAAAAGGTTTGCTATAAATTTGTGACAACTGGTCCGGTTTAATTCGAGTTTGAGATGTAGGTTTATTTTGATATAATAAAGCAAATGAAAGGATAAAAGTTTGCATAATAACTGTATTTTTTTAATTATAGTTAATAAATTAATGATAATAATAAAATAATTAATTCTCAAAAAAGAATCTTCTACTCTACTCTACAGTTTACTATTTATTAGAAGACTAGACAATGATTAATGCCAAATAGAATATTCAATGAATAATTAGTAGTATAATATAATAATATAATGCTCAATGACAATTATGTAAATAATAAATAAATAATATTCAAGCAAGTCAAATTAGTAATTACAAATTAGTTTTTCAGTATATTACTGATTACTACACCACACCTTACCTTACACACAATGAATTCTCCACTGGGCAAAGAGTTTTTACAGCATATTGAGAAAGGAGAATTAGATGGTGTGAATAATCTTCTTGGAGAAAATTACAACATCAATCTAGATGAGAGAGACCAGGTTAGTTGAGAAGTTATAACATATAAGATAAAATTGTTTCATTCTCCATGTATATTTTCTATATCTTTTTTTTCCAGATGTACCAATTACCAATTGTAAACACGCATACATATACATTCTCTCTGTCTCTCTCTCTCTCTCTCTCTCTCTCTCTCTCTTACTTACTTTTTCACATATATATACACACAACACATTTTTCAGGATGGTCAGACATTTTTGATGATAGCATGCAGGTTGAAGCAGGTGGATATTGTGAGAAGGTTGCTGGAAGAGCTAAGCGTTTCTGATGTCAATGCTGTTGATAATGTTTGTACTGCTGTTGTTTTTTTATTCTTATTTAGTTTATAGTTTATTTATTTTATTATTGATTTCATATATTTTATTGGATTTTTGATTTCTTTATTATATATATTTATTATTAATTTTATATTATTTATCTTCTTTTTTTGAGGTTTTATTGGAGATTTATTACAAAGTAATTTCATCAAATTTTCTTCATTAATTTTGTTGTCTTTTTGAGGTGCAATTATTCTATCAGGATTATGTTTGGTTAAATTTTTATTATGTTAGCTACTTCATCATGGTCAAATTCACCATGTAGTGTTGTAGTGAAATGTAGTAGTGTATGTGTCTGTATGTGTGTGTGTGTATTTGTGCTTATGTCTGTGTGTTTGTGTTTTATGTAATTATCACATCATCATTATCATCATCAACATCATCATCACACCATCATTATCAGGATGACTGGTCCAGTTTGTTGAATGCCTCAAAGGAGGGTTCTCCAGAAATTGTGAAAATGTTACTGGATGCTGGTGCTTCTATAGAGCATAGAGATATGGTTTGTTTGTGTGTCGTGTGTGTGTGCGTACGTTGTCTACGTGTATGTGTCTGTATGTATGTATGTGTGTGTGTGTGTGTGTGTGTGTGTGTGTGTGTGTATGTGTGTGTATGTGTGTGTGTGTATTTGTGCTTATGTCTGTTTGTCTGTATTTTATGTGGGGATTTCAGTAATGATTATATTCAGTAATTCATTCATCTATTCCTGATTTCAATTAGTTAATCATATATTCAATTTATTTGTTCAATGGCACGATGTTACCTACCTACTTTCATGTAATTTAACACACGCACAGACACACACAGACACACATACATACACACGCATGCGCACACACAGACATACGTACACACACACGTAACAGGCAGGTTGGACTGCATTGATGTGGGCCAGTTATAAGGGCTGGAGTGGTGTGGCACAAGTTCTTCTGGAGAGAGATGCTAACCCCAATGTTAAAGGGGAGGTCAGTGCTTAATGAATGGCTAGATGGATGGATAGATGGATGGATGGATATATCGAAGATTGAGTGGATGATGGATAGATGGATGAACAGGTATATTGGAAAGATAAATGAATGGATAGATGGAATAAAGGCAGACAGTATTATTAACATAACAACACCTCTAACATGGCAAAATTATTGCTAAAACATTCTCACCACAACATAAATTAACACAACAACATTACCTATTAGCACCATATGTCCTGTTTGACCTGGGCTGCAGGTAGAGGTCATTCAGAGGTTGTTAACCTTTTGCTGAGGTTTGGGGCAAAGGTCAACACTGCTGACAAGGTTGTTGTTGTTGCCATGGTATTATTATCATTTTTTATCACTACGTATTATTTTTATTGTTGCTACTAAATTTATATATGTTTGTATAAATATCTTTCTCTCTCTCTCTCTCTCTCTCTCTCTCTCTCTCTATATATATATATATATATATATATATATATATATATATATATATATATATATATGTATATATATATATGTATATATATATTATAGTATGGTACAACGCCGTTGATATGGGCCGCACGAAAAGGTCATTACGACATTGTATCCATGTTGTTGAAGGAAGGGGCCGTTGTCGATAAAGCTGGAATGGTAAGTCAGTCACTGAGGATGATGATGATGATATCTATCCATCTATCTTTGTCTTTGCTCTGCCTATCTAACAATTTATTCATTCATCCATCTATTATCTAGTCACTCATTAGCCCATCCGCCCATCTTTCCATCCATTCTTCTATATACTCATTCGCCAAACCATTCATCTATCCATCCATCTATCCATCCATCCGTCTGCATGGCTATCTCTCTATCAATCAGAAATCCATTCGCCATCGTTTGTCATCCATCTATCCATCCATCACCTCTAACAGAACTCCTGGACGGCATTGATAGTAGCCAGTTCAGGCGGTTATGCCAGCGTCGTCAAGCTACTGCTGGAACATCATCCCAATGTCAATGCCGTCGATAAGGTCTGTGATGGATGGATGGATGGATGGATGGATGGATGGATGGATGGATGAAGGAATGAAGGAATGAATGAATGAATGAATGAATGAATGAATGAATGAATGAATGAATGAATGAATGAATGAATGAATGAATGAATAGATGAATGGATGGATAGATGAATAAATAATAGAATGATGGATAATGATAATAAGAAAGATTTAATGGTCATAATGACTTTAAAATTTGAAAGATCAAATCGTTATTCTTCAAAATGAAGTATCATTTAACAAAACGAAACTTCTTTCAAAGACATGTGAAGCACTGATTGATGTACAGATAACTGATTAATAGAAGTTAACTAATCTATTAGATAAGTGATCGTGGATTTATAATGAATAGAAAGTAGCAAGTTCATTTATTCAGCGGTTGACAAGAGCAATTTGTGTATCTTTCCATTAGGACGGCTACACGGCACTGAGTATGGCTGCCAAGGATGGCTACGTTGAAATCGTCAGTCTGCTACTACAAAATGAAGCCTATGGAAATATTACCGATAGGGTTGGTGGCCATGAGTGATGATGAATGACTGAATGAATGAACAAATGATTAAATGGATGAATGGATGTATAAATTGTTAAATGAATGGATGGGTGAATGAATTTATTGACGGATGGATAGATTCATGGATGGATTGAGGATCAGTTAAACACTTATTTGCAAAGTTTTTGAATATTCTCGAATAGGAAGGTGACACGATACTGATTCACGCAGTTAAGAACAACCACACTGACGTCGTGAAGCTGCTGCTGAAGAAATATGCCGACATAGATGTCACTGGAGTGGTTAGCTGACTAACATCACGGTGCATGTGGCTTTGTTTCCTTCGTTATGCTCATGACGTGGTCGTCATTTTATCTCTTGTGACACTTGTTGCTCTGTTTGGTGTCATTAGTCATATAATGAATAGCTTAAGACCGTTAGTTGCTTTTTAAATCGTATTTGCGTTCAAATCGTTTTTCATCATCGCACTGCAGGTAATTTCTAATAGCAACATCAAGATCGTTTTCATCAGTCAGTACTGCTCTTGTGGTCATCATCGTATTCACCGTCATTCTCTTTTTTTATCTTCCTCATTATCATCTTCTTCTTCCTCATCATCATCATCTTCTTCCTCATCATCTTCTTCTTCCTCCTCATCATCTTCTTTTTCCTCATCATCATCTTCTTCTTTCTCATCATCATCTTTGACAACTACACGACACCAGGACAACAAAACGGCTCTGTTCTGGGCGGTAGAGAAGTGTCACTATCAGATGGTCAAACTCCTTCTCGACAATAATGCCAACCTGGAGATCCCAAACAAGGTTCAGCGTCTCATTTTCTCTTAAAACTCTTTACTTGTGTAGTTCAGTTGGTTTCGGTTTTTTTGGCAAAGTTTAATTTATGCAGAAGTGATTCTGTTTGGAATTGAAGTTTTGCTTTCTATTACGAGATTTAATCTTTGCACGATTTCGGAGATGATAAAAATATTATTAATACTTTTGTTTAATGGATGTTATTTTCGGTTCATTGCTAAACACATAGGAGGAGACAGGGCATTGAATCACTAAAATGGTTTTGATTGGACAGGACGGAGACACGCCCTTATTAAAAGCCGTCAGGAACAGAAACCTGGAGATCGTTCAACTGTTGGTTGATAAGTCCGCAAAAGTTTCTGCAACTGACAAGGTTGGCTGATTGACTAATGGTTCGTCTGGTTGAGATTATTTTGCTGATTGACTGATGGTTCGTTGAAGCATGCTTAGAAAATTTTGTTTATGCATCTTACCTTAATTAGATTTTTTTTAATAACAGCACTCAAAATTTCATGTTCTT